CATAACCCCTCCGTCGGATTCCGGTCGGTGGTTAATCAAGCTTTTGACGTCCCGGAGACACCGAGCACTACCATCGATAGTATTACACGGTCGGATAGCAATAGCACGTCGGTAATAAGCCCAATCATTCCTCCTCGTGGCACAAGCGAGAAGACGCCAACGATTGAGGAAGAGCCGGAGAGTTCAACCCCACCGAGAGGCTTTAAGCCTGGTCATCGCCGTGATTTGAGTGTTCCCAGTCCAGATAACAGTCCTTTGAGAAGACCAATAGTCACCAATAACGATACCATTGCTCCCGAATCATTAGCAGAGATGTCGTCGGGCCTTCCACCTGACTCACCTCAGGACCAGTCCACACCAACATATCAGCAAGCCACCGTGCAACCAACTACCACAGCCGCCGCAGAAGATCGACCTGCACCGCTGAAAATCGGTGGTAACATGTCTCCCCCTGAAAACTCCATTCCCGCCATTGTTCCCTCCTTAAGTACGGAAAATTCACCACAAGACACCGAGAGTGACCGATTAAGGAAGGAGATCATTCGTTCTTTGAGCCGAGAGAATACTCCATCTGAGGAACCGGACCCACAAGATAGATCCAGGCCTCAAACGAGTCGGCAGGATAGTCTCATTCCGAGCGAATACGAGCGATACTGGAACGAAACAAGTAGTGCCAGTCCTCAAGAGGAGTTTAAACCCGTCCTTGGGTACAACCCCTCGCAGAATGAGTCCCAGGATTTACACTCCAGTAGTCCACTGCAGACGTCTACTTCTGCACCCAATGCAGCCCCGCAACAAGACACAACCCCTAAGTTGAAGAGGCGATTCTCTTGGGAGTCTGCCTCCTCTGAGGAACAGCCTGCACCCGCGACAGATGTCCAATCACCTCCAGTAGGGCCGATCCCCGGACAATTTCCTGTGGTTGATGAGAACAGTGTTCAGCTCGAGCCCCAGGCCCAGCCCGACACCGTGGCTCCGCCACCAGTTGAGACACATGATGAGGCTGGACGTGATCATGTGCCTGAAAAGCCCAAGCTGACTATTATACCCCCGTCTGCCACTGACAACAACAGCATCGTTTCGGGTCGATATCTTCCAGAAGTTGTCAATGCCCAAACCGCTGGTGATACCTACTCCCCAGCAGTTGCAAACCAGGACACCGTAGCATCTGCACCTGCACATGCACCAACGCAGTCGCCATCTATTGAAGCAAGCTTGCTTGGCTTCCGTGATATCCTTGAGTTGAAGACCTCCGACGAACGGGTGCAAGCGTTCAACAAAACCCGAGAACAGTTTATGACGATCGATACCGGTCTAAATAACTGGCTCCGGGTTACTATCCATGCTCACCCCGAGTACGCGGATGTTGTGCAGCAAAGTTTGAAACAGACAACGGATGAATCCAAGTACCCTGTGCCCCGGGCCAAATTCCCTAAACTGCCGTCTCTCGGGAACCTCGTGTCGTCTCACCAGGAAGGGTCGTCCGGGTCGGGCCATGTCAGACGTCCTTCGACCCATCTTGGTTCCATGATGAATAAACAGCATGTGGAACAACGAGGGAAGGATTTCCTCCACACCGCTGGCGTTTTCGGCGGCAAAGCTGGCGAAGCCGCCAAGGGTCTGTTTGCCAAGGGCAGGAGTAAATTTAAAGGTGGAGGGTCAGACAAGGTAGAGCCTTAATTTTCTTATTATGGGTGGTATGTCATGTTTCCTCGGTGCAGGGAGCGAGTGGGGACCTATGGATTATCCATCGCTGCGCCAGCATGTTTTCTGATCTTTGATGTTTTGTTTATGTTCCTATTGATACCATGTCTGTAATTGAACATATCTCCGCACTCAGAATGTGACATGAATGATGTCTGTACATTGGGGTTGGCATTTTTCTTGGTCTTAATACCCTCGTCTGGTTAAACTCGTCTAATGTTATGGTGATTTGTAGGGGTTTGAATCGAGTCGGGGTTATCGCAGAAAATTCTCTTTCTCAGAACTTGCTCTAGACCTAGCCGAAGAGGATCATGACAAGCGACGGACGGTCCACTTTGGAAGTCTCCCAGGGATGAAGGGCGTTCGGGACAGCCAAGTGAATCGGTTGAGTTTGGACATCAAGCGCAAACAAGTCCCGTCGGTCTCGGCGCGTAGACCGGTCGAGGATGCGGTAGCAGACACCGGATATCACACGGATCCTGAGCCATCTTCCGTCCATAGGCACCGTTCCGGTCTGGCGCAGGATCTGGACAAGGAAGTAGTTCCAGCTGCACTCGGCTTCAGTGATGCAGATTCGCGATCGGGTCAGTCAGGTCATGCAGTATCCTATCGAGGCACGGCTGGAGATACGGCAGAATTGGAGGTGTCTGACTCTGTTGTCTTTGCGCCAACAGGATCCCAGGAGCATTGGGAGTTGCCTGGCGATAGTGCATCCTCGGCGCATCGATTAGCGCCCGTGCAACCTGGCAGGGATTGTCCTCCCCGAAAGCCTTTGTCGAGGAAGAACGAATCTCCCCCGATGACCCCGATTCAGGTGGCCATCAATGACGCGCCTTTGTTGATCCCCGAGTACAAAAGCGACCAGCGGGGCATTGGCGACAAAATCCTGGCGTGGACGGAGCAGGCCAACAGTATTGATGACAATCCAATGGACCAGCAAAATAACGTTCAGCCACAGCCTGCGTGCGACGAACCGTCTCCCGAATGCGAACCGACGACTCCTCGAGCCCCATCGTCTATGGGGAAACGGTTTTACTCCTCGGTCATGGAAACCAAAACGAGCGATCTCCAACGTGGGAAGGGCGACATTAATAATAATAATAATAATAATAATAATAAGGCAACAACACTACTGCTGGATCCGAGTCAGCATCGGCGAGGCTCCAGCGTGCCAGTGCGACTCCAACCAGTGCCCTCGGCCTCATCCTTGGGCACCCTCGGTGAGTATAAAACGCTGCTCCACAATTTCCCAAGAAAATTAACGTTCTAAAATCCACTGCGCCAGGCCAGGCGAACTCGTCGCGAGTGTCATTCTTATCGGATGGGGGCGATGGTCAGCACCAAAGTCTTGGCGGCATACTTAGACCCGATCATCGAGGGCGCAGGCCGAAGAGCCCCTGGCCAGGCGATGAGGCTGAACATGCCTCGCGCCGACTTAGCGGTGTCTTTCGACCTCTTCTGCCAGGCAGTAGACCCCGCGATGCTTCCCAATCCACCGATCATGCTCGCTCCAACCCGCCCGCCCTGCCTGCCTCCAAGCAAGCGCCAGCGCAGACTGCCTTATCGACCATGGATAAGTTGAAGGTTGTCGGCAACAAAATTCGTCGTCCTTCTCGGGGCTCTGAACCCCATGGTGGTGTCGTCGTCAAGACAGGTCAGCCACACAGGAAGGCATTAGACAAAATCAGTGTATGTATCACACTCACTCACTCACCCAAGCTGCTTGTTAAAGTTCACCCATTCAGTGATATTAATCTTCCAATTAGGGCTTCTTCAACCGTCGAGCGGAACATGCCCGGCCCAAATCAAGAGCAGCCGAAACCCACGTTCCACCAGTGGTGCAAGTTCAGCGTCAGGCCCATTCGATGGACCGGCTTTATCCTGTCTCATCACAGCGCACATCCAGCTCGGATCACTCTCACTTACCCTCCGCCGAATTTGATCGGCCCCGATCGAATATCGAGAACCACTCCTTCCAGGGTCAACCTCCGCCTGCCGAAGGATACTTCGCTCCAGAATCCTTCTCACGGCTCAATGATCCTCAAGAACCCGGGACCCCCTTGACGCAGCAGATCACCGTCGAGGACATGGACAGCAATACCATCACGAGTAATCGCATTCCGTCGCCGACCGATTATTTCCGGCATCGACACAGTGGGAGTGGAAGCGGAAATGGTCGACTCACTCCCCAATCGCCGCTCTTCCGACCATCCACGAACCCCCAAACTCCCCCATTTCAACAACCCCCGATCGCATCCCCCGGTCTAACCTCCCCACTGCGAGCATCCCCCGTCGCCTCCCCCGGCGTTCCCGCCCCACAATCCCCACCTTCCCGCGGCCGTTCCGAGGAAAGAACCTACGCCCAAGACTTAAACATCCGCTCCCGCAGCCCGAAAACCTTCGCCCCGCGCCCGGAAGAAAGACACATCCCCAGCACCGACACCTCCGACCCAGCCTACCACCTGGGTATCTTCCGCCAAAACCCTCGTACCAGTCGCATCGGCGACCAAGAACGACCCTGGAAACTGACTATCCCCGGCGAATCCGATGAGGACAGACCCCCCGACAACGCCCTCGCCTGGCGCCAGCAGACCACCAAGGGCGTCCTCCAATGCAGCAACGGTCGATTACCCACCTACGAAGAGGACGTCAAAGACCCACCCCAGGAAAATCTCCCCGATGAAAAACCTCCTCTCAGCGACACAACCGCGACTCGTCCCTCGATGCCCCCCCTCTCCCAATCCACGGGAAACATCCACCCAACGCGAGGCGAAGGCCGGGTCCTCAACAACGACGCCCCAGTCGAGTTACCTGTCCAGGCGGATGACGATTCCAGCGAAGAGATCCTGATGTCTAGCACGGCGTATCCGGGCCAGGAGTGGAAGCCTGTTGGGTTCTCCGGGTGGGAGTAGTAGGGAAAATCACTTTAATTTCGCTAGATTGTTAGTTGGCGTGGTAGATACCCTTGTGATCTTTTTTTTTTTTTTTCTGTTGCTTGCGTATAATCTTTTCCGGGGTGATTTCTTAGTTTCAAAGAGAATACTGTACCCATATTTGATCCTTGTGTTTCGTGCATAGCGAGCTTGAGAATTTCTTAGTAATATTTGATGATCACTACTTATGAGGAATGAGAGATGTCTTTTTAACTTGATAGAATGTGATACGTCAAATTCGTATTGATGTATACAGAGCCGATGCATGCCGGATTCATCATATTTTTTATGTTTTCTGTAAGGATAGGAGTGAGGGCTCTATGTGTAGGAGTATAATACATTGAGTGAAGGCAAAGAGCGGTCCTATCCCTCAAACACATTCTGCTGCAAATTTACCCCCATATCCTTTGCCATACTCTGCATCTGCGCCTCCAGCGAATCCTCCATCCCACCACCGAGTCTCAAGAACTGCCTAATCTTCGTGAAGTAGAAGTAAATATCGCTAGTGAAGAGCACGAGCCGGAAGAGGATGTGGCGGCCGTAGTTCTGGATTTTCTCGTTGAGAGGTAGATCGGGAGACTCGACGAGGGCGCGGGACGCCCAGGTACCTGTGATCTTGATGCGGTTGACGGGGGAGCCGAGGAATTGGTTGTTAGCTTGGACGATGCGCAGGTTGCGGCCGATGAAGATGAGTTCCTTGGGCCATTTGCTTTCATCACCGAGAATCTGGCGGATACCCTTGCGAGCGGCTTGTTGGGCTTCGTAGTGGAGCTGGGCGCGGTCCTTCTTGGAGAGGCCTTCGAAGTGTTGCTGGGTGGAGAGGTCGCCGCCTTGGTAGGGGCGCATGAGAGTGACGGAGGCGAAAATGTCTGGGTTTGTGACGCCCCATTGTTTGACGATGTCGCGGATGGTGGCGTTGTCAAAGGTGAGGAGCGCCTTCCAGAAGCGGGCGTATTGATGTCGGAAGTCTGAGTCCATGTGAATGTAGAGGCCGTGGTCGATTAGGACGAGTTCTGGTTGACCCGATGGTTTGCGACGGACAAAGATATTGCCCGGGTGCGGATCACAGTGTAGAATCCCCCAGAGGAACATCTGGGCTGAGAACAAGTCGACCATTGTGGTCATCACCTCTTTCAGGGAGAGACCGAGTCCGCCGCGGCCATTCCATCCGCGCCAGTGATCCCGGTCCGGTTTGATCTGGGTTGCATTCGGGTTGTGAGGAGCCTTGGTCGATGTGCTGTTGGACTGTGGGGAGTCCATTGGAGTCCCGTGGCATCCTGGGCTACCCTGACGCCAACCACCACGCCAGGAGCGTGTGATAGCATCTTTATCCCAGAGGCGGACGCCCTCGATCCATTCCGCGGTCATGACCCGCTTGGAGCTCAGTTCACGATAGACCCTGGGAATGTAGACACGATTTCGGAGCCGTGACTCGCTTGCAACGAGTCTGGCCATATGCTCCGAGTTATCGGCTTCATTCTCGAAGTCCGTCTCCAGGAAGAGGCGCTCGCTGACATAGGGGACCAAAGAGTAAAAGGGGATATCGAACACACGGCTATAGACCCAGGTCACGACCCTATCGTTTGTCAGTAGGTAGCCAAAGCCAGCTCACAAGGAAGGACAAGTTTACTTGAACGCCCATAAATCCCATTGGATCTGCTGCGCAATTTCCCGCTTCTGAATCTTCACCGCAACCTCTCTTCCATCGGCCAAGCGAGCCCAATGAACCTGCGCTACACTAGCGCTGGCTCTGGCCTTGCGCTCCATGGCACCTTTAGTGGGATCGCCTGCGAACGATACGCCAAAGACTTCTTCCGGAGACTTGCCGAAATCCTCACGGATGACCTTCTCCACATCCTTCCAATCGTTCTGCGGGGCATCGTCGAACATACGCGAGAACATCTTCTGGAACTCGGGCGGTAGAATGGCCGACTGCATGGCGACTGCCTGACCGATCTTAAGGTAGAGGCCGCCATTCTGGCGCAGCAAATCCGACAGTCTCTCGGCGTTGCGAGTGTGTAAATGGTTGATGGACTTGGCGAGGAGAGGATTTGGTCGAAAGTTGATCTTGTAGTCCAGAGCCACAATTAAACCTAAGGTGAAAGTTCGGGCTGTTCTCGTCAGGGATGATGCGTAGAACTGGGTATCAATCGCATAGACCACGCCGGTGGCTAGCGATAGATAGACAAGGCGTCGGAGCCATTTGCGGGACCGATCATAGGTCTTTGCGGGGGCGGGTTTCCCTAGCTCGCTCGGGGACGGCGGGACGAAAGGCTGGTAAGCACCGGGGTGTACAAATCGAGTGGACTGAAGGAAAACGGAGGGAGGAAGTGAGCGAGGACGTAGATTCGATCGGAGAATAGGGCAGGTGGTCGTGTGCGCAGTTGGAGTGGTGGACCGCAGTGTGCGGGCGAACGACGTCATTGACGCCATTCGAAGGTGTCGAAGGGGGAGGGGGAAGGGGACGAGATATTGATCAGACCAGGGTTATCATGGTGCACTCATGTAAGTAATATTTGTCGGAAACGGAGAATTATAAGAGGTTAATGGAAGGATATGTTGAGGAAGAGAACGAGGAAGAGATGCTGACAAGGCCAGACCCTAATTAAATGATTTCATTTCATTTATTATGTCCGCGGAATCTCCGCGCCTTAATCCCGTGATATCAAACATCGTTTGCAGCATGTAACAACATAGTTAGAACTTATATTATATATATACATCGCCTTATATATACATTCGTAGACTATAATTCTTCATGCACTATCCCATGGTCGAGCTCCTCCTCCCCCTCTGCCACTCCATCTCCCAAAGTTTGGCACACGCTGGCATAATCCCTCATATTGTTTGGGATAATCTCCTCCCATAACCTGTCGGTCTTAAGATACTCATACTGCTCCCGACAGACCTCCTCACTAACCATAGGCAACAATGTCGGCAAATTCATTATCGCCGCCCGAACGAAATTCGTCTTGAAACAGTTCCCGAAATTCGCCAGGGTCTCCGAGTCCGAGCAAAGGTCGTTGCCATGCAGCATCGGACCACAACGGCGTTTGATAATCTCCGCCGCGTCGTCTCCCAGTTTAATCATCGCCTCTTCATGTCGCGGCGCATCTAAGCGTTTCGTTACGCTCCGTACGGCGGGGAGGAAGGAGTTATTTCTCGTCCAGAGGTCCCAGTGGGGGACTGTCGGTCGACAACCTTGGTCGCAGATGTGCTCTTGGAATTTAGCAAAAAGATCCCCGGGGCGGGCGGCCAGCGCTGTGACGACTTTCAAGCATGATGTGTTGATTCCAGCCGAAGCGCAACCAATATTGAGGAGTAGAAGGAGAAAAGAAAGAACGAAATGGCCTAGGAAGAGGCGCATTGCGATTCTATGGAAGAATTCGCAATGTACTAGCAAGTTGCAGAAGTGAATTTTCAGGAGTGCGACTGAGGGTTGCTGAACATTGGAAATAAGTGGTCCTCGGCCCATTTTATGGGGATAAATGATCGACACTTTTCCCCGCATCCATCAAATTTATGAATGCATCTCTCTCGGCATCGGAGATGCAAAGCGACATAATCCACGTGGGAAATATAGTAGAAGATTCATGAGAACGGGTCAGTATCTTTGTGTCTATGAATTTTAATTTTACAAATATACGTTGTCCTTCTGCATGCTACCCATCTCATTATATCTATCATTATAGTAAATGCTTCTTAGGGCTAAATATATATATTCACTCGCAAAGTCTCCAGAACCTGCAAGCCGGTGCCGTCCTCCGCGTCCCAGATGCGAGCCGTGTCATCCCAAGAGATCGATGCAACGAGCGTTGAATCTGGGCTTGTGGCCGCCCACATAATCGTATCAGTATGCCCGAGTAGGCGATGCCGATTCTCTTTGGCCTCGACGTCCCAGATGTTAACGCAAGGGAGAGTTTCTGCGTCGCGTATCCTGTTCTGAGTAGTAGTGTGATTCTGGGTAACATATACCATTTTCTGCCCGTCGGGGCTAAAAGGTGCGCCATACGATGCAATTTTGCCGTCTAAGGTGATTTGGTTCCCCAAGGCATGGATGTCAATGGCTCTAGTTATAGTTGTCTCGAAGCAAGCCCTCCGCGATCGCCTTGGTCCCTTCTCCACCTAGTTTCCAGCCGTGATCAGCCACAAGCTTGGATATAGCGGTGTCCGCTACCCTGGCTGAAAGAGTGTCGATATCTACTCTGTGCTCATTCTTCTCTGCAGACACATTCTTCCCGTCCCTGTCAAGATCCCAGACCACGATCGAGCCCTCTGCAGGAGAGACAAGTGTGTATAGTCCTCATCCGATCATACTTAGAGCGAAAAAACACCTGCCACACGTCATCTAGATGCCCTGCCAGGGTCTCTACATGTTCCCGTGTGAAGGTAGAATAGACGTGGATGTGCTTTTCTACTCCGAGCGCAAGGAATCGACCATCGGGACTCAAGGACAGGGACAACCCTACTCCCCCCAAGGTGAATTTTATCAAGTTCTTGACCCTGACGAAAGGGATGTCCTGGAGCCCATGCCGCTGGCTCACTGTCTGGACTCTGAAAGTCACTTCCTAAGGCGTAGGTGTAGAGCATCATGAATTTTGGCTGGTTCATGTATCCCATCTTGGTAGATTGAGGTCACTTATATTGCTTTTCTGATGATTGAAATGCGTGTTAAGATAATGAGCTGATTCCGGCTATTTGTACCTGTACCAACAAGGCTGTTCTGTGCTTGAGGATGCTGCCTTATGTGCCAAATGTCCCTTTACTACGGTCATCATTGGATTGCACTGATGCAGTTTACCGACCAGTTCAATATCTCATTAGATTTGGCGGGCAGAAATGATATCAGAGGCGATTCTGACATAAGATGACAATAAACCTGAATTCTACCCCCTAAGCATCTGTGAAGTAGATTATCTGGGGATCATCTCGCTTTAATATAGCTAGACGAGGCTGGATTATTGATCGGAAGAGTCGGGAGCAGAGGCACAGTAGTAAATATGTATCCCTCGACGTGACTATTATTTCGTCTCTAGACTAAGGCTACACAGGTCCGTTCATTGGTTTTTCAAGTAACATAAAGCCTATGTAAGATATGTCCTCGCCTTTTACTTCAATATCAAGCATTCCACTGTACGTTCCGGCTTGGTTCTATGCTTATTCTTGATCAAGCTTCTACACAAGCTCACTTGAAATTTGGCTACCTCGAAAGAGAGAATGGAAAGAGGCTTTGAGGGCTTGGGATTCCGGAGAGAATTAGCTTTTGGTTATTAGGAATGCGAAGTATATCAGGTTGTTGTCATGTTGAAAAGAACGTTGCACTATCTTAGCAGCGGTTCCTTCTTTAACGGCGAAGGACATTCCTGAGAAAGATAGCACATGAATCACAGGTGCATCTACATCACTACGAACAAGGTGTATATTCTAGCGGAAGATGCTGTTGAAGAAAACCCTCATGGTTTTGCCACCAATGCCTTGCTGACGTTATACCTGGTGTAGTATAGAATTGGCAATTTTTTTTAATTTTTTTTTTAAAAAAAATGATATAATTGAATTTTTGATCGAAAGGTAGCATTGTGAGTCCTCATGAGGCTGTCTCTTTTATACTTCTGGTATACTTTACTCTGCTGAATGCCTAAGGCATGATTTCAGGAACATGTGAAACAAACACATTTAATCTCACACCGCCCAGCAATCTCCGCCCGGCAAAAAAACCAATTTTGCCCAACTTTTGATGCAGCTTTTTTTTCTTCGTCATTATTATCTTTGCATTTTTTTCGGGGGGTTCCTTTCTTCTCTAATTTATTTACGTGGCTGATATATCGGAGCTATATTTTTGCATCTTATTTGTTCGCCTTCCTATTTTTAATCCAATTTGCGGGACCATTATAAACAACATGGGTGACAAGAAGCGCAAGATCGTCGAAAATAACCCCGAGGAGGCCATTGAGCCCGAGGGAAAGAAGGCAAAGCGCGAGGAGAAGAAGGAGAAGAAGCGCAAGTCGAAGGACGTTGTGGAAGATGTGAAGGAGGAAACCGGTGCTGAGGAGCAGACCAAATCGGACAAGAAAGAGAAGAAAGAGAAGAAGGATAAGAAGGACAAGAAGGACAAGAAAGAGAAAAAGGAAAAGAAGGAGAAGAAAGAAAAGAAAGAGAAGAAGGATGAGAGCGAGGAGGATGCGCCGGAGGTAAACGGTGCTGAAGAAAAGAAGCAGGAAACCGCCGATGCAATGGATGTGGATGAGAAGCCAACCCAGGAGAGTGACAATAAGGCAGATAAGAAGGCCCAGGAGAAGAAAGAGCGGAAAGAGAAAGCGAAACAAGAAAAGAAGGCCAGAAAGGAACAGAAGAAAGCCGAGACCCAAGAGCAGCAGCCGGAGTCCAACGGGCAGCAATCTCAAGCCGAACCTGCTGAAAATGACACCCCTAAGCAGAAAGGCTCCCGGTTCATTTGCTTTGTCGGTACGTTCGACCAGTCTTTCCCCATGAATAATCCATCATTCCTAATATGCTTGGCTAGGAAATCTTCCCTACTCTGCCAACCATGAGTCCTTGTCCGCCCACTTCGAAAAGATTGCCCCGGTCTCAGTACGTGTTGCTACTCAAAAGGAGAAGCCGACCAAGTGCCGTGGGTTCGGCTTCATTGAGTTCGATAATTACGATCGCATGAAGACCTGCCTCAAGTTGTATCACCACTCGATGTTCGATGATAAGAAGTATCCCCCCCGGAGGATCAATGTTGAATTGACGTATGTATCCGTCCTGTACTAATTCCCGTCTACTGTACACCTTACTCACCCTCTTAATAGTGCTGGTGGTGGCGGTAACAACGATAACCGCAAAGCTAAGATCGAAGCGAAGAACAAGAAGCTTTTCGAAGAGAGGCAGCGCAACGCAAAGTCTATCCAGCAGGAGAGGGAGAGGAAAACCAAGGCTGAAGAAACTGGTGTTGATGAATATGCGGGTGTCCACCCCAGTCGATTAAGCCGCATGGCATAGTTTCTTCTTTCCCCGGTGACCCCCGCTCTCAGTTTCATGTAGGCTCATGTTGATCTGTCAAAAGTGTTTGTTCTTATGTTCAGTTTATAGAGATATCCTTTCCGTTCTCTTTCTTCCGGCGGATACTAGGTGAAAAGCGTAAGACAGGAATTTTTTTATAAAAAAAAAAGGAGAGAAAAAGCAAGACTTTGAATGCATAATCGTCCATTTCCAAATGACTAGCGTTCGCTAAGATGCATCCATCGCAATTACACCCGCAGCATGCATTGTGTTTGTCGCTACACCCCTCTAGGAGACCAACTCCCCCCGAGACAAATACCGAAACAACAGGAGAGAAAAAGCAAGTCACAACCCCATCAAGCGACAATCATTGCATGATATTGTATGGCGTGTTACATCTTTATATTGAATTAAAGGAGGGGTAAAGAGATGAGGGGTCAGAGCATCTGGGCTCCCAAAACAACATCAAAATCGTAGCATCGAGCCAAGGATGGAAAAATGCAGCCAGTGAATAAGGAACAAGAGAATTGAAAGATATTGTCATCATAGGGAATAAATTCCCCAACAACCCAGACGCCGTATTAGTCCTTTATATTATAGTCGGGAGGAAATTATAAGAATCGATCTACAGAATCAAACATTTGCTCTTCTTCGGCTTCGTGGCGGGTCGTGGATTGAGAACAGCACTAGATCCAGGAAAGTTAACCCCAGAACCCCAAATCTCGTGTTGGCGTGGGTCGACTTACCGGATAGCTTCGTCGAAGACGCTCTTCAGATTACGCTGTGTCAGAGCCGAACATTCAAGATACTTGTGTGCACGGATTTCCTTGGCCACGGCGAGGGCTTGTTCATAGGAAACAGGTTCCATCTTTCGTTGACGAAGGGCGTCTGTCGTCGCTCGGTCGTCTCTCAGGTCGAGCTTCGTCCCGACCAGGATGATGGGGACATTGGGGGCGTGGTGTTCAATCTCCGGGAACCACTGTATAGAGATTAGTTAGGCTGGACGCGATCGACACCGGGGGCGAGTTTTCCATGAGGCATCGCTTGGGAGTAAGCACCTTAGCTTTGACGTTGTCGAACGACGGAGGGCTGACGATGGAGAAGCAGATGAGAAAGACATCGGTTTGCGGATAGGACAACGGGCGAAGTCGGTCATAATCTTCCTGCCCAGCAGTATCCCAGAGTCCTAGGCTAATCGGTCGGCCATCTACCATCACACTAGCCGTGTAGTTGTCAAATCTGGAGTCCAGGTCAACCACGAATTCGTTTTAGACGGATACAGGGAACAGAGGGGCCACGGACACGGTCGGTATATACTCCCCAGGGAAAGCGTTGGTTGTGTAGGAGATCAGGAGACATGTCTAATTGGGTCTAAGATTAGCTGATGGAGGGGACAAATGGACCGGAAATCGCCATAGAGACATTTTGACTTACTTTTCCAACAGCACCGTCACCAGTGACTACACACTGTACATAGTCGTCTATTAGCCGCGGTGTGATCGATCGACAGATAAGCCACGGGAAAGCTGGCGAGGGCTGACCTTCAAAGATTGGGTAGCGGGACCGGTCGCCATTCTTTCAAAATCTGCGATAGAAGGACGCAAAGGGGACAATTGCAGCGATGAGAGATGCGCAGCGGACGAACTGGCAAATGGACGACGGTCAGGGCGTTATAAGGAGGTGGGTTGTTGGCGGTGGAAAAGCAACGTGGACGGGTATCTGCAAATCGGATAAAACGCAGAGGGAAGATAGATCGATATTCAACACGGCGAATCACAGGACGCTATGGGATCGATAAATGGGATAAAGATAATCAAATAATATGAAGAAAAATATAGAGAATTATGAAGAAGAGAAGGTGGAGAAGGTGAATTTGAACCCGAACGACCACCAAATGCGGTAGACAGCGAATGGGAGTGCGGAGAGAGTTCGAGGAGAAGAGGAAGAAGAGGGAGAAACTTGAAAGGAAGAAGAGCGAGAGGGGGAAATAGAGGAGGGGGCAACGTAAAGGGAGAGCTTTGCCTGAGTCGATAGCTCACCTGAATTTTAAGGTACTCCAAGTAAAGAAAATAAAATAAAAAAAAAATAATAATAAATATAAATCAAAAATTAATTAATTAATTTAATCTACCAACTCCATCAATTCAATCCCAACCAGCCAACTATATTGCTTTCTCTGATATTATGACGCGAATATCAGATTTTCCTTCCTCGGCTGGTTTGCGTGACGGGGAGAGCCCCAAATCATCCTACATCGATAGCTTCTTACTACCTATGGACTAAACCCTAGAACTTTCACAAGACAGGGGAAATGAACACTGAATGGCTGGTTGTTAAGCGCCAATGACACGGGGAAAATCCGAGGGCGAACTGCACCGTCTTGCTTAAGGTCGAGTCGGCTGGGGATTTTGGCAACACTAAACCAACTTTTAGTTTGTTAGCCTGGTTACAGGATGATACTTGGACGGTCGTTTCCTGTATCCTGACTGGCAATCGTTCTCTACCTCTCCATCTGCCTTCCTCTCGAATCACACCTCATGCTGGTTGTCAGTTTTGTGGCCCTTTCTATTATTATATCCAACTTTTTGCACTTACTGGCCGGTATCCAAGGTACAGTCGCTGAGGAAGTTTGGTTCAGGGGCGGTACCAGAAGTTTCGTTCATGACGGACTTACATAACACTTACCATAGTTAGTATACGGAGTACCTATTGCTCTTATCGTAGAAAACAAAGCAGATACATACTGTCTGTATGTATGTATGTATGGACTTGTGTGCTATGTACATACATCCATACATTCAACATCAAAGCATTACCGTACCGTACCCTGAACCCTTCACTATCAAAGCAGAAAATAAGACTCGCCGTTAAGGTACATAGAGATGCCAGTTTACATTCCAATGGGGCATACGCATCTAAAAGACTCAAATTAAGTATCCCATAAAGATGGAAAAAATAAAAGCCAAACGGATGACAGCCACCACCATTGGTAGTGGGCTGCGTTGACCGCCACCAAAAAACCGAAACCTCCTCCCCAACCCGGTATTTTTAGATCCCATCCATTGTTTGCGACTGGTTGGAGTCTCCGCACTTATGCCTCCATCCCGGTGTGATATCATGCAAGCCAAGTATGCATGGCCCTACAGGGTGGCGCTCAATCGGATTGGAGCTGGACGATCCCTCCGGGTCTATCCCATCCGTGGAATATACTATAACATCATTCCATTGTATTACTCCCTATTCACTGGCGAGCCAACCATCACTATGCTGCTACTAACCAAAGGACAAAAGAAATACACTACCGTTGGAGAAACCAAAAGGAAATATAGAAGAGAGAGAAAAAAAGAGAGAAAAGAGGGAAAACTGAAGAACTGTGAAAGATTATGACTGAACGCGAGTAACGCCAACCGAAGAAGGAAGAATCCCATGCCCAACCTTCACATCGTACGGCCGCTCCATAAGCCCAGCCGCTTTGCTACCAAATTCCTGGAAATGTGGACTGAGCAGATGCATGTGGAGCGCATCCTGGTCTCTGTACCTGTTGGTCCATGAGCTGTCGGATTTCAGACTAGCCAGCGTGGTTCAAACATACCTTTCCACGACCATTATCTCATTTCCATCTTTTATAGAGAAGGCATAGTAAACTAACGTATCGGGCTCGGTAGCATGTACTTGACGGGTTAGTTCCGATATATGACTTGAGAGCTAGTGACATTGTTCCTTGTCAGCTGCCAATTTCACAAAAGAGAAATCAGATGCATCATATAAAGCAATGCATAACAAATGTTAAGCCGTAGTGGTGAAGGGCACTTAACTTACTTCGTCATGCTTGCCGGGCTTAGGGTACATGATGGCCACCACATTCACCTCTTCAGAAGCCATTTTGCGATTTTCAGTTACTAGGTCTGCCAGTCTGATTGAGCATATGTAAGAGAGATGATCCAGACCACGCAGGAAGCAACAGGGGTGTCATGGTCGACCGACAGGATATGCGGAGGCGGGTTCGATTCATCCCTGCGCGATGACTAACCAGATTGGTATGTGGTTTATGAAAGCGGTTGGATCCCCAACTGCTATTGCATTGCATTTCTAGCTAAAAAAGTATATACAATGAATCTCGTATCCACAATGAACTTTTCTTTTGATATTCCCTCTTACGCGGAAACGTTATTAGGGTCGAACGAGCTCCCACCCAAATGGTGATACACAAGTACGTCTACATAACGGGAGGAGCAACAAATGAGTCCGGAATGCCGTCAAACACCCAGTTGAGAGAATCAAACACTTCGGAAAATCCGACCTCGCTGATAAATGCTCCTCCTTGGTCGAAGTTGGGCGCGTACATCAACCCGGGGTCCTCTAGTGAATCGTCCTGTCGAGAAACAGGTCCAGCCGTCGCCGACAGATTCGGGTTGGCTAAAGAAGCTGCGCCGATTAGCTACAGGTATGAGGAATAAGGAAAGACGGGGAAATGAGGTGATATACCTTGAGCATCTTCGACGCTCTTGATCGGCCGAAATCGTTGCCGCCAACGCCAAACGGTATCATAGACGTGGCTCATACTCATTCGGCAGCGCACCTTCAGCAGTAGAGCCTCCTCTCCGCTGGGATCGGAGCCCCCCGCATTCCACATCTGAGCCAAAATATCGGCCAGGCGCACCGGACGATCGTGATCCATGACGCTAATTCGCCGAATGGCCGAAATAGCCCCGTTGAACAGAAGCTTCCCATGATCGAAGTCGATGTGGCGGCTAAAGTCACTTTTCAACAGCTTCATCAAGGCAAACGCAGCAGATACGATCATTTGAAGAATGTAATTAGTCGCATGGCCAATTAGCTCCCCAGGAGATGTTTCGAGGTCTAATACTCGTCCAAGGAATGACGTGGTGGCAATGAAGAGTTTCGTTAAATCGTCGCTTCGTGGGTTAGAACCTAAAAATACAAAGTACCGCAAATGCAGCTCAGCTGCTCGTAGATGGATCATGTTGATGTCTAACGGAGACCATGTTAGACCTCATTCGAAAACAGTGGGGTGCAAACGTGACACATACTAGAGATATCTCGGCCAAGGTCGACCTCCATGTCTCTCAGCTCATTTTCCAACAGCTGCACAATCAACAACTTCTCAGAGCTAATAAACTCCGCAGGTTCAGGTTTACTACTGTACAATGACTTCGTCACTCGATCACAGAACTTCTCAATACGCAACCGAGTTTGGAGGTCATGGGAAGGGTGATAATCCGCGTCTTGGAGAGACGCTGGCTCGAGCGCCCAGTCGTAGATAGTGCCAGGCGGTTGCCCGTAACCAGTAGCAACACTAGTAACAGTGAGCAATAGCGCTACGGACCATCACCATAGAGCAAGATTACTTACTTTTGAGCTACAATATTACATATGGCCCATGTTTGTATTCGATCTTTTACAGCCTCCCCTTGGACTTCCATGCGGAAGGTTGTGAACTCCTCCGGTTGCACCGGCCGGTGCAACCCCAATTGCATGGCAATCTGCATCATTAATCCGCTAAGCATAAAGGTCGCGTCGGTTCTTTGACTTGTCGTGGGGAGCGGCCACGTGCAGAGAAGACAAAGAGCTTTCACCACACGATAGTCCTGCGGAACCCCCGTAATAGTCGACCACAGGAGCCGACTAAAGGGGCCAGAGAGTGCAGTGAGAAGACCAGGCTCTGATGGAGCCCTTCGACTTGCGACACAGATAATCGTCCATGCCTGTAAGGGGCAACGACGAAGATACTCTTCAGGAGGCTTTTGGGGATTCAAAAGCGGCAGGAAGGGATGATAATATTTGAAGTACCTGGCCTAACGTTAGGGCTGACAGGGGCCTGGATCTAGGGAGGGAACTGATTACTGTTCAAATAAACGTGCGACTCTTGGTCGGGGCAATGAGACGTCTTCTAACCTCCACATATTATCCTCCTGGGACATAATGGAAGCACCCCTCTGGATGGTTAAGGGGGTTGCCAGAGGTTGCGCTTCCAGCGGAGCAGATAGGGTTCGTGTTCTGTTCGAAACGGCCGAACCAGGGCCACAGAACACCTCTTCTGAGCATGGGGATAGCTCATCGCTAACTGTTGCTTCCACGCCATGAGGATGATCAGCAGAAGTAGCTAGTCGTCGACGGAGCTCTGCGATTTCCTTTTCCATCTCTGCATTGCGCCTGTTTGAAGCACAGTCAGCCATGGTAGGATTCGCTTGGCTTGGGGTTAGCTGGCCAAGTTTTACCTTCTTTTCGAAATGCGCTTGAAGCTAGGTTCGACCTTGCATTCTATCTGAAGTCGCCGACAGCGTGAGCACGCTGCGGCGGGCGTCTGTACGATATCACACCGCAACTACGGTGTTCGAACCCCCATGTTTAGCCAGTGGTTCGTGAAGAGATAGTAAGAAACGACAGTGGAGTCCAAGGCCAGAATTAGGAGGTGCGATACGCTTATTTAATCTGGAGAGAGATAGGCTAGAGGAGGGAAGTGGTGGATGCAGGCTTACCTTTTGCTGTTTACACTCATTACAAGCCTTTCTACTACCACCCCGGCGCTTCCCCGTGATTGGGGGAATCTTCTCCATTTCGCAAGGTTCGGAATTCCTGGCTGATAGATCGAAACCTGTGACGGGCCGGGGCATTCTGGGGTTGTTCCGAAGGTCGCTGGGGGTGCCCGAGGGCGTTAAGAGACTCGCATGTGTAGCCAGCCCATGCGGTGCCATGACACCCCGAAACTCCAGGTCCATCAGTATAAATCAGACGTCGCCCGCCGGTATGGAACCGCGGGGCCCATTAACACATGCAAAACGAAGGAAACGGTCAAGGAACCAAAGGTTATGTGCCGGAAATCGGAAGAAAAGTTTAGGTGTTGAAGTGTCGCGAAACTCGGCGGTTGCTGACGGGCTGACTCATCAATGGCCTGAGGCACTACTACGCAGTACAGTATCTACTTATTTGTGGAGCTGATTTGAGCGGATTTCCACCTCTCCAGTTCCTCCACTCCATGGATACTCGTACATCATACTGATGAAATAATGATATCCACTGTATTCAATACGATGCCCATTGCTTATTTACCACCATCCGTCCATGCTATAGTATAACGAATCATGCCAAATAGCTCCCAAGAGGACTAACCTTTCTTCTACATGTATGAATATGGATCTATACTCTCGGCCAAGAAATGCATCATACTCCGTACGACTACTAGTACTAGTATTAGTACTATCTAAAGGTCACGGGAAGACAGAACATCGAACCCTAATGACGTCGGTGACACTGCCACATCTTGCTTAGAACACTAATCCGAGAAGCGTAAGGTGTGTAATGGTTTTTGGTACCTGAACCGCCATTTACCTAAATTAGGTACATTCTGCCTCCACCCCCACCGCCCGACCATTACAGTATGCTTCCAAACTGCTTTAACCAACACTAACTTACGTTATCCGTTGATACTATCATTAGGCTTCCGCGATCTACAAAACCAACTTCATTTCTATCTTTCTGCTTCCAGTGCCCTATTCGTTTTCTCTATCATTCGCTACTCGTATTGTTATTCTCTATGGCAGACGTCAGTCTCCACGATGGCCCTGCGCCTTCTGCGCCCTCCTCGCGAGATGCCGATGCGCCACCAGCAAGTGCTGATTCCGCAGGCCACTCGGCGACGCCGGCGATCTCGGACGAGCTCAAGGCTCGTATGGACAAAGTTGTTTATTCAGATGTACATGATCATCTATTAGGTTCAATCGTTGAATTGCTAGATTACTGATTCGGAATTGTATTACATAGATCGGTATTACCACCCTCCTGACCCGGTTGAAACAGAGCGTCGCCTCGGCTAGGGTTCGTCCATGGATCAGCGACCCCTTAATGTGGCCATAGTTCTGACTAGAGATAATCCAGGATTTCTCAACATTCCTCAAAAAGCGATCTTCTCTAGAAGAGGAGCATGCTCAAGGCTTGCGAAAATTATCCCGCTCTCTCCTCGATGCATCTGTCCGCACCGATAACCGTCAAGGCACCTATAGCCAGAGCCATAATGACCTGAGTCGATTCCATGACCGCATGGCGGATCATGGACTACAGTTCGCGGTGTCCCTGCAGCAAATGGCTGATAATCTTCATGAGTTGGCGTCGAATATCGAGCGGGGTCGCAAGCAGTGGAAACAAACCGGTCTGAATGCGGAAAAGAGAGTGATGGAGGCGGAGGCAGCAGCGGAGAAAGCGAAGGCTAAATACGAGTCGCTTGCGGAGCAATACGATCGAGTGAAGACAGGCGATAAGCAAGGTGGGAAATTTGGTCTGAAGGGTCCAAAGTCGGCCGCTCAGCATGAGGAAGAGCTGTTACGCAAAGTTCAAAATGCAGACTCGGATTATGCGTCCAAGGTACAAGCTGCCCAAGCAGCGCGGCAGGAGCTGGTTTCCACCCACCGACCTCAAGCTGTGCACAAAATCCAAGAATTGATTACACAGTGTGACTCTGGCCTTACATTGCAGATGCAAAAGTTCGGTACGCTTATACTTTCTCGATATCCATAACACCACGTTTTAGTTACTGACTATGCTTAGCAACATTTAATGAGAAGCTCTTGCTGGGCCAGGGCTTGTCTATCAGCCCCCTGAAAGATAGTGCGGTGAATGCTGCTGCCGCACCGAAGAGTCTCTCTGAAGTTATTCAAGAGATTGATAATGAGAAAGACTACCGCGATTATGTGCTGAGCCATCAGAATAATCCTGGGGCGGTAACTTCGGATCAGATTAAGTATGAACGCCATCCGGTAAGTTCCATAAGCCCCGTCTTTGTCGCTATCTATTAACCCCTACCCTTAGACGCTTGGAGGTACTACTGGGCCTGTTGTTCCGGCCTCCCAAACCAGTACACAAAACAAACGTAATTCGTCGATGTTGCTTCAATCGTTTTCCCAGCAACATCTTCCGGCTCAGTCTTCTCAACAATCCCCCGCACCAGCACCAGCACCAACTGCGGCTCCCATTCCAAGCACTCAGCAGTCATCTTACCCTCACAATCCGGATTCATACTCATCCTCAACACTCCAGCCGCCGTATCCGGTGAGTGACGGCCCAGCCGTGCCAGAAAAGCAACCCTTAAATCCGCCACCCATGGCAGCGGCACCGAGCCCGTTACCACCAGCTGGAGGAACTTCAGGAAACTTCCAGCAGCATCTTCCCCCATTGAAACCCGTCTTCGGAGTTTCCCTGGAAGATTTGTATTTGAGAGATGGAACTGCCGTTCCTATGATTGTCTACCAATGTTTCCAAGCTATTGAACTTTTTGGTTTGGATATGGAGGGCATTTACCGACTTTCCGGAAGTGCGAATCATATCAACCAGATGAAGCAACTTTTCGACAATGGTGGGTTAGCCCTTGTCATGCAGCTGTAGAGATCTCGCTCTAATATTTCATGATCAGATTCATCGCAGGTCGATTTTACAAATCCGGAAAATTTCTATCATGACGTGAACAGTGTTGCTGGATTACTCAAGCAGTTCTTTAGAGATTTGCCCGACCCTCTGTTCACGTCGCAGTCTTATTCTGACTTCATAAATGCAGCCCGTAAGGCTATAAATCCACGATCTCAAGACGTTCTTTATTTTATGGTACTAACGTATGCTTCAGGTATTGACGATGATGTTCAGCGTCGAGACTCGCTTCATGCGCTTGTAAATAGTCTTCCAGATGCACACTACGCCACATTGAGAGCCTTGATTCTGGTATGTTCTTCTTAGCCCCATACCTTCTAGAGTCCAAAATCTGATCTACTTAATTTTAGCATCTCAATAAGGTGCAAGAACATTACACCCAAAACCGTATGAACGCAGGAAACATTGCCATCTGTTTCGGGTAAGCCAAGGTATTCGGATTGTTGGGTGCCGTGTGAAAGCTAACCATATATTCTGTTATTAGGCCTACTCTCATGGGCGCCAGTTCCGGCGGCAACGTCGCCGACGCTGGTTGGCAAGTCCGTGTTATAGAAACGGTTCTTTTAAACACTTTCCAGATCTTCGACGATGATTAGTCACTCCCCGAGAAAAGACCATGATCATCTTGCTTCTTTTGCCTTGCATTGCAAACCACTTTTCTTTCTCTAACAAATGTATATAGTGATACTTGGACCGGTGAAATATCCTGATGAGATATCATTACTTGCCTATAATGTAATTCTAGTGGATTTAGCGCAATCACTTCCTCTGCAGTTCAGTTTGATCATGACACGTTCTTTCTATGATTGAATTGATGAGGCCTGTTGGATAATTACAAGATGGAAATAACAGCAACAGTCGGATATAGTACAAATGGTGAAGTGTGGCAATGCGAATTTCTTCGAGAGCCCGCTGAATGGTGAGAATGCAAAAACCCGGAACATGGGTAGTTTTAAGACACGGGTAGAATCGAAGTTGACTGTCAGAGGCACAGTATGATCCTGTAAGGGGGAAAGATGAGGTGAGATGAGATTCTCAACGAAAAGCTAAGGCACTTTTTGTACGTCGTGACGAGGCAATGACATACCTCCCGCTCATTCTGGAGATGAGCGCCAGGAGTCTGCCATTTGGCGGGTAATTATATGGCTACTGGCGTATTTTCTGTGTATGACGGGGCTTATTTCTTTCCTTGAAACTGTTCCTTCATGGCTTCCATACGCTCCGCAAACGTCAGGCCGGAGACGAACATGGGGTTAGCGAGATCTTCCACGGTGGTAGGCGTAGCGTGGCCCCAAATGCGCCAGTCCTCCTCCTCGCCATACCACCGAAGCTTCTGGAGAACGATGTATTCGGTGCAGTCTTGCTGCTTAGGCGGTGCGGCAGACTCGACGGAGACTTCGGACTTGCCCGTCTTGACCACCCTGGACTTCCCAGTGGACTGTCTGCTTGTGATACGCACCACGACCTGTCGCACTCCAGAATCGGGGATCTCGGGGATTTGAGTAGCACGGTCAGACAAGACACGGATTCCGGTGAGAAGAGTTGCTGGAGTGCGGTTGTATTTGTCAAGAGACCAGCTGACCTTCTCATCCCTGGAGCGGTTGGCGATACGGGAGGAAAGGTTGTTGGCAAGGCCGGTGCAGCAAACCTTGCGCAAGGTACTGATGTCGCCCCTATGTGATGGATGGTATCATCAGCATCCCAAACACCCACGCCGTGTGGATTGGGTAAAACTTACTTGGCGAACGCAGAGTACATGCGCTGATGGAGCTCACGAGCAGCCTGTCGACGCTCCTTCAGGCGGAGTGGTAAACCTGAATTGAACCATTTGCAGTAGGCAACAAGACTGTCCGCCAGTTAGTTTCTTGAGCCATCCCAGCAGACCACTTGTGCGCATCGCGGCCCTCCGCGTTTTTGATTGTCGCAAAAGACGAGAATACAACGAGCAGTGAAAGGCAACAGCATACCCCAAGAAATTTTGGAATCCTGACTTCAACCAAAGCCACTCCAATTGCAGACGCTCCTGCGGTTGTTGAAAGATCGAAGGCATATCCCTCCAGAGCGGGCGAACGTATGTGCCTGGCAGCAACCCAATATCCTGAGGCAATTCAGACCTTGATAAGCCCATCCCCCTCGTCGCCATACTCGGCTGAGCTGGTTGCTTGATGGCAATGTTTTCAGGAATTCCCCGCATGGCACTGCGTTGGGGCGAGTGCGAAAAGAACCGGCATTGACATGAGTACAGTTGGAAAATGACGTTATTGGAGCGGACGGCCGTAAAGACGGGCCCCTTTGACAGCGAGGATGCCATTGTGAAGAAAGGCCACGAGAACCTCGAGCAGAATGAATTGAGAGTCGAGTTGGAGAGAACCAATGATCAAGACCGCAAAAGAAATCCCGACGGATGGCTCACGTGATATCAACTCCGCCTGCCGTTTCTCAGTCCGTTCGGCCAGCTGTGCTTCTCCGATTCGCACGCTAGGTCATGGCGTCGACTCTATCGACAGCTTCCTGAAGGACGGATCTATCGCTGGCACATGAAGCCGTCTTGTCTTTGACTGTGCTCTGTGCTGTGGTGCTCGGAACCCGACTTCTTGTCAACAATCCGTCATCTTCGCGGATAGAAACCGACCTTATTTACAGGATAGTCCTCGATAGGATTGACTCCTATCGCTTTCAGTCTTTGTTCTCTCACCAGTTTCTCAATCCTTCTGCGCAACGGCCGCATATGCCGTATCATAAGGCTGGCTCCTCCTCGTGATGCTCCCCCGCCCTTCTCTCCCCACGCCCGATATCCCCCTGAAGCTGTCCGTTTGAGTACTCTCGATCCGGACTTGCGCTCGCAACTTTTGGCCTCAATCTCCAACTTCCCGGTGGACGCCTACGAAAAAGAGGTGGCTTCCCCAGCCGCCGCCGCCGCTATCGTCCCGCCGTCCCCCGACCCCTCTACTCCCCCGACCCCCAGCAGCAATGATTCCGGTCACGCAACGGTTCCCTCCGCCTTGCATCCGCGAGTGGCTGTCATCTTGGGAGTAGACCGGAAGTGGTACCTCCCTCTCCTGATCTGTCGGGCACTGAGCACGGTGCCGGCAGCATGGTGGGGGCTCCGGTGTGCCTTCACCTTCCTGGCTGAATTACTCCACATCCAGGCGGGAATGGGGCATGAGGGTTGGACGGCGGCGATTGTCGATAGTATCAATCAAGAGTGGGATGTTGAAAGAAGATTCCGGGTGACCGAGGTGGCCCTGGCGATTATGTGGGTATGTATGACCCTCTCTGGCGGCAGAATTATGGGCATGAAAATCCCATGCAAATCCCAACGTCCACGCACGACCATCTTTACGGAACGGTGAACTAACGAATACCTACTCTAGTGCTGTGCATCCGCTTACCTTTCGTATTTCTTTGCTGATTGTATGATGTCTCGATGGTGAGTTTGTGTCTCAGCCCCTCTACATATCAATATCCCATGCTGAGACTTATATTCATTCTATAGGCTTTTGAATTATACCCCGCCGGCTGTTGTTATTCGTCTCCTTACCACCAACGGACTGATTGCTTATATCTCTTCATGGGTCCTCTACCTTTCGGGTGCATCATCAGATCCGCGCCTTCTCCTTCCAGCCTGGATATCCATCACAACCGTAAGTCTGCCACTTCACAACCACGCCGCTGAATTGAGAAGAATGACTGACACCTTGCTTCTCCCATGGAGACCCTCACGTTCCTTTACCATGCCACTCAAAACCGCGCCATGATTAAGCGTGAAACAGCGGCAGCTCTACTAGTTGTTTCCGTTGCGAGTTTCGTGAGCATGTCCTCACTTCTGCTTCAGTTACATCTGACTCGAGAAAATGAACCGGAAGTACCCGTCTTCGTTATTACTCGGAAATTATGGGACTGGGCTGTTGCGATATTTCTTCGCATGCGGGTGGCGGATGATCGAGTTGGGGCGCGCGAGTTGTGATTGATGTTCCTGGGAAACGGGCCACTATAGTGAATACTGCGCAAGCGATGAAGAGCTCTTTTTTGCCTACTTTTCGGATTTGTTACTCGCGATAACCGTTACATGTATTCCTATTGGTACTCTGAAGACCCACAGCAAATTGCATATCGCATTGCATACATCCTATTCTGAGAAAGACTGTGTTGTGAGGACAAGTTCAGAAACAACATATGGAAGACGTAGAGCACAAGTGCAAACGAGAGATTGACCTTCGCACACCAGGTAACCCTCCATAACATCCGTCTGGCGACGGACCTCCCGACACGTATTTCTTCCAAGCCGAGTAACGACAGGGATGAGGCAAGAAACAAAAGAACATCTATGCATATATTTGGGTATCTACCAACGCCTCGTTCCGTCATAATCCCATTCCGAGTAGAGCAGTCGAGCCAACAAAGGACCCACTCCCATCAATCGCGTGCCGCAATTGTTTGGGATCAAATTAGACAGTGCTTAATAACGACAGAGGTCCCAGGTCCAGTACGCCGGGCACAGAGGGTTGAATGTAAAAGACAAGAAGCTTAACCGAACCACCTAGATGCTGCGATTGCATAGAGTGCAATGCAGAGTTAAGACGAAGGATAGGCGATACATGCCTTCTATCCAACCACTCCGAGGGCAAAGTAGACTGGGAAGAAGGGATCGGAACGGGGCGTGGCGTCTCCTTTAGAAACCGTGGACCTTGATGGTCTTGGCATCCAGCTCGAGACCCTCCTTCTTGTCGGTCAAGAACTCCTGAACATCTTTACGCTGATCACCCTGCAGCTGAATCACCTCGCCCATCTCACTATCGGCGACGATGGTGCCATTGCAGGCTGCACATCCGTTAGTGGGTGCTCCTTGCGATTATTATATGGTAGCGGTGTAGTAGCAACTTACCGAACTTCTTCTTGATCACCTTTAAGATCTTCTTCTGATCAAACTTCTTAGGAAGACCCTGAACGGTAGTCAAGGTTTTTCGACCATTGCGCTCTGTAAAGGAGAGAGATATCAGTAACAAATTCCAAGGACAAGTAGAGCGATTCAACGGATAAAAGAAAATAAAAATTTCAGAAAAGAGAGACGATAGCTAGGAGGACATACGCTGAATCCGTATATGGATATAATTTTGAGACTGCTTGGTCTCGCCGGTGTCTTCGTCAGCTTCGGCGAAGGGGTCTGTGTAGAGCACGTGTCAGCCTCAGGCTCCTAAACAGGATTACCCCGCCAAAATTGTCATGCGGCACCGATCTGTGGACAAAGGCGATCTGCAAACAATAAAGGCCAAATCCATGACACAAAGTATCGGATAGACTTGCTGTAGCGACGCCTTTGCCCGTCCAGGGCGATCACCATCTCTAGGGGGAGTCATAGCTGGCGTAAGGGAGGTGGCAAAATGGCCTTACCGAAGGTCTTGAGGTTTTCGATGGACATAAACTCGGCCTTTTCTCGAAACGGGCCCTTAAAAGCGGTTGTAGTATAGAAGCGAGGGGTAAGAGTAAAAACTCTGTAATTTGTAGCGATCGCGAGCGTTCGTAGAAGAGCTGAGGGGTGAGTGTGAAGGTGTTGTTGGGGAGAAGACAAGTGAGGAAGAAGAAAGAGCCTTTTGAGGGGCGCGACCCGATTTAGCGCCTCTGTGGGGGAAGGCGGTGAAACTGTGACTAAGCCTCTGTGTAGCTCATATGTGTGTCTTCATCCAGCTGATCAGCCAGATGATCTACTATTACCTGCAGTGTTGTGGGATGTTTCCTCTATATAAGAACATGATCTCATTCCCATTGAATCCCATCGTGTGTGAAAAGACAACATGACTCAGAAACAGAAGAAAAAGATCAAGACTTGTATTAGACTAACTATTGATACAACGCCACGTGATCATGATGCACTACTGTGGCAAATGGATGACCGCATGGACGTGGAGGTTTGGGTATCATCCTCACTTCAAAAATGTCCTACCCCCTTCTTCTTAGGTAATAAATAAATGGGGTGGTATAGGATCATAATTCAATTCCTCGAAAAGGCTAGACAGTCGGCAGTGTTTATGGGGAAGGGGTAGCCGTGGCAGCACCTGCTGGAACAGCCGGTGGAGGCATGAAGATAGGGAAATATGTCTGTGCCGTGCGAATAAGTACCAGACCAGACCACTAGGCAAGAAGGATAGTTAGGGAGCTTGAGACGTACAACAACCAATGCCATCACTATATGCACACCAAAAGTTAGTATCTATCTTGACCTTCACCAGCGGGAAATTGGAGACGAACAGGACATGAAAACGGACATATACGCGGGAGTAGACGCCGTCCTTTTCTGCTCGGGTGTTTCGCCGAGCCAATTTTGAAGCGAAAAGACGAATGAGACCCTGTATACTAGTTAGACATTTCCAAGGCTGATGCCAAGAAAGCAATTTACCATCCGATCATCCTGAACATCAAAGGTTTGTCAGAAATATGACCCCTAGTAGTGTGAGCAGATGTACTCTATCTCACCTGTTACGGGTGAACATCTATGAAAAACTGTCAGCATCCTCGGACCGCGCAACCATGAGAAATCCAGATGTCAACCTACCGCGGCCATGGGCAAGGTGCTGGTCATTGCGCCTGGACCAGACCGTTAATAAAGCATTCCTCCCCAATTGATCCGTGTTGGAGATTGAATTATATACCAGACATATCGGCATCATCCTTGTTGGCGGGCGGGTCGACATAGGGGATGGCTGGAGTCGGAGAACAGCAATTAGTGACTGCGTTTTCACCGTCACGAATGATACTGGTTGGGAGGGGATTGTGAAATTAACGTACCGAGGTCCAACCTCCGCATGTCCTTTTTCGATGCCATCTTCAAACAGGAAGTAACTGGTGCTATTGTACAGCTTGTTGTTACGATGCTGGGAGAAAGACGAACTCGCCAGCCAAGCGGTCGTTGGCGCCAAGACTAAAGCGGCAGTTCATCGATTGGCCATTCGGCTTTATCTCTTTCTTTATCTCCCGTCAAAATGAGCCATCAATAAAATTATCTGTAGTATGTATGTACCTAGATTATGCACACCGACGGGGCAAAAAGACACAAAAAAAAATAAAAAATAAAAAAAGAAGAAATAGAGAAATAAAGAAAAAAAAAATGAAATTGAGAGGGATTTGATCTCCATGCTCTCGGGCTCGTAAAGTCGCCTTTATCTCTCACCCCAGACTATTTTGGGCCCAAAAATGAATAAATCAACATAAAAAAAAAATTATGTTTTTTTTGAGAAAGAGAGAAGATCATGATCTGCAAAGCCCAAAGGTAGTAATCCTTACTCAAGGAATAAATCCCCGAAAGCCCAACCATGGGCTGCATCAAGAGTAGGGAACACTGCTGAAACAGAGATTGGCCTGAACAAACCTACTCGGGAAAGCAAACATCTCTCGACTGGGTTGGTCGGCCACACATACAAAGCGCTCCTCAGTCTCAGCTAGCCATGTTCCACTCCAATTGGATCCATTGCCAGTGTGCTTACGTATATATCCAATCACACATCAGTAAGGCACGAATCCATGGTAGCCTGGCGTGGATGCAGAATACATGCTTTTCGTGCTAAATTTCTAGTCCTTCATGCAGATACAGTGTGTAAATGTTTGTCCACTACGAGTAACTAGTGTATATTCGTGCGACGATCCAGGTATCACTGCAGTCAGGGATGTTGTGTAAAATTGGCATGGGCCGTGACTGAGAGTGATGTGTCCTATGGCATTCAGGCACCAGCAACGGAGAGAGAGCATTGATTGAAGTACCTCCTTTAAGCTTTACCAGACAGGACTTTGATATTAGTGTAACAAAAAATAAATAAAATAAAATAAAATAAAATATACAAACAAAGGGATGGCCATTATAAGAAAGAGTAAGGTAAGATAGAATACGCATAGTAAGCCAACCTTGAAATATCATAGATCATAGTGGAAATGCGGGGATAAAGAGGGTGAATCAGACAACCATATCATGCCACATTGGGGAATTGTCATGCGGAGGAGAAGGAATTATCTGATGGCTCATTCAGCGTGGGTGGCGGGATCTGGTAGGAATGGATCGGCGGCTGTTTCTCACCACCAGAAAATGAAACAGAGAGAAATTGGGTTTCTAGTAGAAGTATTGGGAGACGCAATCCATGGGATGTCATTCGTTTGATGCACAGGCTGTCTTACCAACTACTAGTAGTAACTGTCCATGGTCCAGTCGATAGTCCCGAATTGGGATGCAAATCATTGGTATCACTGCAGGTGATACGAGCGTACCGTACACGCTACTACTAGATAGTATATGTATGTATATACGTCTGTATGTCTGTATGTACGACAGCAGAGAAAGTGGACGACGAACTGAGGAACTACTAAGTTAAGTATCTCCAGATGTCACCTAATGTTGGTATGTCCTAGTCTTCAATAAATTTCCAAGAGGCAAAGAAGGTTTTGTCAATGCCATCATTCTCGGAATTAGTTACTCAACTTTGTTCCATAAGATATCTCCGATTTTCGAGAATGGGGCAATATGGGGCCCATCATCTGATTGCCAAGAGACCCATCGATTTGCCGGAGAATCCGAGGATGACCCTTTTAGTTGGGTAATATTATCGTCTCCAGTTACGGAGTATTCATTAGTGCCGTTGTTCGTGTATGTCCTTTTATTGCCCTATTACCTGTAGGTGTAATTTTCTTTTCTTCCCCTAACCTGAAAAAAAAAAAAATGGTATGGACCCCCAAGTGGATAATAATGGATATATAATATAACAGTCATGCGGGTAAAATCTGATGCAGCTCCATGGGGATGTCACCGGTATGAAAAGGAATATTGAGAGTACCAAAGAAATAATTTAGGGGTACACCTTGACTTCCTCCTCATTCTTCAAGTATCTGACTCCAGACTACGGAGTATTAAATACCATATCACCCGTCGAAGAATGAGGTTAGAGACAGACAAAGAACAGCGAATATCAGGAGGGAAACTTTGAGCGATCACAATTCGATTTGCATGAATCTCTTTTTAGACTCCCAATAAGGTTAAAAAGTACGGACAATCAGCTTTCAAGCTTAAGACGCATTCGGCATCCGGTATTACGCCAGTAATGGATCCATGTTTATCTCACCCACACTGTGTCAATCCCGCGGTAATTACCCGTCATCCGGTACACTTCAGTTCGCCCCTCCCCCCCCTAGCATAGTACTAGTAGGAGGAGTAAGTACCAGACGGTCCCATAACTCCGGACTGTTCCATTGTATGTATCCATGTACGGATGATACCCAAAAAAAAGACGGATTGCCAGTTGGTCCTTCCTTACGTTATCTGGAGATCTTCCCTATCGTTCGCCGTACTCGGCTTTCCCCCAAATTCCCTTGTTCTTCTCCTTCTTTGTGTTCTTCTTTTCCTTTCTACTTCGCCCTTCTTCAATCAATTTTCCCGCCTCGACCCTTCGTTCGCGTGTCTCGCGGTCTTCAGTGCAGACTTTCCCGCCCCTACTTGATCCGCACCGATTATTTCCCGACCTTTAACCATTTTATCCGCTCACCTTGCATTTCCCGGCGTCCTTCCGGTGACAGATTGGTAGGAGGCATATAATCGGAGCTGGGACATCTCGGTTCTTCTAGACAGTCGCCAACGACCGTTCGCACGTGTTCAGTCCGGTTGATCGGCCAGATTCTGCTGTTCCAATGACCAACATCCGGCGCGGTGATACACCATGAAGCTGAGATGATACCTCATTCTTCTGCCGGCGTCCAATCGTGGGGTCATCCCCTGCGCGCCGTCAACAGCGGCTCTGGACATGTTGATGCTTCTCAAGCCGTGAGGCCGTCCGACCCTCAGTTCGAAAAGCTACCAACACCTGTGCCGCAGCCGCAACCCAGACAGCCGGCAGTCATCGACCTTACAACGAGTGGTGGTGATGCACAAGAGGTGGAACCTCCGCCAAAAAGACTTCGGCTGGATTTACCTGTAGCACCCTCTGCCCAAGTTGCGAGTCCTGCGCCGGGGAGCGGTGGAGAGCTGAGAAGCACACCAGGAACGGGTGGCTCCAAGCCTCCCTCACTTTCTTGGCGCAATCGGCCGGTATGGTCCTTCCAGGCCATGCTATCCGAGGTGCCGGGGAGCAATGTGATGAATGAGGAAACAGCTGTCGCGCAGGGTGGGAAACCCGCATCGCCACCTTCTTTGCCGGTTTTGCCTTGGAAGTATGTTCCAGAGTCGCTGGGAAGTAATCCCGCAACGTCACGAGCTAGTTCACCCGTGAAGGAGGTGCAGACGATCCCCTATCGTATTGAGACTCCTTCCGTTGCGCCTGTACTTAAAGGAGAGAGTAAGTTACCCTCACCAGACGGTTATGAGAGCCGAAGGGACACCTTTGACCGGTAACCAAAACGTTAGAAGTTGCGGATTTCTCTCCATGGACTGGGAACCACCCGGAAGATGTTTTAAACGAACAAACAGCAAAGCAGGGACACTACGACCGTACTCAAGTATCCCAGAACGAGTCAAATACCGCACGACCCTCGTTATATGCACAATTGAAGCACCGTTCCGGTCTGCAGATGCTCTCTTCCGTTTTTGCCGCGGCTCTAGAAAAGAGACAAAGCCATAGCATGGTGAATGCGCCGTCGACCTTTAAGCCACCTCCACGAGTAACCCTAACGGATAATAAACGTGAGGCCTGGCTCCGTGACCTAGCTAACCCGTCTGTCCCGCTGCGCAAGTTGAGCCGAACGATTCCTCATGGTATCCGGGGAAAGTCCCTCTTGGACCAATGCTTAAACAAAGGTATCCCAGTCAGCCGAGCCGTGTGGCTTGCAAAGTGTGTCGGTGCCAATGAGATCCGTGCGTTCAAGAGGAAAGGAACGAGTGGTACATTAGCGCTGGGCTTGGAAGCAAAATGGGTCCGTGACTGGACAGCAACTGTTCAGCAGTTCTTAGAAGGAGTACTAGGTGCTTGCGGCTCTGCGCAATGGAAAATGAAGATGACATATGCGTATGTAACTAACACGGTGTTCGTACAATTCAAGTACTAACAGCTCCTAGGGTGAGCTTGACTGCTCGCTTGTTCTTTGAACGTCTGCTCGACCACGACCAATATCTTGGATGGTTCTTGTCCTCTCTAGAAGCCGCGCCGGTCAATACAGTCCCTGTTTGGCTGCTGATGCTTGGCATCTATTGGGACAATATCATGCGATATCGGAAGCGTGGGCGGCGGTTAGCCGAATTGCTGCTTGTGAAGTTGCGCCAGGTACGTGCACTGATATTGACGGTTAATAATACCCTACTAATGAGACAGCAGGTCACCCAGCCGGAAAAGGTTGGTCAACTACAGCCCCTCGTAGATCGATTATCTCTTTATGTCAGGAGACTTGTTCTGGAACATACCTCATCTATGGTTCTTCCAGGTTCATGGGAAAACCACAAGGAGCTTATATCTTCCTGCTTGAACTTGAATGATAATATCCATAAAACGATTTACCAGAATCTCTCCGAACGCAATTCGCGGTTGCAGCTACCTAAGAACTACCGAGATACAGCTGAACGGTCACCACAACAGCGTGTCATTCAGCTGTTCGACTCCATCCGCTCCGCGCATGACATCTCTTCCGCCTCGGCTACATGCCTGAAAACGATAGAGGATAAGGCTGTTCTCATTTCCAAACTCCTCGAGTGGACGGCTACACCGTTCCGTTATGGTCTTTGCCGTGTATATACTGGCGTCCGTCTTCTGCGCAAGTGGAAGATGTCTGGGATCGATGTTGACTCATATATCCTTTCTTTCCTCACTGATGTTCGTGTGACCAGCGCACTAAACATGGAACATATCTACCATATCATTTCAGAGCTAGTCAGGTCTCAGACATTCTCTGTAGGTAGGTACCTGCAATGGCTGATGGCGAAAGGTGTCACAAACACCACCCAGCCCGTATCGAGTGACTACTGTCTCCTAAAGCAACTGCCGGCCAATCGCCTCCCAGAGCATGTGCGAAACCTTCGTAATACGCTCCTTTACCGGGCTGGGATCACGGTGATGGAGGAGGACTCTGCCATTGCAGAGCTCAAGATATCAATTGCTCAACGACTGCCCAATATCTTCGGCGCTGAGATGGACAGTGCAATGCCCACCGAATCATCAGAGCCCAATCCCACTTGGGCTGTCAAATCCGAAATCGGACAGTGGATTCGCCGCGGAGTTGCTGAGCATTGCCGCGACTCACCGAGGTATGCTTCTCTACTCTCTAGGTGTACTACTCCGGCTAACAGCTACAGGAAACTCTCTGGGGTCTCCGTGGCGGTGGACCTAGGTGTATCCGCCCTTACTCCCGACGAGTTCTACAGTGTCAGGGAGATCTTGGAAACTTTTGGTGATCTCTCGATGCTGGCAGACATACTAAAGCATGCTACTCATTGTGATGACGATGTTGTCCTGGCTTCGGTTGCTGATACGGTCAATTTCCATTTTGACTGCTTCTCTGTAATTGGCGCTACGTCTGATCTCTTCAGGGGCCTCGTTGAGTCATATGCTCGTCTTAAGAAACTGGGAAATGCAAGTTTGGACTTGTTGTTTTCACTCATCGAGTTAGGGCTCCGAATACCCAGTGAATTCAACACCGTTGCTCTCTTGCGTCAGGATCTTACTCGCTTAGAGAGCAAGTCAGCTTTGGCAGCGCCGTCCCCGCTTTCGGATAGTATTCCCTTAGCACTCAGTGATGTCGATCCTTCTTTTCAAGAAAAGTTAAACCAGCTTCTCTCGTCTGGGGGTGGCATGGATGAGTCCACGATGGACACGGTCTTCTATTCGCTTATACATATACTAGAAAGTAGTGGCAGTCCCGCGAAACTGTCAGCAAATGAAACCGCTAGGTATCTTGCGTATTTGCGGCCGTTCCAACCGAAGCATTTCGATACAATGCTGATTCGTTGGATATGTGGGCTTCTGAAGTCCTCTACCCCGTCGATGTCTCGAATTCTCCCTCCTCTCATCGGAGTTGGTTGCGTCACCATACATGCGTTTGTGTTTTTGGTGAAAAAGCTTTTGCAGTCGGAAAAGGTGGCTGCTGCAATTCCCAACCTGGCTGGATTGCGGGTGGACCTGCTTCAGCTTCTTATTCCTCTAGTATCAGGAAAGAGTAAATATGCTGACTTGGTACGTCAATTATCACATCTATCTAGAACGCAGCACTAAACTTGTTTGTTCAGGTTACATACCGTTTCTATGTTGCACAACAAGAGTTTTTTCTGAAGCACCCTCAGGAGACCCTCGATATAATCTGCGATGCAGTTGCGTTGGTTGATTCAGAGTCCGGACTTTGTTCAGGACAGCCCGATATCTCAAGTTGTGCGATAGACTTGCTCAATATCCTTCTTACACAAAATCCTGAAGTTACGGTCCAATACTGTCTACAAGGCTTTATTGGAAAACATTCAACGTCAACAGCCGTCCTGCAAAGGGCTCTGGATAACCTCTTGGGCTTTGATTCACTCGCTGGTTAGTAAAGCGAATCTCGATGGTTGCTCATATTGCTAACATGCCGCCAAGGTCCATGTACAATGTCCGAGGCAGAAAGGGTCGTCCGCATGACTGATGATTTCTCCCTTCCGTTTTGCCAATTGAAACTCCAAATGCTTTTCAATGCAGAATCTAGCCGTACTGTGGGTAACGGTATCGTTGACGTGATGTTCAAGGCCGCTGTGGAAGATACACGCTCAAAAGGATCAAATTGGGTTGGTTTCGTGGGCCTCATGAGCCAAGATGTAATAAGACAGGTAGGGAAACACGACTATTACCATAAAGCTTTCCTCCTAGACTGACTTTTTTTTTTTTTGTTTTCTCTTAGATTCGGGAGCGAGCCGAAAGAGCTCTCTTTTCTATCCCATTATTCGAAGAACATCTTGAAGCCCATGGACCTTCGGGCACAGCCAAGTCCCTGGAGACAGCAAAACTGTACCTGACAATAATCGAGAAGCTTGCTTACAGTGTTCCCGAAGCTGGTGTCCAGTCTGTGGCTCCCGTTCTCGTCGAGAAAATGGATCTACTTCTCCACAGGCTTGTTATCATGCAAACTAACTTCAACAACGTCACCGCGAATCGACACGGCGCGGCTACAACTCAGATTCTTCAGTCTCGCTCAAACTTCGAGAGGGCTCTCGCTTTCTGGTTCTCTGCTTTTCTAAGAATGATTGTGATTCACCGTTCTGCGTTCACTGCGCCATCCCCAGCGCCTAAGCTCAACGGCCTGCAGGAACAGTCTCGTTTGCTGACCTCGACTCTTTGCATATCCCTTGCACGCCTTCCAGACAGTGTAATACGCCTTTTCCCGGCGGCTGACTATTTCCCTCACCCAATACCGTCTCAGGGCTACCGTCCTTGTCCCGGAATTCTGCTTCAGACTCATGCGTTAGACGTCGCTGCCTCCCTGATCGACACGTTCCCAGATGAGGCTCGGCAACATTGCGCCCGTTTCCTCAAAGAGAGGTGTCCACCCTTTCTTCAGTATCAAAATGACTCTAGATTTATTTACCTTCTCGGTCCGATGAGCGATGCAGCAGCACTGAATAGCTTGCAGGCTGCTTCTCTTCCATCACCTGCCGCCGGTGGTTCTACTCCAACTCCAACACCGCCTGCCATAACTCCTGCAGGTACCTCTGCTAGTCTTTCGGAAGGCATTAATTGCGTTGCTAGCCATCTTCGCCTCCAATATCGGGGTCGTGTTATGGGACCCTACCCGGTACGCCCTTGGGAGCTACTTGAAGATGCCGCACCAATCGTAGGGGTGAATGATACCGCTGTGAACCTCAAATATTTCGACGCCAGACGAGTTCGGGCTTAGATTTTCTCTGCGGCCTACGCCTCTGGCTTATGAGCATCCTCTTATATCAACGTACATAATTTCTTTTCTTATGGTTCCTGGGTTGTTGTTTCTGTTCACCGCTTGATACCATCTCCATCTGCATATAGTTTTGCCTCCGACCATACACCACGATCGTACCTTTGACTCCACCACACATCCAGTTCTGCTATGTTTCGTGACCATGGTCCATTTGCATGTGTGAAATTATTTTTATTTTTATTTTTTTGCTTTTTCTAATTTATTCCATGCATTGCGATCACTGCGTAGTGACTATGCTTTGTGGCGGTACATCTGGCAGCAACGCCCGCGTGTTACAAGCCCTCGTTTTGGTTGTACCATGAAATTTGTATATAGAGAAGGTCTGGCGTATCCTGGGTGGGTGGTTCATAGCATATGGGTTCACATATTTAGCATATAGTATGAACAATAGCATCATCTTATGAATACAAGGGTCACAATGACTAATGAATCTAGAGCTAGTGTAGAACAAGAGTTGATTACCTTCCGAATGAGTAGTTTGATATACAGAGACAAGAGACTTGCCCATAGTTCGCGGTTTGTGATATTGACCGTAGGTTTAATGACAGCTCAAGATGAAACAAAAATGGTCGAAACTAATCAGTATAAAAGAGAAAAATTTGTATGATGCAAACATATGTATGTAGGTTATCACTACCCAGAATAAGAACAGACAACAAGATATCTAACATCCAGCCTTGATTAACGCCAACCACATTATACATCATTGTAAGAAGCTAAAAGATGAGGATCTGGGTCCGCTTCTCCTCTGCACCATAACGTTCACGAAACTCGGACCGCGTGAGCAATTTCAAAAGTGGGAGATGGGTTTCCTTCATGTCAAAGATACCACGCTGCTTCTGATCAACATAGGATCCATCGATCACGATACGCTGTAGTTCGCCAAGTTTGAGGGAACCTGTAGAAGTCAGCTCATGTTTAGCCTGTTTTACGCACTTGAACGTGAGATAAGCATACCAGCATCGATCAGGTCGGAGATACGAGCAGGTGTTCCGCCTCCAATGGCAATGCTTAAGGAAAGTCAGTTTAATTACCAGGAACTTAAACGGGGAGCAAAACATACCGTGATCGCTCCAGGAATTGCTTAGCTTCTTCGAGCTTGATGTGCTTTGCAAACAGCTTGCCAATTGGCGATTCTTTGGTTTGGAACGTACGGAGGGCTCTACAGTAGAATGGTTAATACCCAACATGCACAGCGTTAATCGGCCTTAACTCACCTCACCGCATCGGCTGCTCGAAGCCCCGATGCGCAGACTACCAGGGTATGCGGCGTGCCTTTCTCCTCCGACGGTTTCGAGAGGTCAGATCCTTTAGGGCTGAAAGCCTTTAGAAAATCTGGTAGCTTCTCCAGTTGTCTGGGTGAGTCAAACGATGATGTGTCGAGGAATGAAGATTCTTGGATCGTTAGTACTGACACATATCCCTGAGTTGGAAAATAACATACCTGGAACACTAAGATCACTCAATTCAACCGCAGTCAGCTCCTTATTGTGACGCTTAGCTTTTTGCATGAAGTGATCCGCCAACAGGCGACCGTCCATCCTGCCAATAGCTTCATCAATGCCACCTTTGGTCTCGGTTTGCTTGGTGTCTCTCTGCTCCTTCTCTGATGCATCTTGCTGGGGCTTATCCTTCTTGTCCTTTCCACCCTTCTTTGGCTTGGACTTGCCGCTCTTCCTTTTCTTGTTACTCGGATCCTCTGCATTGCCAGCAGCCGCCCCGGCTTGTTTCGAGGATTCCTCAGCTTGTCTCTTGCGCTTGTTGTCAATCTTGGCCGAGAGGCCGGATGACTTGGCAGCTTCCGCAGACATTATGACGTAGTATCTTTATAGATCTCCTAAGATAGAGAGAGATATATATGTTTATATAAAAAAAAAGAAAAAAAAAAAGAAACATTCAATGGTTCGAATTCAGTTATCATAAGACTTGATCCGCAAGCAACTTTTTTATGCTGAGTCAGCCAGCTTATCGATAAGCCATGGCCAATGATACTGCAAGTCCTCCATGTCATCGACACGCGCTTTCCACTAAACAACAACCCCTCTTGCGAATTTGGTACATGCGCCGAAGCCTAATCTTCTTCAGGCTTTCTCAGTGACATGTCTAATTCTGTGCGATCATTTGTCAAAACAATTTAGGAAGCAATAGTTCAATAAACCCCCTTATCAGTACTCATGTCGACGACCCCTAAGCCGCGTGGCCGTCGGTCATCGCGAGGGTCCGACATGTCTGAAACATTCACTCCTGTAGGAGATACCACACTTACAGGGGTGAGTACACTGCTTCCCACCGTGATTAAAGCAATGTTGACTAATTAGAGGGTGGCTGCAGCTTCAGCGTCTTCCCATTCATACCAGATACCCTCTCACCCCCAGCCGGTTAGCAGTGTCAGGAACACCGTCGCGACGAACACCACGCAACAGAGCTACAGCGGCCCCATCAACACCATATGGATTACGGGCGATACAGCGCCGAGCGGCAAATACACCCGCGCGTGATCGTAGGAAAAGCGGACGGATGCAGAGGGAGACGACCTTTGATATTCTACGGAATCTCGGTAGAGGTATGTGTGCTAGATGAGCTTGTATTATATGCGTGCGATTTGCATGCTATGAATACATCAGATCCATACTAAAATCCAGGTGTCAGCTCTTGCGCCCGTGTCACAACCTATACGTTCATCACCGCAAGAAGAAAAACCGGAACCAGAGCTGGAACCAGAGAAGGATGAGATCGAAGAGCTCGACAACGAACCGGAGATTGAGCGCCCTCGACTGTCGTTGCCTCTAGAAGACGTAGAGGAGCAGGAGGAAGCGAGTCCTGAGCCACGTCCACCCAGGCTCTCATTGGCGTTTGAAGAAGAGGATATCACTGTCGAATACCCGCGACGGGCTACGAGCGAACACGATAGAGCAAGATTATCTATGATGAGCTTCGGTAACCCTAGGCTGAGTGAGAACTTCGGTGATGCGACCCGGTTGGAAAGCGACTCAGAGGATGGTGATGACACTGGTATCGAGCATGGCGACGATGGAGAGAACCAAGACGAAACTGTCATGAGTCAAGGTGCTTTTGATAGAGGGTGGGTGGTATTCTCCCGACAAATTTGGGTTACTCCGGCTAATTTGGACACAGAGGAGAGACGGAAGACCTTGGGAGGTTCAATTTTGACTTCAACTTTCCGTCCCCGCCTCCACCTCCGGCCGACGACATAGACGGACCTCTCAACGATGATGAAGGGTTCGAGCTTCCGCCCGTTGACCTGGCACAGGACACAGCCCCTATGTCTGACGACAGTGATTATGCCGCTGTCACAGCTGGTGAATTCGGTTTGGATCTCCACATGCAGTCTCGCGTCTCGCTAAGCGAAAGCCCCGGTATCGTCGGAGGAGGATTGCGTGAGGAAGACACTGTCATAGTGCAAGGAAAGCAAAAGAAGCTCTCCCGACACGGCATCCTTGTTCCCAACATGCCGTCAGGGGTGATTCGAAAGCTGGCTACTCGATTTGCGCCAGCGAGGGCTGGCTCTAAAGCTAAGATCAGCAAGGCCACCTTAGCTGCTATTGAACAAGCGTCATCGTGGTATTTTGAGCAGGTCGCTGAAGATCTGGCGGCATATTCTAAACATGCGGGACGGAAGACGATTGACGAGAGTGATGTTATTGCGTTGATGAGACGGTGAGCTAAGACAACCCCTTCCGCTCTAGTTATGCTAATCCGTTAACCTTCTAGACAACGCCATATTAACAATTCTACGACTGCTTTCTCTCTGGCATCGAAGCATCTACCGAAGGAACTACTGCAAGACATGAGATTGTCAATGCCTCCGTGAATAGTATACATGGTACGGATTCTGTAACAAACAAACTGAACGCCACCAATAGTCTCAAATACGAGAGATGTCAACGGATATCACCAATTCACATTTTGACGAACACGACGAGTCGCCTCATTGGGCCGTTTACGTACGATCATCCACAGCATGATCGAAGTTGCGAAGCACAGCCCGTACCTGCTTAGGGTAAGCCAGAGTTTTTGCTAGCCGGATATTGGGTTATTCATAGGAAACCTACCATGTGAAGATGTACTGGCTGTGGTTGTTTCGCAAGTTCACTTCGGCAGCGCGAGCAATAGGAATACCCTTGCCACTTCTGTTATACCATTCGACCATGTCCGCAACTAAAGAAGTTAATTTCGGTCATGTCAATCTTCGGGGCAGAGGCTGGCTCACTCATAGTCTCTTCAATCCATACCGGCTGACTTCCAGTAAGCTCAGCCATCTGTTCAACATCAGGGAAGTAGAATTTTCCGTCCTCGGGCTTATTCTCCGGTGTAAACATGTTTTTCTTCCAAGGTTCCCGTAGCAAGCCTTGGACTGTGACCTCTCCTTGGGGGAGACCCTCGACTCTGTCCTTCTGATCCTTCATCTTCTTCGAGATCCAGCCTCTGTTCACCAGGACAGTGCTCTCTCCCTCCCCTCTCTCAAGCGGCGTTACAACGATGAAACCATCCTCACCCTCGCGCATGCGAGGACCAACGAGCATCTCTTGGTCATGTCGGAAACGCCCCGTAGTGTAAACCCGCCGATAATCAAATTCGGAAATGGCATCCGGATCGATCTGTGGGGGTAGTGGAAGAGGAGGTTTGACGAGTCGGTCTTCATATTTTGCGATCAGCTTAGTCTTCCAATCGAGACGCTGAATTTGCCAGGTGCCGAGCGCGAATGAGATGATAGGAATTAGAGCTGTAATGAGAATACATTTCATTAGTGCACCGCCAGCCTTTACCGGCAGCTACTTATTTGCAAGTATGATCAATGGCTCTACCATACCTAAGATAATCAAACCCGGCCCGTGTTTACGACCAGTACGAACAATTTGCGCAGGATGATCCACAACCGACAACCATCGCGGATCATCCGCCAGCTGCTTGCTATAAAACCGAATTTGTTGACGGCGACACCTGGCGCAAATCGAATCCAGCTTGAACGCCATCCGGGGACCCCGAATCGACGCGGCGATTGGCGGCTGCCATGAGGTTGCTGCGGTCCGTTGCAGGACCGAAAAGATCGACCGCATGGTCAATTGGGACGAGGGGCTTCACTTACCCTTATCGCAAAGCCAATTGCTGTTTTAGTCTGGGCGGCAGAAAGCGCGTAAGAAAAAGAAACAATTCAAAGCGTTCGAACTGAAGTCGAAGTGAGTCCCGAGGGGCTCGTGATCGGCAACGGCCTTCTTTTCCCCGACGGAGTTAAAGCTATCTACCGCTTCACTTACTCTCCATTTATACTTCTCCATACATCGGTTTTAGCTGCGCTAGGTTACAATGTTCTTTTCTGGAACTCTGCAGGAAGGCATCACTTTAGCAGTCTCGCAAGCTAAAGCGGTAATATGCTTTGTTCGAGGTGTGTCTACTGTGATTTCTACGAACGCATACATCGATACATACATCAGATGAGCTCCGCCGTTATCCACTTGCTAACCGGCTGGATGTATTTCAACAGATAATGATCAAACAAGTAACCTCTGGGAAGAGGATTATTTCGCTGACAAAGATGTTTGTGTTTGCCTCAGTTCGGCTTCTAGTTTTCCTTCGTACGTGATCGCTAATCGCTGGTGGGACATAGTTCGCGCAATTACTCGAATCGAGATCTGTCCTGTTGCGACTCACCAAGGATTCTCAAGAAGCTACATTCTTGACGTCCTTTTGCCCCGTAACGAAGTTTCCTGTTGTTGTAGCGATCAAGTATGTGTGAAGACCTTCTCAGGCATTAGGGTTATTGGGCTTCTGATTGACTGTGGTATAGGAATGGAATGCTGCGGGAATATCTTGTGCCGGATATCTCGAAAGATGACTTTCATAGTCGGCTGAAGGCTGTTCTAGAGGACAGTAACCCGATCACGCAGCCCAGTCTGAACTCACCGGCTCAGGATACCCAGATCCATACTGCGAGCCCATCCACCAATTTACACACAGCGCCTGCGACTGCACCACAGCCTGAGCCTTCACCAGCCCCTGTCGCTGCTGTGCCGGCGCCAGCGCCAGCTTCAACTGAGTCGCAAGGAAGTAGACCACTAACGCAACCAGTTCAACAGGAATATAATAGTCTACGTGCCGGCGGAAGGACGTACAGAGTTGAAACACCCAGCCAGGCACCGAAAGCCCAGCCAAAGAAGCAAGAAACGCCGAAACTACAAGGAATAGTCAAGCCCAAAGATAGCACGAAAAAGCAGGAGTCAGAAACAAAAGCCACGAGAAACACTGCATCCGTCGAAAGCACCGACACGCCTGCAGAGGAGCGCAAACCACAAACCCCAACACCGCCCAAACAATATCGGCTTCAAGTCCGTCTATTCGATGGAAGTTCCATCCGGTCCAGCTTTTCGCCTTCGCAAACCATCCGCGGAGATGTTCGTCCGTGGATTGACAGTCAGCCTGGGGATGAAAAGCGCCCGTATAATCTCAAGCACATCCTAACTCCCCGGCCGAATCGGACACTTACTATCGCCGACGAAGAACAGACACTTGCAGAGCTCGGACTAGGCTCCACAGCGAATCTAGTCATGGTTCCGATCAATACATATACGGAAGCCTATTCGGCCACTGGGTCCAGCTTACCGGCCCGGGCTGTATCGTCTGCATATGGGCTTGTTTCCTCTGCGGTTGGCACCGCCACGGGTCTCGTAGGCTCCTTCTTCGGCTATGGTCAGCCAGCTTCGACTCCGTCTGCGGCCCCCCAAGCCAGCACACCCTCCTCATCTCCATCTGGCGATGGCGCATCAAGGCCACGGCCATCTCCATCGAGAGGTCCTACCATCCGGACACTGAGAGACCAACGCAATGAACAGGATGATAGCCAATTCTACAATGGAAACCAGGTACGTGATTTAAACAACGCACATGGTCTAAAGTCATAACATGGGTGGATCCACTGACTTGTATAGCTTAACTTCGAGCCCCGACAAGACACCGGCAGGTGACCAGGGTGGTAATAGCTAGTTGATATAAATCAAGCCTACCGGGTTTACGGTTCCTACTTAATTGAAACTTTAGCTGATTTCACCTGTTGCATCGACGGCTATGGCGTGGTACGTATTCTTTGGATTATATAAGGATGGGATGCCTCCCCCTTTGCTTTCAAATTACAGGGAAACTAAGCTGTAAACTGGACTATAGCTATGCTCGCTTTTGACGCAATGTAGGCCTATTCATCAAGTTTAGGACAGTTAAATCCATGGAAGAGTGGAATAGTTGTCTTTAGATATTCATCTGTCTCTATGTTCTGAGCAGATGGAAGTGAGTAAATATAAGGCAAAACAAAGAAAAGTCATCAGGTCAACCCCGACGGAAATGGTATACAGTAGAGGAATATTACGCCGCTATGCAAACACAGTCCATATCCAATCCAATCGTCGCACCGTCCGGATCAAGTCTGCAAACTGAACCGGTTCAAACCCATAATTCCTGTCCTTAGTATATCCCCCAGCGCGAAACATAATACATTAACTTTAGTAGGGCTTAGCAGCGGCCTGGCACGCTTTCTGTAAGACCAGTTAGCACCGTAATAACCACCATATATCGGCATTCCAAGGGGAAACCTACAAGCTGGTCCAGATACCATCCGCAAATGCTGAGGTTGCCCTGGTTCTCGTCCATGCACTGGCGGAAGTTGCGGACGTCCGTCTCGCAGGCAGGGTTGCCATAGGAGCTGTTGGCGGTGTTGCTCTGCCACAGACCGGTGTCCATGGGCTGGGCCTGGGCGGGAGCTGCCTGCTGGGCCTCGGCGGGGGCGCTGGAACCGCCGCTGAAGAGACCACCGATGGCGTGGCCGATAGAGGAGCCGACTGCGACACCACTAGTTGATGTTAGTCTTCTTTTCGCATATTTTCTTTATTCGAAAAAAAAAAAAACAAAAACAAAAATAAAAATAAAAATTTAAAAAAATAAAAGAAAGAAAAGTAGTCTTGTGAACTACTTGGTGGTATTGTGTTTTTCACTTTCCTCCGCTACGGCGGGTTTTTCAAGATAGGTCCGAGGGGAACTTACGCAGCGGTCGAGGCCATCTGGCCGAACAGGCCGGGTCCAGCGCTCTGCTGAACTGGGGCAGCCTGGGGAGGAGGGTGAGGATGAGCCTGCTGGGGAGTCGACTGAGGGTGAGCAGCGGTCGAGTGAGGCTGGGAGTGCTGGGCCGAGGGAGCAGCAGCCGGTCTGGCGGGAGCGGCGGTAGGTCTGGTAGGAGCGCTGCGCGCAGGGGTAGGCGCAGGGGCGGCACCACGACGTTGACGAGGCATGTTGATTGATGTAAATGTGGTTTTCGGAGTTGGAAAATAAAAAGATGTTGATGGGTGGGGATAGAAAGCTGTTTTGATGGCGAACGGACGGTTATATAAAAGAAGAGACTCGAAAGTCGGCGGAGAAGCCGTCGAAAAGTCCGAGAGATTCTCTATTTCCTCGTTCCCGATTGGCCCGACAATCCCCAGGGGTCTCCGGGACCGCGAAAACCATGTGCGGTATTGGTATTACTGGCAGTAATGTGGGTTGAGCCGTGTTTTTTCAGAGAATATGAATACGCAGCGTATTCGCATTACCGCCGCTCCTCCCATTGCCTAAAGTCCGACGGACTTTAGGAACCTATTTTTTTACATTAGATGACTCTTCATATACAGGGAACATACTGGAATAATCACACTTGTAGTATGTTAGTCATGGCTTCGGTATGGTTATTTATGACTCATATTTATATCTCTCAATCTGACCCACAGATTGGAGGCTGAGTCGCTCCTATGATTCAAGCTTACGGCATTGGAAGCAGCTCGCGAAATTCAGCAATGCAACTTGCCACTTAATCTATTTAGTCAACTATGTAATTTTCCCAGAGGTTCATACATAAGCCAGTTCAGGCATATTCCCAATAGATCATTGTTAGATCACTCGCTATACGAGACAGGTTTCATCCTGCGACTCGTGTGTGCGGTGTATGGGGTATCCACGTCGTTCGTTCATGTAGATACGTATATCGCAACAGACTGCCCCAAGTGGTATGATGGGATGAGGAAGTCACTGTTAAATTCAATAGAAGCGCCTCTACCATATACCTGGCGAGAAGCACAGCAGTGCTGGGACGTACGCATTTTGCGACAATGAAGGCTCATCGAGACTTCAAGCAAACTCAAAGATCGGAACCAGCCGATCATACCTAAGACACAGGAATTCCTCTTCGGCCCTGACAGACGATATAGTGCAGTGTTTGAAGTTGTTCATTGTACCTTCCTTGCTTTCCGGGATTCTTGCTTCTTCTTTCTCCGTTCCATCTTCTCCTCTTTGCGATCATCCTTGGTGCGCTTCTTCTTGTTCTTGGCAGACTCACGCTTGACAGCCTTATCTGCTTTCTTCTCTTTGCTCTTCTTTGCCGAATCTCCGGACTGTGTTGTTGCCTTCTCTTTTTCACCGCCATCGGACTCACTGTCTGAGCCAGATGCGGAAACGTCCGCAGATTTCTTCGATGAGCTCTCAGGTGCTGCTGCTACGGCCTTTTTGGCTAATAAAGATGCCTTCAACTGGGCACGTGCCTTCTCCTTCGCTTGTTGTTCTTTGCGCTCCATGTCGAATTTGTCATTTCCGGCCTGACGGCGTTAGCACTAGAGTACACATGATCAGATATTAAAAAGCACATACAAGACCATGCTTGATGAAGCGACTTGCAGCCTGCTTGTCAAGTGTCAATGTCCGCTGCTCTGGCTCTGCTTCTAGCGCCTTAATTTTCTCAAAGTATTGCTTCACTCTGGTTAGTTCTCGGAACACAGGATGCTCTTTAGCATTGATGCCATGGAGACGTAAATAAGCTGCGAATGCGTTAGCATGTCAAGGAGTAAGTGTCAGGATCGATGTTGCCCTACAAAATATGAGAGATTCCAAAGCGTAAGTAATCAGAACGTGAAACTTTGCCTTGTCCAACACAGGAAGTTTCTTTGACGTGTCAGTAATGGCACTATTCAAGACAGGTCCCAGAGCTTCTTCCAGGTCATCGACATGATCGTCCAGCTGCTCAAGCAGCGGCAATAAATTAGTTGCGTCCATCTTCTGAATGATGATTGTCGGCCTTCTGAGAGTGATTCCTTGGATAATATCAATTTTTTATCTACGGGCGGTGTGTAGGGCGGTCAGTAGCTAGTCTTGATCTTATCGCGCAGCTCGGCCGTTGTCGACTTGGGTCCAGTAGCCAAGTTACTTATACTATTTTTTTTTTTTAAAAAAAAAAAAAAACAAACTGTTTTTGTGTCACTCATAGAGGACGTATTGCCTTGCAATGCACAGCTAGTCAATTCTGTGACAGTTGTTTAGGCTTTGAGCATCCCGACGACCAATCTGGTCTGCATATCACGCAATTCTTCCAAAGTGTTGTCCATACTACGACGCCGTCCGCGTTTGCGGACTGGCATTTCCCAATTCTGCCTTTCTGCAGCAGTCGATGCTCAGCGCGGTTGCACAGTTCGTTTTCTGGCAACATGGCACCAGGACGCTGAGGAAGCGTCGAGAGATAGCGGCAACCGCCGGCTCTCAGGTCGCATACATATCCTGGGCATTGGGAACGTTGGAACATTCGTCGCTCACTCTCTTGCCAGCCGGCCATCTCCCCCTCCTATCACTCTTCTGATGCACACTCCCAATCTTTATAGGTCCTGGTTGGAGAGGAAGAAATGTCTAGCGATCAATACTAATGGCCTGGATGATGTAAAAACGGGATTTGATGTCAATGTACTGAATGATAAGGCATGGTACTCAGTACCGTATTGGAATAAGGATGGTACAGCAGAGAATGGAAACGACAGCATTGACGAGCATACTGAAAATTTCGGTAATGAGGAACTCTTAGCGCAGCCTGCCGACGGGCGTATTGAGTGTCTGATCGTTGCGGTCAAAGCACCAGTGACCGTGGCGGCGATAGACTCTGTCAAGCGCCGCCTGACGCCTGATTCAACGGTCCTGTTTCTCCAGAATGGAATGGGCATCATCGATGAGCTCAATGAAAAAGTTTTCCGGGACCCTCGACGACGTCCACATTACATGTCTGGTGTTATTTCCCACGGTTTAGCACGAAGGAAAGAACCATTCCAGGTCAGCCACACAGGCGTCGGCACAACTATCCTGGGCTCTGTCCCACCGGCAGATGCCATGTATAAAGGGGATGTCGATTGGGCCCCAAGTACCAAATACCTCTTGCGCACACTGACGCTCACACCACCGCTTGTTGCTGTTGCTGAAACCCCATCCGCCCTGATGCTATACCAGCTTGAGAAGCTCGCATTGAACTGTGTAATCAACCCATTGACAGCGATCATGAACTGCAAGAATGGAGAACTCCTCTACAACTATAGCTTCACACGTATCATGCGGTTGCTCCTCATTGAGATCTCAAGCGTCATCTGCGCTTTGCCCGAACTGCAAGGCGTTCCTGGAATTGAAAGCCGGTTTTCTCCCGAGCGACTGCGGATGATGGTCGTGCAGCTGGCCAATAAGACAGCCAAGAATCATAGTTCGATGTTACAGGATGTGCTGGCGAGAAAACCTACGGAAATCGAATACTTGAATGGTTACATCGTACGTAGGGGCGAGGAACTTGGTATCAAGTGTGTGGTGAATTATATGATCAAGCACCTGGTTCTCGCCAAACGCCTCCAAACGAAGCAGGTAGAATCGGGTGCCATTCCGATTGATCTGCTCCAAGAGCCCAAAATGTGAACATGCTCTCGCACCTGTATATTATAATGAATTCGACTTTGTGATACCATGCGCAATTCTACCTCACGAATCCTATTGTTTTAACAAAGTACGGCTTCGGAGGCTTTATCACAGAGGTTCTTAATCTGTGTCCATCGCTTCCTCAGCATCTTTGCCCTTTGTTGATCTTTCTGATCCGCTTGGCTAGATTCGAATTTCTCCAGGGCGGTGATTATCGTATCTGCTTCGTTTGAATACGCTCTTATCCACCCTTGGACGATAATCTCCAATTTCTTCTCGTCGGCACCTTGAGCAGAATAACCTAGTACATAGTTCCGCCAGTTTTTCAGAGGCATATAGTTTATGCACGCGGCAATCTCGGTACGGTAGCACACGCCAGTGGCCGTTAACTGGTAGTTACTGAGCGTATAGGTTAGACGTCGACGAAGTTGTCTATGGCAAAAGTGACCAATTGAAAAAAAAAAAAAAAAAAAAAAGGCATCCGGAATTTTTGTAAACATACCCGTAGTACTGCTGTAACTCTAGTTCCTCTTGTAGCGATGGGCTAAGATCCTTTAATATTATATCATCGAGGTATAATGTTTCGGACTCATTCTCATCGAGATAAAAGCCATCTGCTGTGGTTAACCCGCTGCCAGAGAGCAGAAGAACATGGTTGTGACAAACATTCAGCGAACAAGAAATCGTTAGGATGAGGTCCATAACTCATGTATATCTCTTCTCCTTCGTCTGTGGCACATGGTCAGAAGGTCCCTTGCGCCCCCGACAAAAGGAAGCAGTTCAACTGCAGCACATACCATAGTGTTTAGTGGCTCGGAAAACATATTTCTCACCATCAAATTTTACATTGCACTATGACCCCAAATAAGGTAAGCCAGCGTTGAAGACAACACTTTGCAGAATCGGATTCACATACCGCAACATCAGAATGATTAAAATAATCAGCAAACGGCAGCAGGGCCATAGCGTCATTTCGATCCTCGGGTGGCTCCTGGCCGGGCATCAAATAGAAAAAGCTTCTCGTGTTGACTATAAGCCAGTGGTATGAAAATGCCTCCCAATCAGTATCTGGGGAGACGGATACGACGATATCCCAAGCCGTGCGCAATCTTTGTTCCTGTTGAGCAAGAAGATTCTGATGGAATGTCTCGTACTGGAGCTTGTCTCGGCTTCGTATACTGTGCCAATGGCTCGAGATTGAGGGTGGCAGGTAGTTCCGCAGAGACTCTGACCACAAAATGGGCATACTGTCCTCAAAATCTTGGCGACTAGGCCAAGTGTTTCTCCACGCCTTGAACTCTTCCAGGTCTTCTGCGCTGCCATTCGTGAGAAACGCAGCGTATAGTGCATGAGTGGGTGTCCCCTCTGGAAATTTGCTGGTGAAAGAAGACGGGATACGCTCAGAGGTTAGCATTGCTTTCAATGGTACGGTCACAATGGCTTCATCTTCCTAGGTCAGGGTTAGATTTCATTGATGCGAATGGTAGTGGCACTGATAGCTGAAAAGCAATTGCATACTGCTATATTTCGCGTGGCTATCATCCCCAAACCGCGACCTGGAAACCGCGCAGGCCCGACCCCATTCGCAATGATTCCTTGCGAAATGGCCCATTCTGTGAACTGCTCGTGATCCTCTCCAGGCCACCAGTCTGGTTTCATTGCTGCGGGATATTGGTCCTTAGCGTGGAAGTATAACTAGTATGGAAAGAAAAAAAAAAAAAGAAAAAAAGAAAAAGGCGTAGATGAAGCGAAAGTGACTTTGTTCTAAAAAGATAGAGTCAATACATCAATATCTCATTTAGAAACAGCTATTGAAATATCCCTCCTGTACTAGTCTGCTAAATCACAAGGTCGGGGAACACATTCATCTAGTGGTCGACGTAAAAAGCAACATTATAGGGCTGGGCGATAAATGCTTATCGATCTTTATCAGTTGTACGGCGTCTCATAGGCACCAACAACGTCAACCGGAGATCTTCCCCGGGCATCGTACCACCACTCTACAACCTTCATTGTCGCATTCTTTCAAAGGGTCATGTCCATAAAGGCATGTCACCTTCTGGGCTCAAAATGTCGGTCCTTGGGAGGCGCGGAGCCCTGAGTTTCCGCGAATCGACCTTATCAACACCTGTTACGGTAGTAAGCTGCCGCACGCGGTCTTTCTTCGTGAACAATCGCCCGCTGCCAAAGTATCCCGGCCATGTCCCGTTGAACTTTGTTGAGCGTGGTGCTCTGGCTGTTGGATCTGCTGTGGGAGCTTTGCTGAATCCCCGGAGAGCAGGTAGGAAGCTTCTTTTCTTTCCCCCCTTCCCCTCCTTTTGGATTATACATAACCAATTTTATGATCTGCATCGAACATACATCAAAATTGATAAACTACAAGACAACCATACGCTAACAGCAATGCACCGGAACTGTATAGATCTCATCGCAGCCTGTGGCGAAGCAACCGCAACCCCCTACTTCATCTACCGTCTCCGTGACGCCATGCTCTCGGACCCAACCGGCCGCCAGATCCTCCGCGAACGTCCGCGCATCACCTCCGAAACCCTCCCTCTACCATACCTCCGCTCCCTTCCCGAGAACTCTGTCGGTCGGACCTATGCTGCCTGGCTCGACCGTGAAGGTGTCTCCCCCGATACCCGCGATAACGTCCAGTACATAGATGACGAGGAATGTGCATACGTCATGCAGCGCTACCGGGAGTGTCACGACTTCTATCACGCAGTGACGGGCTTGCCGACCTTCGTTGAGGGGGAGATAGCACTGAAGGCGTTTGAATTTCTAAATACGCTTATTCCCATGACAGGGTTGAGTATGTTTGCTGCAGTGAGGTTGAAGCCTGCGGAGCGGGAGCGGTTCTTTGCATTGTGGTTACCTTGGGCAGTCAGGAGTGGGCTTGCGAGTAAGGAGTTGATTAATGTTTATTGGGAGAAAATTTTAGAGAAGGATGTGGATGAGTTACGGAGTGAGTTGGCTATTGAGAAGCCCCCGGACATGAGGGAGATCAGGCGGATGATTAGGGAGCAGAAAAAGCGGGAGAAGGACAGGTTGCAGCAGAGTGCGTAGATCCGGCCATGTGAGGTTGTTAATGTGTATATTATTTATTAGATGGCTTCCGGTAGCCGTGTATTCGATATAGTCATGAACCCTTCCCTTTATCTTAACGCACGTTAGACTATTATCGCAAGCGGGTTGTTCGGTATCACAAATGCTGGAAAGAAGCCGAGCCTTTTTGTCAGTTAAGCATCAGGTATTAAGACCTGGTTGAATAACGGAATAGAGTGCTGTCGAAGGATTGCACTATGTACCGACCGCAAACGCCTAGGCCCAGTTTGTTTCTGTTTCATAGCCCATGAATATAAGGGATGAAGGTATCAAAGGAGACCTGTGAGAAGTTCCTTACAGGCATTAACGACATTCGCTGTTTTTCAATTCGAGTTTTCACAGATCCAACAAGTCATCATCGTCATCCCAGCCTCCTTTACGCCGACTGAATACAACCTTATGCTCTTCCTCATCCTTGCGCTGGTTCTCAGCCACAGCATTTAGGAGCTGCTTGAGTTGATCCTCCGAGACCTTTTGCCGCAATTGGCCTGTCTGTGCCAGCATGATCAGCCGGTTCTCAATGTCGACGGCGCGCGACTCTTTCACAAGGCGAATGCGGCCCAGGCGGTCCGCAGCTTCGGGTTCGAGGATTTGGTTCAGGATTGCAGAACGACGTTCGGCTGATAGGTACTTTATTAGATATAATTCTTGGGCAAAAGTGGATGCTACCACGGCTGATTTCATGCCCCTCTCTCTTTGCGGGGTCGTGGAAGGTGCGTAAGAGATAGCATACCTTCTGCTTGTCTGTAAAGTAAACCATTAGCACTATTCAATCTTTTGCACTATTCAAATGCAAAGGGAAACTTCTTCTTCTTTTTCGATCAACAAGAGAAATTCAAGACGCGAAAAACTTACTTCCTCTGATCATCCTGGCCGTCTTGACCGGCACCACCTCGTGGTCCACCTCCCTGCTGCTGCTGAAGCTGAGCCAGACGGGCTCTCCTGATCTAGCTTTGAGAGTCAATAGCTGGTTCGCAAACTTTGGCCATAGTCTAATACAGCCGTGCAAGATCAAGATAGCAGCGCTACATATTTTAGATACGCACCTCTTCCAGCTCTGCGTCGGCCATGGTTCTTTATTAAGCAGTCAGGTGATTATGATACAGATGATGAGCACAGTTGATATGCCGTAGGTTTCAACACAGATGGCCGTGGGTAGTCTAGAACACTTCCAGGGACCGTTATGGTATGACTGCAATGACTACACAGTATACACACTTCACTTGACAGTGTGGATTTGTTGGAGAAGAGTTTCCAACCCCACTTTTTCACAGCCTGAGGCACTCAGGCCACTTGGGGTTCGGTTCCCGACGGAAGTGGGGCGCCATGAGGGAGTGTACCCAAAGCGGTAAAATCAGGAAAGGACGGGACTCTCGGAGGGACGATAGACTAGCGCGCGCGTGTGTTATCTCTGTATCTGTCGTAGTACACGATAGGTGCCCAACTGCAGCATTGACTAAATTTCTGTACATATTCCGTACAGTAACCCCCTATTACTGGGATAGACAGTTTATGAGAGCTACACCGCAATTGTGACTTGTGATTGATCTGCCAATTGATTGACTGCGGCTTAGCTGTCTCAGACTTCATACAGATGTTCCCCTTGATTGCTGCATGTGTCGTCATCGCTTTTCGCCAAGACTTGAGTCGTCCTTATCCACTCCCGATAGATAGCGAGACTAGACTATGTCCGATCGTCAAACTAAATATAAGTACTTAATAGTATTGACTATTAATATTGGTCGGAGAAAATGGGCCGGTTCGTGTAATTACCAGCATTTGTAGTTTCGTACTGTCAATAATTCATTTCCGGAGGTCCCAATGTACGTTAAGTCTGTTTTTTTCTCTCTCTCCTCTCTCTTGTCGGCAAGTGGAATCGCGCGGGTTTTAATTTATTAACCCTAGAAAGGGAAATATATATATATATATATGCAAAAGGCAAACGCGTTAGATCTCGCGCACGGCACTGGAAAACTATCCGGAGTGGGTGAACCGAGAGATCGGATGGGAACGTGGCACGTAGTGGTTGTACTGAGTATATACAGTATGTACCTAGGTACAGGTGCCTCAGCCATGGAACACCTGACCAAGAACTTGCTGCAGCTTGATTTACTCCGACTCAGGTATCCAATTTTGCACCTGATCGTCATCATTCATGTAACTTTGTTCTCTCTCACACACACTCTTTTTTGCCCGTGACATGAGGGGCCGTGACCGAGGCGATCGGCTTGGCCCAATCCGGATCGCAGGTGACTAAGCGCCGGCGTGATTTGCCTCTGCAAGCAAATTGAACCAACCATCTTTCCAAATTCCTCTTTTAACTAGTTAGTGACCCCGGCGGACTAAACTAAAGCTGCTTCGATCCGTTTGCTCTCAACTTGCGATCGATTCCTTCAATCGTTCAAAAAAGAGGGGTTGCTTCGTTCTTTCTCCGACGACGCCCTTCTTTCGTCACTGTTCATACCCACTGGATTGCCTTCCCTAATATCTTCTCCTCCCTCTTCCCTTCCAGTCTATCCTTTACAAGCTCACTCTCTTTCATTCTCCGCCAATCCTCTCCGTTCCCTTTCCTATCACCATCCCGATCCTTTATCAGGCTCAATGCTTCGTCTGCCGACCGGTTAATCACGCTCCAGTCTGCGCGCTGGCGGGGATTGCGTTACCGTGACACCCCCCTACTTCCACTGCTACATGCAGAACAATCCCAACGCTCTCTTTTTACTTTGCCCGGTACATTCTAGTTGAGAAAGACGGACCAACTTGACTTCTACGTGGTCGTAACACCTATCTCCGGTCTCCGTGCTTTCCGTATAATTTTAAAACTTTAACCCGACCGTTCACCACCATGGCTGAGTACGTTGATGTCACTTTTCCCAGTACGGATTCAGTCGCTAAATCCTGTCAACAGTCTAATTGCTTTCCATACCTACTATTCACGCCATAGCTTCCTCTCCCCGTCGACAATGATTCCGCGTACCAACAACCACAAGCGATCCAATTCCTCCGACAACAGGGCTCTTTCCCCCGATAGGACCCTTACGAAAGCCAGGTCGGCAAATGACCTTTCCGGAGTCGCAGCCGGTAAACCCGTGCCAGCGGTACGCTCAACAAGTGTTGGGAACTTTCCGGAGAGTGGATTCAGTACCCTGAAAGACCCGAGACTCTTGGGCAGTCCAGTAGAGACAGAGCCATCGGGATCACCATCCCATCATCCGGACCTGAGTAACGAAGTTGCTGCTTTGAGCGTGAAACTGGTCCAAGCAATCAACAATCAAACAACCCTGGATGATACATTGGTTGCCACCCGTCAGGAACTCGAACAAGCTCAGTCCAAGATCCGGGCTCTAGAGTCGGAGAACGAGAAATATCGGCGAGATATCGATCAGGAAGTCCTGATTAAGAAAGCCGACGTAGACTATGAGATTTTACGACTAAAGGCTGCATTGGCAGACGAAAAGGCACAGCGCGCCCTTGTCGAGAAGGAGAAGAAGGGTATTGAGCAAGAGCTCGAGACGCTTACCGCCGCCCTCTTCGAAGAAGCTAACAAGGTAAAATATCCCATGATAATTCTATCTGTTTTTTAGCATAAGCAAAGAATTAACTTCGTTCTTCTACAGATGGTAGCTGCCGCTAAGCTTGAGCGTGAGGCGGTAGAGAAGAAAAACGAACAGTTGCGTGCTCAAGTAAAAGATACTGAATCTTTACTTGCGTCTCACCAAGAGCAACTGGCAGAACTCAAGTCTGTTTTGCAGGAGATGAACATTACCAAAGATGACATCGAGGCCCGTACGATTGGCTCTACCGCACCAGCATCCCCGGCGAAGCAGCAGCAGCAGCAGACTCCAACAATCGTCAAACAAAATGCAGAATCACCCGTGCTTTCAGAACCGGCCCCCATCCAAGAAGAATTAGTCCCTGGTCCATCCACTAGCTTCCCCCATCTGATCCGGCCTATATGCCGAACAGATATCCATGCATTCGAAGAGTTTAAGGAATTATTCACCTTGTCTAGCGTCTCCAAACCACCCAGCCGTGCCACGAGTGGATCGTATACCGGCTTAAATGTTATGAGCTTAGCCGCGGGTTTCAGCAGTGGTGGGTTTGGATCTGCGTCGTCGTCACCCGCTAAATCCCAACCCCACTCTCCTAATGGAAGCATGTCCTCACCGCAACCGGCGAATTCGCATGCTCCTCTGAAGGAAACGCGTTTCTACAAGCGTGTGTTGAACGAAGACATCGAGCCAACGCTCAGGCTTGATGCAGCCCCTGGGATTTCGTGGCTGACACGACGTTCGGTCCTGAGTGGTATTTGCGACGGAAGTCTTGTGGTCGAGCCCATGCCGGCATCGGCGAAGAAATACGAATTCCCTTGCTCACTGTGTGGTGAGCGCAGACCGGGTCCCGTCAATGAGAGAACCCACCGTTTCCGGACGTCCGATAGTGAGACGGCTCAACGGTACCCCTTGTGTGTTCTCTGCCTAGAGAAAGTTCGTTCTTCCTGCGAATTCACTGGCTATCTCCGTCTTATCCTTGACTCGCATATCCGTGTTGGCGATACAGAAGACGAAAAGGATGCCTGGGAAGAAACAGTTCGTTTGAGGGAGAGAATGTTCTGGTCCCGCATTGGGGGTGGTATTGTCCCCATTTTCGCACAACCTAATGGCTTGGAAGGTCATTCATGTGCCGATGAGCAGAACCCAGAGCCTGTGGCTATCGACCATAGCGACAACCAAGGCAATGTCCCCCGTGAGGTCAAAGAAGTCCTAGCCACGAATAGCAATGATGACGATGAATTGAACGATCACGACCCACGCAGAGCGTCTTTGAGTGATGATCCCTTTGAGTCTGCTACCTCAGCATCTCCAGTTAGCAGCACGGCAGTCTCACCGCCGTATGATGACAGCGAAGAGCAGAAATATGGCAAAGACGAGATTTCTGAACAGCCCATTGAGCAAGCAAAAGCCTGCGTGATTGCCAACTCTGGCGAGAACGCGGACCCCAAAATCGTGCTGCAGCCAGCCGTCAGCCAGGCTGCTGTCACCAGCTGCGAAAAAGATGATGCGCAAATTTCAGCAGCTGAAAACCGCCAGCAGTAATGTCTAGGAGACGACGACATATTTTTCCTTCTCCACACCACCCCCATTTACTTTTTCCCTCAAGATTACCTTCGACACCGATTCTCTTCCAACCGATACCTTATTCTTCACTGGTTATATTTCGACCACTCACGGAGCTGTCTTGAATCTGTTGAGACTTGTATTATTATTGATAATATGTACCTAATGTTTCTTTTCTCTTTGTCCTTTTTTGGTGTATACTTATGCTTATTATTCTCTCTTTGTTTTGTTTTGTTCTCTCCCTCATTGTTACCACTCAGTTTTGTCTGATCTGCTTTTGAGCGCCACTAGACCACAATGGTCATTCTGTGTTTCAAGCATCGACAGTGACCCAGGCGGACAGACTGGGTCCACTTGACATGTTTCATCTTTGTGCCGTTTTATCCATGCTCGCTGGCGTCTTATTCGGGTGTTCTCTTTTCTTACTGGTTGCTTTACGGGTGTTGCTTTCATGCGATATACATGGCGATGGAAACGTCCACGGTTCTAATGTATGGGATGATGCAGGGGCATGTAGGCCCATGGTTATATGCACATAAGGTATAGAATTTCTTATAATACATGGCTTTTGAGGTTTCACCTATAGTAGCTAGAATACAGTCCGGCTGGGGGAGGTTCCAAGAAACAGAAATCGTTTTTTTTTTAGGGCAGCTAGATTAGAGCCTATAAATACAGACCGTGAGGTCAAGTGTTAAAACTTCATACTGAATGTCATTTTGGTATAGATATCTACTATTGTAGAGCTCCCGCCTGGGAATATTGGAACGAGATTTAATAAAACAATCGTCAAATATAAGCAGGCAGAAAGGATATTTTACATCTGCTTAGACGTACGTCTCAATAGGATAAGAATGGTTTGAAAGAAGACCGATAACTCCAGATGAAAAACGCCGATGAACGGTCCAATCACCAAAAGACCCAACGGATATTCGATCATTGCCGGTAACGCTCGTGAAGATGTCTGATCTGTTCTTCGATATTCATGTTTTGAGGATTGGGTGGGCCACCAGCAGGACCGACCATGGGCGGCGTAGGTCCTGCGCCCGGGGCATTCTCAAACGCCATGCGCTTTTTCCTCGCTTCTTCTTCCGGATCGGGGGCGTCTGGAAGCACTGTAGAATCGAAGACGTCGCTGCGCTGGCTGGCGAGACGCTTGAGGTTGTTGACCACGTCGGCAGTTGACAGGTTGGTTGTAGCGCTGCGGGATTCGGCCTTGGCACGCTGCTCTTTCCAACGGGGATCGAGCAATTCGATACGCATATGTTGATCCAGTTCAGCAACTGGGATCTGTTGGTGACAGTTGGGGCAGAGTGCTGTTGCCCCAGACTGGTTGAGACGGCGCGCCTGCGCACGTGGTACATAGTCGGAGCGTATACGCATCGGTTGTTGACCTGGGGCGGCTTTCGCAGCCGCTTGAGTTGCAGCGGCACGGTCGCGAGCCTCCATTCGCTCGCGGATACGCTGCTCTTCATCCTGCGCCGCGGCGGCAGCAACAACTGGGACGGGTTGGGGAGGCTGTACTTGAGGGAATGCTGGCCCAGCCGGCTGGACGACGGGCTGGGGCATTGGCTCTGGTTGGACCGGGTAGGCGTTGTAATATGTCGGTGTTTCCTCCTCTGTCGGCATGGCTTCTTCGATGCGGAGAGGATTTAGGGACATCATAGCTTTCTGTTCCAGAGAAGCAGATTGGAGATCGTTGAGGGAGGCGGGCGGGGGAAGGTCAACTTGGTCATCGGCTTCTGTGAATAGTACGGTTTCAACAACCACGAAGTCATGCCAGTCAATCTGCGCGTAAGCAATGCGTTCTTGTTCTTCCTCCTCTTCTTTCTTCTGCTTCTGCTGTTCCTGGTATTTCACCCACTCGGCGCGCTTCTTAGCGCGATCCAAAATATGATACTTGTTTTGCACATTATGCTCCAATTCTGCTAGACGAGCTTTTTCGGATGTCGCCTGATCAAGTCCTTCTGATCGTAGCAAGATGATATATTGGTCGACTAGTCGTGTGAAAAATTGATATAGACTATGTTGCGGGCGCAAGAACTCAAACTGGAAATTCCTGGCTTCTCGTTGGGACAAGGCTGTCATGAACGACTTCCCCCTCTTGGCCACGAATAGAGCCGTAAGCTTAACAACCTCCAGATCTTGCGCGTTGATTATGGGCATCCGCGCCGAAAAGTGAAACTCTGTTGGCGGTTCGGGACCCGTAGGTTCCTCCGGCTCAGGAGCTGCAGCTGGCTCGCCCGGTCGTCCTGCAGACACAGAAGTTCCCCTGCCCTCCTTAATTTCCGTAAGTCGCCACTGATAAAAGCTCGCATAAGGATCGTTTGGGTTAAGAAATGAGAATTTCGGGTTGTTACGTTCCTTATCGCGTACACGATCTGACAATTGTTGGTCAGTTTTTCCGATCCAGGAAAGGCTCCTGGCACATTTGGCAACTCACCTTCGAAGACAATACCGTTCCTTGCAACATAACCTGCGGTTTTCTCCACGATCGCTGTGCAAATGTAAGTAATGGTTTTCTCAATTTGAGCAGAATGGCCAAAACGAGCGGGAATGAAACTTTACCTCGAATATCCTTAGGTGGCAATACGACACCCTCCGGGGGTTTGCTCACCTCCTCCGGCAAGTTTGGGGTATTTCCATTGCCTGTAGACGCCATGTTCAAGACACAGGTCAAGCCGATGGTAGGTGGGGATGCAAATGATAACCTGGGGATGTGGAAAAGCAGCGACAAGCGTCCTTCTTTTGCTTGCCTTACCTCATCTTGGGCGCGGCTACTGGGGCTCGCGGCGGTTGAACTAGCCGCGCGCTAGTTCGAGTTGAGTTGTTTATTGGTGGGGAGGCGTAGTATTAACGAGTAATTGCTTGAAAACCCCCCTTTGGAAATAATGCAATCAATTAAATCGCATAATACACTTGGGATTATTTTCTGTTTAAGATTGGTTTTCGAGACATTGGACATAAGGGTTTGTGTTATGCTCTCCTGTATGATTTAGGGGCTGTTTTCGTGGGGAATGCCAAAACCAGGAACTCCGTCGTGACTTGTTAGCTTCCCTGCTAGTGAACTCCAACCTCAAAGTCCTTGTCCGCCGACGATCTGGCCTTAAACCGGACTACCGCTTTCATTTGTCTCCTAATTTGTCCCACACGTGTTGTCTTCCTCTTCAACGGTCAATGTATCTTTTCTAATTGTTTGTTTTCTTTTTTTCCTTGTCTGTTCTGTCATGGCGTATAGTCTCCTAACCTACTACTCTCGTTGATTGATTGTCCTCATTTCTTATTTGGCTTCGTTGCTCGGCGTGGGGTTATTGAAAGCTCCATCTGGAGTCGGAGCCCTCCATAGCTCGTGCTTACTCTCTTCGCATATCTGTGATATCTCTTGATGGTCTTCATTCCTTTTTCAAATCTTTGGATACTGTATCTTTCATCCGATCTCTAGTCTTTGTTACCCCCCATTGGCGCCAAAATGCCACCCAAATCCAAGAACGCCCTGGAGGTCCAGCCTCCAACTAAATCTACCCGCTCCTCGAGTCGCTCCCCGAGGCCGAAAAACCGCAAGAAGGCACCCGCGGCGACGCTGAATTATGGCTCAGATGGAGTTAAGGACAATAGTATCTTCAGCCTTCCTACGTCCGACTACAAGGCCCTGGTTCTCGTCACCTTGGTCGCTGCCGCTGTCCGTCTCTTTAGAATCTATCAACCGACAAGCGTTGTTTTCGACGAAGTCCAGTATGTCCTAGTACCTCTGTGATCGTGCGAGACGACCCGCATTGGGCTAATCATTTTACGCACAGCTTCGGTGGTTTTGCATCAAAATATATCAAGGGTCGCTTTTTCATGGATGTTCACCCACCACTCGCCAAACTTCTCCTTACACTTGCGGGTTGGTTGGCCGGATTCGATGGCAATTTCGATTTCAAGGAAATCGGAAAGGACTATCTAGAAGCAGGTGTCCCATATGTGGCAATGCGAATGCTCCCAGCTATTTTGGGTGTGCTTACCGTGTCCTTGATGTTCTTGACCTTGAAAGCATCGGGATGCCGCACCACGACTGCTGTGCTAGGTGCTGGTGTGGTGATATTTGGTGAGCTGATCTATCTTTCTCGTGCTAGACAACCGCACGCGCTAACCACTTCACAGAAAATGCCCTGGTCACCCAGTCTCGTCTGATCCTCTTAGACTCGCCGCTGGTGTTCTTTACTGCGCTTACAGCCATGTCATTCACATCTTTCACAAACCAGCAAGAACTAGGCCCATCGCACGCCTTCCGTGGACCCTGGTGGTTTTGGTTGACTGCTTCTGGCCTATGCCTTGGTGCTACTTTAAGTGTCAAATGGGTTGGCCTTTTCACAGTTGCTTGGGTTGGCTCTCTAACCATCATTCAACTGTGGGTCCTCCTCGGAGATACAGAAAATGTCACTCCGGTATGTGCTCTGAGGCTCAAATCTTGCCTGGCCATTAGCTGATGTTCTTGTAGCGCTTGTGGTTTAAGCATTTCTTTGCTCGGTTCTTCTGCCTTATCGTCATTCCATTGGGCTTCTACTGTGGAATGTTTGCGATCCATTTCCTGTGTCTGGTAAATCCGGGTGAGGGCGATGGGTTTATGTCGTCTGAGTTCCAGGCTACATTAAATTCGAAGGCGATGCAAGATGTTCCCGCTGACGTTGCTTTCGGCTCCCGTATCAGTCTCCGTCACCACAATACGCAGGGTGGCTACCTTCATTCTCACAACCACATGTACCCCACAGGAAGCAAACAACAGCAGATTACGCTCTATCCGCATAAGGACGAAAACAACATCTTCATTGCTGAGAATCAGACTCAACCTCTTGGTCCTGACGGAGAAATCGCGGGCCCTTTTGCCTGGGATAACATTACCGCCGAGTATATTGAAGATGGTGCTATCATTAGATTGAACCACTTGATGACTCAAAAAAGAGTTCATTCACACGACGAGCGGCCCCCCGTGACCGAAGTGGATTGGCAATATGAAGTATCTGCCTATGGGTTCGAGGGCTTCGCTGGTGACGCAAATGACATGTTCCGCGTAGAAATCGTCAAGTCGATGTCAGAGGGTGAAGAAGCAAAGAAGCGCTTGAGGACCATCCAGTCCAAATTCAAGTTGGTACACGTCATGACCGGTTGTGTCCTGTTCTCTCACAAAGTCAAACTTCCCGACTGGGGTTGGGAGCAGCAAGAGGTGACCTGCGCGAAGGGAGGCACTTTGCCCAACAGTGTCTGGTACATCGAGTCTAACAGCCATCCAATGCTACCAGCGGATGCAGAAAAGGTTAATTACCGAAACCCCGGGTTTTTGGGCAAGTTTTGGGAGCTCCAGAAGGTGATGTGGACGACCAACGCCGGGTTGACAGAGTCCCATGCTTGGGATTCGCGACCCCCGTCGTGGCCAACGCTGCTCCGTGGCATCAATTTCTGGGGCACAGATCATCGCCAGATTTACCTCCTTGGCAACCCACTTATCTGGTGGTCCTCGACATTGGCAATTGGCATATACGTACTATTCAAGGGAATCTCCATTCTTCGCTGGCAACGTAATTGTGCCGACTATCGGAACGTCAATTTCAAGAGATTTGACTATGAAGTTGGCACGAGTGTCCTGGGATGGGCCTTCCACTATTTCCCCTTCTACCTTATGGCCCGGCAGCTCTTCCTCCATCATTATCTTCCAGCGCTTTACTTTGCCATTATTACCTTGTGTCAAGAATTCGACTTCCTTGCCAACCGTATTCATGCTCTTGGACTAGCCTCCAGGCCCGCCATTGGCAAGGCGTTAGCTGGTATTTTCCTTGCACTGAGCATCTTCACTTTCACTCTCTATTCTCCTTTGGTCTATGGCAACCCTTGGACTCAAGACGCTTGCCGCAAGGTGAAACTTTTGGATACCTGGGACTTCGACTGCAACACTTTCCATACTGACGTAAGTGTTCCGAAATGGCAACCTCCCCGACGAGGCTACTAGGTGTGTCGCATCACGACGGCTGACAAGGAAACATTAGCTTGGCCAATATGTGACCCATTTTACAAATACCAATGTCGCTGTCCCAACAACACAGGCTCCTCCTCCTGAGGCCCCTGTGGCCGTTCCACCACAGCAAGACCAACAAATTCTCCAGGAAGAAGCGGATGACGCTAATGTTACCCCGGAGCCCCAGCAGCCTCGTGCTAAGGCACGGGTTGAATACCGTGATCAGGATGGCAATATTTTGGATGAGAAGCTTGTTGCCGCCCTTGCCAAGGAGGGCAAGGTATCCTTTGAGACTCGCCATGAGACTCGCACGCGCCTGGAGCACGGTCATGAGGTCGAAATGATCAATGGCCAAGTAGCCCCACCGCATCCAGACGTCCAGGGTCAGAATCCCGAGACTCTTGGGAAGCAGGAACAAGCTGCAGATGATGGTCCAGCCTCCGTCGCGGGGGGAAGCTCTGTTGCGGAGCCTAATTCCCCGGAAGCAAAGCCCGCCAGTGAAGGGAACGAGGCGACTAACTAACATATTGACAAGTGAACGGAAATGAGGCATCTTGGGTTTTTGCGCTCTGCTACCGCGAATTTTCTTCCTTTGTTTTAACAATTGCCAATCTTGACTATCCTCTTCTCTTGTACTTCCTTTCCACAGACTAATTTTTTTTTTATCCCTCTTTGATCTAACGAAATGTGACTTTGTACATGACTACTTCCCACATGGTCGATGGCCTACCGTATACCACCAATCACCCAGAAGCGCCTGGTTGTAATGCAAAAAAAAAGTATCTCAATTGATTCCCGTCAAGATGTACTATGCACAACGCTTCTCTACTCTTCACAGCAATTTTAGTATACAGCGACCGGTGTTGAGATGCCCCTCAACCAACCCCCTAATAGCCTTCTATGTAGCTGTATGACCATTTAGTAATCCCATTCTTCCTTGCCGTACTTGTTGTAGCGCTCGTGGAGATCCTAAAGATTACTTCAGTAACTACTCTCTCTCAAGCATCGCGAAAGCAGATATATTATATGTATCCTGGAGCAAGGTGGGGATGGAACATACAGCCGGCAGAGTAACATTGGGCACAATGACAGTGTTCAGGGCGCTGGGGGCATTCCTGAGAGGCTGGCTCTTGTCACCGTGAGGATGGTACTGGTACTTGTAGACCTTGCCGTCGTCCTCACGCTCCCAAGGCATAGCGCTGTCGCCAATGCGCACGTTGCTCTCGGAGGTCACGGAGGTGGGCTTCTTGCCGAAGTACCTGTCATGAAGAAAGAATGGTTAATATTCTGTTTCGCTTCCACGTGCAATTGGGGAGTTTTTGCGGCCGGTCGTGGGTTGTAAAGTCCGGTACGGGGAAGGGTATTTACCATCCAGCGGCAAGGAAAGCACCGGACATCACACCGAGCAGGACCTATATGAGATTAGAGTTCGATCCCAGGAGCCCAATTGACCCAACGGAAGTAGTTGCGTACGTAAAGCTCAGGGTCACGACGAGGAGCCTTGTCGAGGCTAGCCTCCTCCAACTTGGAGCTGTAGAAACGGCGGGCGGGGGCACGGAAAACAGACTGGCGGGCAAAGGCCCGGCGGGAGGCCATAGCGGCAATTGACGACATTTTGGTGGTTGTAAGGTATAGAAGGTGGTGAGGTAAACCGGAGATCTCTTTAGAGAGGTGGGAGAATGCGTGGGTGTCGGACGATGATGTTGCCGGCGCATCACATCAGGTGACATTTCGTTGGCCCATCAGCTCCCGACGCTTAGTCAGGGCCGGCTAGCCACCTGACCCTAACCGGATGGGGATTGGGCCAAGTAGGGGATCGCATCGAATGCGATAATGCTCGTGCACGCCGTTGGACGGGCGAGGGGTGTCTTTTGCTGTCCCTTCCTTCAACTTTCTTGGTTTGCACAGCATGCAGTTAACATCGCTGTCGTGATGTAACTGGCTTGTTAGCTGCTTTGCAGTCGATCGCAACTCTATTTAAAGGTTCGTGCTGTTCAGAATCCCTACTGTTAACCCGTATAGGGAGGTTATCTTCAGCGCCCCGTTCCTCACATCAAAATCGTACATGGCTTACTGACGGCCCTGATTTTAGGTTGCTTACATTCTTTAACTTGACCATACTCTCGGCCTTTTCCTATTTCTTTCCCTCTCGTTGTCGCTGTCACTCCTTGACCAACTCTTATCCCCGTTCTGATATTCGCGCGATTACAGCGACCCTTGGATTATAATATATCCCTCTCAATATCCCTCTCCTTCATCTAGCCACAACATGTCACTCAGCATTAATTGCTAGCGACACAACAACTATTCATCTAGAACGTCATGGCATTCTCGTCAGCCAACTCAGAAACAAGTGATGCGCCACATCCAGGGCCCATGCAACATGCGCTAGGTATTCCTCGCCCGCCTTCCGTGGGAGGTATCTCGTCTCGGGTCACGGAGGATATGGCTTCTGAGGATGGTGATCAGTCGCAATCAAATACCGGAATCTCCTCTCACGCACCGCACCGGTCACGGCCATCTGTATCTAGTAGGCCAGGTCCTCCCCCTGTGAGGAGTTCTGTTATCAGCCAAGCAACAAACCGACCAGGAAGCAGACTGAGCCGGAGTCACATTCCTTCATTGGCAGCGCAAGGCTTTTTTCGGCCCCTATCTTCTCAGCGACTCCAAGCACATCGAGGACGCCCTATGACCAAAGGAACAGAATCATCAGAAGATTGGGGTGATCACGCAAGTCAAAATAGGCGCAGTTTAATATCCAACAGTACGCTTGCTCAAAGCTCCATCCCACAGGAGCAGGAGGCTCCTCCATCTCGAGGGACGGAATTCACTGACCCTATTATCCCTGACCGCAACACTTCAAACGCCAGTCCCATCGGTAATACAACAGCGCGAAGTATAGGCGAAAGTGCTAAACTTCTGCGTGACAAAGAAAGACATAATCAACCTTCTCAACCTCATCTCAATTCGGGTGTGAGCGCTACTAACCAGAGCGGTCATGACATTTCCCAAAGATCTCCTCTTTCTTTCTTATCCCCACCAAATAGAAACGGCGGTCAAGAGCATCGTGATAGTCGGAATCACGAGCGCCTGTCATCAGCCGGCTCGTCCCCCGGATCTATTGAGAAACAGAGTCGAACGGTAAGCAAGAGCCGTCTGGGCAAGAACTATGAGTATTTCCTTGGCAACACTATTTTCTGTGGTGGTGGGAGGTTTCAAAACTCTCGGGACAAGCCCGTCAATATTGCGACTGGGGTATTGGTAGTTGTGCCATCAGCTTTGTTCTTTGGGTTCTCGTAAGATACCATCCGATATGAGTCAAGCTGCCCAAAGAATTGAGTGCTGACCTTGCGCAGGGCACCTTGGCTTTGGCACAATATCTCACCCGCTATTCCCGTATTGTTCGCTTATCTCTTCTACCTATGCTTTTCCTCCTTTTTACACGCCTCTGTCGTTGACCCTGGGGTAAGAAAGAGCCCCAATATAAGGCACGATGCCTTTTGTCGCTAAATCCTTTATGTCAGATCATTCCTCGTAATCTTCACTCGATGCCACCACCAGATCCGTCGGATGATCCGCTAGCGATAGGTCCACCAACGAATGACTGGGTGATGGTTAAGTTGGCGACCTCTGAGGTTGCAGCAATGGACGTGCCAGTGAAATTCTGCAAAACCTGCAATATCTGGCGACCTCCGCGTTGCTACCATTGCCGTGTCTGCGACAGTTGTATCGAAACACTTGATCACCATTGCGTCTGGCTTAACAACTGTGTTGGCCGCCGCAACTATCGGTATTTTTTCACTTTTGTGGGCTCGTCCACACTCCTCGCCTTATTTTTAATCGGCGCAAGTCTAGCACATATCCTCGTATATCGATCACGAGAGGGCGTTTCTTTCAATGATGCCATCGATAAGTGGAGAGTGCCTTGGGCTATGGTCCTCTACGGAGCCGTTGCGGCTCCGTATCCAGCCTCTCTCTGGGCCTACCACCTATTTCTGGTTGGCCGGGGAGAGACCACTAGGGAATATCTAAACTCCCACAAGTTTGTGAAAGCGGACCGTCATCGGCCTTTTACTCAAGGAAATATTCTAAAGAATTGGATATCCGTCTTTGGGCGACCACGGCCCCCGACATACATGCAATTCAAGAAGCCATATCACGAGGGTGACCAACGTTTAAGCATGGTGAAACGGAAATACCTTCCGCGAGATGTTGAAGCTCAAGCAGGCATAGAGATGCAGCATGTCCCTTCGGGCCAGCCGCAGGACTGAGGACTGTAACGATACTCTCGAATACTCCATGGAGCACCCACCTGGCACCATTCTTATATATAGGGCTCTTCTACCTTTCTCCACGCGTCAGCCATCATTAGTTTCTGCCTTTCTTTCTAAGGATACATTCAAATATTAATGGCTTTACGGTCCTTCATCATTCTCTTTCGTCAAATTTTTTTGGGGGGTTCATCTAGCCTCTTCTTACATGTATGAATAGGAATATCTTCTTGTCTCCCTCCTTCCCACACCAATCTGTCAAGGCGATCTCTATACATTGTTGAGCCAAGCGTCGTTGGTTTATTCATTTATTCTTTCTTCCACACTCTCCTTCTTGTGACTCGGCTTCTTTCTTTCTTTCTTCTAACAGTTTCGAAGAATCCCTTGGAGGTAATTGTTGGTTTGGGCTCTGAGATTACGTTATACGAGGGATATTTTGTCTGATATTGAAACCCCAAGCTGTAGATAGACTATGAGTTAATCCATCCATATCCAAAAAATGACATGTAGTAGATCGCAGAGCATGTAGCGGGGGAGGTGTCATGACAGCTGACGGTAAGCGCGCATGGATGGGATTGGGGAATGGGCAATATCAGAATGGAATGGATGGGAAGGGTGTAGATAGTGGCGCCTGCACTGGTCCGAGGCCAAACAATTGGACTCCAATTACATCGAGTGTTACTCTTGCTTACCCCCCTGGGGGTGGAAATTTATGCGTGGGGCCGAATTTCAGTCCTACTGGTTGTCTCGCTTCCCTTTTGGTTCTGCATTCCGCCGTGCCTGCGATACGGCCTTCATCAACCCTCTCCGCATCTCTTCTTCTCCCCCATTTCCTCTCCCTACCACGCCCGTGCCCCTCAAGTCGGCCTTCTCGCCGCCATTTTCCAGTCGGAAGTTGCGCGTCAGAGCCCTCTTCTTTGAGTTCCTAATATGATCCTCAAGGTGTAGGCCCTAACACAGTCACTCCTGATAAGAGGCAATCACCTCGACCCCCGTATCTGGGAAATCAGCTCAGCTCAGCCGGATCTCAGTCCCCCTCTTTATTTGACGCATTAGACCCTCGAAGGCACTATCGCTCCACTCGTCCAAGTGGTCTCCCTTCCTCTGCAGCCTCGAACACTCACCGCAAATCAATCCCGAGACCCTTGCGATGGAAAGTCAACTTAGATCAGCCGGCGCGCCTCCCGCGACTCCCGCAGCCCTTTCAGACCTCAATAAGCACACGCACGAGCCCATCGACGACACAATGGCCTTTGAGTATTCAGAACAACTCCTCACCCCCGAGAACAGTCGCTCGGAGACTTCCAGCAACAATGAGAACGCGTCTACCGAGGAAAAGCCGACTGTACGGCGAAGATCTACACGTGTAACACGCGCCTCTTTACGGGGGGAGGCACAACTCGACGGCGATATGGAGATAGATAACCAAGGGACTTTGTCTACGGCTGGCGAAAGTAACCCCGCGGTCTCAGGTGAGACTCTGCTTGATAAAGCTGAGGGCGGGAAGAGGTCCCAGGCCTCCCACCTACGCCACAGCATAGCGGTCATGGAGTCCTGGAGCGAAGCAACACTGGCACAAGGCAATATGGAGAGTGAAGGGGACCATCCAATGGCCCCAGATACTCCAGTTTCTAAGTCCTCGCAAGAGCTGCAGGCCAGTGACATGAGCACGTCATTGCAACAACGCACTTTACGGAAGCGCGTAGAGCGGATCCTAACTGAGGAAGGGGGCAACAATAAGGGCAAAGTTACTGTAACGGCTAAAGAAATCAAGTCGCCAGTAAGACGCTCGTCTCGTTTGAGTCTGTTAGAGAAGGCTTCAGACCTTGTTGGCCGGGCTAGCAGCGTTTTGGGCAAACGCTCGCGTGACGTGATGGGAAAGGGTAAAGAACTTGGCCGTCGAGCTAGTCTGCGGCCTCGAATTACTACACCCAAGGAAGAACCGGCCCAGGCTACCAGCGAGGCTCCCCCGGCGAAAAAGAGGCGTGTTTCTGAAGGCGATCTACCTGTCAAAATCCAGGAAATTCAAGACGCCGTGCAGGAGGCTCCCAAGCCTGTGACTCTATCCAAGACAAAGCGCTGGTTAGCTCATGGATTGTACACAGGCCAGGAACACACAGAGTCTCGGCCCTTGCAGAGTAGGAACAGAAATGCAAAGCGCAGAAGTCAAGGCCCCACGCAACGCAAACTGCTTCCTATGCCGATGTTTGCAGGGGATCGACTATTGAAGCAGGGAAGAGATTTCCAGCTCCCCTTTGATATCTTTTCCCCGCTCCCTTCGGGTCAGCCCAAACCGAATGAGTGGAGAAAGACAAACAAGAGTATGATTTCCAGCAGTCGGATCTCGCGATGATGGCTAACTTGTGGAATAGATGTCTTTGTCGGGGAAGCATCCAGTATATGGCGAGCAAACAAGCCATTGGAGCTATCCAAGTGCATGTGTGCGGAAGAGACTGGCTGTGACGAGGAATGTCAGAACCGTTACATGTTCTACGAATGTGACGACAGCAATTGTGGTGTAGGCCCCGAGTGTGGAAATCGGAATTTCGAGGAACTGAAGCAAAGAACCAAAGCTGGCGGGAAATACAATATTGGAGTTGAAGTCATCAAGACAGAAGATCGAGGATACGGCGTTCGTAGCAACCGCACATTTGAGCCTAACCAGGTCATCGTGGAATACACAGGGGAGATCATAACGCAAGCGGAATGTGAGAAACGAATGAGGACGATTTATAAGAACAACGAGGTATGCATCCTTCGATCACGCGTTCTCTGCTAAACGAGCCACGTATTGACCGCTATCAGTGTTACTACCTGATGTACTTTGATCAGAACATGATCATCGATGCTACCAGGGGCTCTATCGCTCGTTTTGTAAACCATTCTTGCGAGCCCAACTGTCGGATGGAGAAGTGGACAGTCGCAGGGAAACCGCGTATGGCGCTTTTTGCTGGTGATCGGGGAATAATGACCGGGGAAGAACTGACCTATGACTATAACTTTGAGTAAGGGCACCTTACCGTGTAAATCGGAATCGTTGAGACTGACCTGTTACTTGCAGCCCATATTCTCAGAAAAACGTTCAGCAATGCCGATGTGGATCGGGCAGATGCCGTGGTATCCTGGGACCACGGCCGCGGGAGAAAGAGCAGCGTTCAAAGGAGAAGGAACTGAGGGCCGAAAATGAGAAGAAATCTAGTTCGAAGAATAACAATAAAAAAGCCAGCATCACCAAGCAGAAGGTGTTGAATGGATCTACTTCGCGCGTCAATAAGCGACAGCTTCTTGGTTCGAAGTCCATCAAGTCTGGTATGAAGAAGGTTGTTTCTAAAGCACGCGCTTCTACCTCCAAAGCAACTACAACATCGAGACCTGGTTCGAAAGCGACTGTCACCACAAAGACCTCCAAAACGACAACCAGGAAAACCACGGCAACTCCATCACGGCGCCAAGTGAAGAAAGATAACACCAAATCCAAGAAGGAAGTTAAACTGCCCAAGGTCAAAACCACAAAGACAAAAGCCAGAGCCCCGGCGTGTGCCAGGAAACCGACACAGACAACCAAAACCCAGTCGACCCCATCAACATCTAAACTAAGTCGTCCATCTGAGAAGACTAAAGCTAAGATCCTCCAGGCTGCTAAGGGGACGAACACTCGCAGACGTACGGTGAAAAAGGAAGACACCAAGCCCAAAAATCCTGCGAAGCGTACTTCTAAAGCCAAAGAGACTAGTCCTCGGGGGAAGGCAGCAAGCAAGGCAGCCAAAAGCACCAAGGCATGATCAAATTGGGCTCGTTGGCTACATAAGATTATCTCAGATGTTTACGTCCTGAGACGATCTACTCACTGTGTGAATACAGCTCCATCCACGGCTATCTTTTTCTTCTAACTTCTTGGGGAGCTTGCTCCATTTTCTCTCATTTTTGCTATCCCTTTTTTTTTTATTGGCAATTCCTGCTAGCTCTTTCCCTCTTGATGATAAGTTACCCTTGTATTTTGGCCTAATGTTTTATTTTTGCTTCCATTATTCAACTTTTGCATCGTCATCAATCGACTTTGGGTCCGATGTTGGTATGGTCTGACGGTATTCTATCTTTCTTCTTGTGTCCAATACTCCTGTTCACTGGCTTTGATGTTCTGCTGTGTTACTACGAGACCTGAATGGCAGAAGCGGTGTTATTGTTGTAATGTTACTTCCTAGCTGGTTAGTCGACGGGATACAAGTTCAGTTGTCTAGTTCGATGTTGTCTATAACTAGCTGGCTTAATTAACAGAACCAATCTTGACTTTGCTAATAAGATCGTCAATTCCTGTGGCATGGTAGGGGGCAAGAGATGCAAGTGTGCGTTATATAGTATAATATATATTTGGTCTAGCTTGGTAAATTCATTCTTCCAGTCCCTTATTACATTAAGGCCAGTTCCACAAGTCTTAGCATGATACGGTAACCACCGATCTGCATCGGAAAGAGTGATGAAGGAGGATTCTCACCTAAGCTCACCCTATTTCAAGAGTCACAGTCAACCCTAGCTAGCAGATAGCCATTCAGTGAAGAAACTAGTTGAGAGGATATACGTGTGTACCTATCCATGTTCTACACCCATCTAACGAGTAGCTGGTTTACAATTGCGCTTCACAACTTATACTCGGTATTAAATAGCATAATTTGCTTTCAATCGCTCTCGGCTGCTGCAATCTGCGACTCTCTATTTTGCGGGTTGTCATTGGGGGCGAGAACGGGAGGTGTGGTGTGGTTTTATACGAAGTTATGACTTATGAATACTCATATGATACAATATGCGATGGATCAAAATATGCCTGGTCCTTAAGTCCAAAATCCCCTTCCCAACATATTGTAACACCGTACACCGATTTACGCCTCGTCAAAAAAAAAAATCCTAGTTTAGTCAACAGATCTTTTACCTCCGCCAGAATATACTTTGTTATGTGCAGATTAGTTCGATGGGTTTTGAACATTGTCAGGTCCCGGCGGTGCTGGTTCTCGTGCCTCCCCTGTTTTTAGCTGCGCTTCTGTTTCCTCTTTCTTTTCAAGCTCAGGATTCAGGTCAGATATTGGAGAGAAATTGGGTGCAGTGAAATCGTGGGTTTCACTGCTTTCACTGGTCTCAAGGGGTCTAGGCTGGGCATCTCCTGTAGCGGTTGGTGCAGGTGGAGTAGCAGCCTGGGGTGGCTGGGGTTCAACCGATTGCCGTGGTGGCGCAGGGTCATCCTCCTGCGGAGGCTGTGTTGCCTCTGGTAGAGAGGCATCGGGTCGCTCGTCTATTTGTTCCATTGGCGGCTTCACTGATGCTTCCGGGGAAGGTTGCGCTACTGCTTGCTCCGTGGGCTGTGGAACCTGCTCGATGGGTATTTCTTGCGGTAGTTCTGGGAGTGACGCTGCAGGTGGTTCTGCAGTACTAGCTGGAGCAGGTTCTGTTTCCTGTGCTGAGCTCTGCTGTGGAGTCGGTTCTGGTTGTGCTTCAGGTTGTTGTACTCCTTGGGGCTCTCCAAGTAGTTCTTCCACCTGTACTGGGGCCGGCTCCGTCGCTTTCGGCTCAGTCGGTTCCACGGCAGGTTCGGCCGGCTGCTCGACAGAAGTTTGCGCGAATTCTTGAGTAGTAGACTCTATTGATGGGTCTATCGATGTCTCTGCCAGGGGCTGCATATGTTGTTCCGTGGGGAGCTCTGCAGCTTGCTCTGCGCTATTTTCGATAGCAATTTCAGGGACGTGGTTGGGTGGTTGGCCAGCCACCGGCTCAATGGGATCTGCAGGTTGTGGCGCTGGTGTTTGCAAGGTTGGCTCTGTTGACCGGTCCATGGTGTCAACGTCTATTTCCATCATGGATGTAGGTTGCCTGGCAGTCTCCGTACTGGTATGGCCGGTGTTGTGGTCAGATAAAGCTTCTGTTTGCTCACCGAACTGGACTTCACTGTCTTGCTCTGGGCCCGGAGCATGTCCTAAACTTGCTTCTAAACTATCCAAGAGACTGGATTCATTGTTTTCCACAGTATCACTAGCTGGCTGGGCGGCGAGCTGCTGTAAAGCTGGATCGGGATTCGGAGCTAGCTCTAGTTTGGGAATCTGTTCCGACTGGGAAGCTTGTTCTGGTTGGGCAGTTTGTTCTGACTTAGGGATGTCTTCTAATTGATTGGTCGGTTGTGGGTGGGGAGTTTGTCCTGGCTGAGTAGTCTGTTGTGGCTGGTGCTCTTGCTGAGGAGCTTGTTCTGGTGGCGGCATCTGTGGAAGGCTAGCTGGGGGTTCCAATTTCACATTCTCGTCCTTGACGCCTGCTTCGGATACCGAGTCAGTCTGTCCCATCGAAGGACCCTCCAATGGTTTCTCAGTTAGATCTTCACTCTTCACGAGCGGGAATGTGTCCGGTGCAATGACCCGCGGGATGTCTTGAGGTTGTGTGGGAACTGCAACCGTGGTTGTCTCGGTCTGTGCTTCAATGATCTCTGTAGTTGTCTGCTGCTGAGTATTCAGTGTTGTCTGGGTTAAGGATGCAGCATTGGTATCTACAGCGGGTAACTCGGGGGTGACACCGGTCATCTCCACATCCTCAGCAGGCGTCACTTCTCGAGTTGGCTCTGCGGGAGGAACAGTAGAGCTTGGTGGATTAGTGCTGGGCTGAACAGGCTCGAACGGCTGTTGTGGTGCGAATGGCATAGTGGGTGCTGCAGGTGGCTGTGGGAGTGTTTGCGCAGGTGATTCTGAGGCAACAGCTGGAGGGTTTGGAGCTGGTGGTTGTGAAGCAACCACGGTTTCCGTAGCGGGTGCAGTAGAAGTAGGAACCGGCTCCGCCACAGATCCAGACGTTGGATCAGTTGTCGGTTCTGCACTTTGTTGGTGAAGCGGTGTCTCTGGTGTCTTAGCATCTAGCATTGACTCATCGCCCTCGTCGCTTTCCTCGCCCTCCTCGCCATCTTCTTCTTCTTCGTCTTGCCCATTCTGGTCGACTGACATCCGCGACCTATCCGAACCCTCTTTACCATAACCTGTTTCGGCAGTGCCATCGACAGCTCCAGTGCCGGCTCCATGTACGGCGTTTGCATCTGCTCCCTCACCAGGAGCAAACATAACCTTCTTCCTTCTTCCTTTACCGAAGCCCTTCGCCTTACGTTTAGGAGGTGGGGGGCGCCTCTTCGGAGGAGTCATGACAGCCGCTGAGGCTGGATCTGCCACAACCACGCCTTCTGCATTGACCACACCAACTCCTTCAATAACTGTGCCAGGAGCAGGGGCCTCGGGTGTTACAATTGTTTCGCTGTTTTCTGGTACGAGTTGAGAGTCGTCGGTGATTTCTCCTTCAATCTTGTGCCCTTCCGGCACCCAGGCCTCGTAGATAGAGATGTTTCCACTTGTCGGGTCAACTTTCTTGAAGCGGGTTCTCCTCATTGGCGCAGACCCATTCTCAGCGCCATTAGCACCAGAGGTCGTGGCACCATATAATGATGGCAAGCCCGGTCGTCTCTTAGCAAGAAACTCGACCTCCGAATTCTCTAAATGCCTGGGGACCGTGGCCCACTTGCGCGTGACAAAGCTACGCTCTGTAGTCTGCAAAGTCGGTTGTTCTTCCACATCTGTAACCTCCTTTTCTTCGTCCTCTGTATCTTTTGTGGCTTTGCGAATATATATGCACCCCGCACGGGCCGCACGAAGGAGCGCTCTACTCATCGGGGTTAATAGATGGCTGTCTTTGGGCATTGGGTGTTCTGGAATCGTTTGCTTTCCGCCGGGGCCTTCTACAAATGATTCCTGTCCGTCCAGCTTGGGGGTTTGGGAAACGGTCTGTAGCTGGCGCGTCCATCGTCGGACCGGAAGTCCTTCGAAGACGTCGTGGTCGATCTGGCCGGTTCTAGTGCGGTTGGCGCCATCGCCGAATTGACGACCCGAGCGTGAAGATCTGAACTATGGGACTGTCAGTACACTGATCGCCCTTATTATATAGTCTCCACCATTGTTGTATATGAGGAAGATTCGGGTAGCCGATAGCGATGTCACCGCGGAGAAACCTACAGTAGGTGGCATGATGAACAGTGGTTTTGTGATCTTCCCTCCGCAACCCGATTGAGGAATATGCCAAACACCCCAATACCGCTAGCTATGCGGCTGAAGCAAAGAGGCGTGACTATTGAAAGGGATCGTTGGCTAATGAGCCCAACTGGGAAGGGTTGTCGGGGTCTCTCGCGATGCGATGGAGTCGCGGGAAAGGGAACGATGCCGTCACGTGATCTTAAATACAACTACAGTATGATCTGCATGACAAGCAGGATGAGAGAAGAATTGGCGTTTAGAAGATAAGAGACTGCGCTACCTACAATGTAACAGTTTCATTAATAATACAAGAAACACCTCGAGTCTATTGGATTAGATCACATCATCCTCTCTATTCCCATTAGAATGGAAAATCAAGTCTCTTCCCGAACCTCCTGTGGTGTTTCAACCGCTTGTTCGTGATCTTTTTGGTCTCAATTAATCCCAACTGTAGCATAGATTAGTATGCCTGTAATACGAGAGCCTCACAGTCGTCTTACCCAGTATCCTTCTGGCGAACAATATCCCCTTCCTTTCCAGTTTGCTTACCCTGTACAAGTCAGTGAGCTCCACGTCCGGCGGGCTATTGGTGATGCATCAATGAGCTCTACTAACCGTCTTCTGGCCTTCAACAACCAGTCTGTCCATTTGATAGAACTGACTGATGACGGTTTGCCTCTAAAGTATATGTCAGTAATCCTGAAGTACAAAGCCACATCACAAGATCTGGTGGGGTATCTGAACGTTGTCGCAAGAAAGATATCCATCACTGACCTTCATCATCCGCAAATTCTGTAAACCATCCTGGATCAACTCTTGTATCCTCCTATCCTCCGTCTCCCGTTGATGTTCACGGAAAGCATCCCTCGTCCGCCGACGGGCGTACTCGCGGAAGTTATAATTAGAGAACTGGGACGACTGACGGAGCAAGGAGCGAAACTATACCCAAAAATCAATCGACAGGGTCAGTTCAATCCCACCACAACAGGGGAACATCTCCGGAGCACGTACCAAAGATCGCACCTGGAAGGCAGTGTCCCGCTGTAGTGCCGGTACAGACATGATGACTAGCTTGATAGTGCTAAGAGCAGAGGTGGGGGGGTAATAACAAGAATAGTGAGCAAAAAGAAAATCGCAGGCTCAATCGGATAGTGTTTGGTAGATCCTAAGACGTATTTGTCTTCGGCTCTAGCGCTTCAAGCCGCTAACCCGGACGTTTAAAACTCGGGGGTTTGAACAGTGGGTGAATGCGATTGTCAATCACAATACGATCAGCCAGGAATTTACCGGGACAACGATAACGAAGTGATAATATCAATTCCAAGAAGCTATTCACAAGGTGTTGAGCCACATGAACACCGCAACCGGAGGTGGCGTTGAGAGGAAAGTCACACTTTCCGCGGGAAATGAAAATCGGATAGCGCCTATTCAGGGCTTGGAGAGTACAGCCGTATCACCAGACAAGTATGAGTAAATCAGGAGTCGCTTCCTGATATGGGAGGTCGATAAACGGTAGAGGTGATGAATGACTTGTTCGCGGGAAATTCTTTTGGTTTTCTCGGAGGCGCGATGACGGAGTTATCGGACTCCTCGGCCGATCCCCATAAATTTGGAGAAGCGTTTCGGAGATCATGTAATTTGACAACCTCGCGTTGGTTCCTGTCAACCCAGGCCCTGCCCTTTCCGGTCGCTATCTTATCTTGTTCTCCCAATGGCGCAAATTCCCACCCCTCCTGCGTCTCGCCATGGTTCAGAATCCCCCGAGACCGAGTACAAACAGATTCCAGTAGTTGACACCTCCGACTTGTTGCAATCACTAGACACGCTTCTAGAACGGTATCTCCATCTCTTAGATCGTCATCAGAAATTACAGGCCGAACTCGCCACAACTCTATCTTCGGTACAGCAACGTTGGAAGTACAAGGCTCAAGAAGGACAGATCGCTAATACGAGTCTAGGGGTTCCTCTCACTCGCTCAAGCCAACTACACCTGTCCCCCAGGCCGGAGATATGGAGCAGACTACTACGATGAACGTATGAAAGCAACAAGAAAGGTGTAAGTTGGGGCTGTGTCTTGCGCTGTTTGTGTCGGCTTTTAGGGCATTCAACGCTAATGAACGAGGCGTCATCAGGGACCTAGAACCCCCTACATCCTCCACTAACAATGTCGAGGCATCCAGTGTCGATGAATCGTCCGATGATTCTACCAAGCGCGGCGAGTCTAAGCGCATATTCACTATTAGGCTACCTACAAGTGATAGTGCAGAGGAACCGTCTGAGTTGACTAGAGGAGAAAACCAATCTCACTCGAGTGACGCATCCACGTCGGAATGTGAGGGTTCTGAGAAGAAGCGTGACGCTAAGGCAGAGGCTTCCACAACTTCATCGGATAGCCCTGGGGCGCAAGAGCCGGCAGAGACAAAGCCTAGATCTTCAGAGAAGAAGCCCCGCTCTTCCAACCCCATTAGATGGTACGGAATCTTGGTGCCGCCTTTCCTTCGTAGTGCTCAGAAATCTTTTACGGAGGCTGTAGGGGGTCCCTTGCCTGAGCTGGCGAGTGTGGTGGTCGAGATGCAAGCCGTGGAAAAGGAGGTGAAACGTGTGCGCAAGAAGATCGACCAAGCATGATTGTGAATGCGACTCATTATATATATATGTACTAATATATGTATGCATGTATATGTATGTGTACATGTATATGTATAGACCCTGGAAGCTTTAAGTGAGGAATGCAGAAGAGGCGCAATGCCATGCAATTAGATAAGCTTACATGGATGGTTCAACTGCGCGCCGAATTTGGTCAAGTGGTATCACTCATTATTTTTAAATGCTGAACAAAGCCGTCCGGGGGTCTACTACCTATGTACTAGTATTTTGTATGTACGTACTGACTCCTTGGACAGATGGGTAGTAATGGGTACTCTAACAACCTCGGCATCTGCGATGTTTATATTGTGTGGTCCTTCCACGAAGCACAGGCCATGGTCAAGTGGAGAGAGGTGGAATCTGTGCACAATTTTCTTCAATAGTGACTTCAATATTTAATCTATCGATTACTATAGTTAGCACCAGTAAGTTTACTCCGGAGTAATATGCCCTGCAATGGAGATGAATATAAAGATATAAATATATAAAAACGGCGCTATTTGCGTGGGTATACTCCGGCAGTTCAATACAGTACGTTTAATACATACAGCTCCAGAAGGCCCAAGACCCTTGCAGATACGGGATGATAGATTACTGTAATCTTTAGTACTATATCTTGGAATGGTATCATCTCCATCCAATCCTGTAACGCTTTTTGATTCTGCATCCTACATGGAACCAGTACTTCGTACCTCGAAAGTATTTTCTCATCGGCGTTTTTTAGTACAATCCCATCAGTGGCACCATGTGGTTGATGGCTTGGTGTCTCATTCAACCCTTGCAGGTCTTAATCAATACGTCTCCCCCATTACCGGGGTTAACAAACGAGCTAACAAATAGTCAGTCGATAGTTAAACTTCATGAAGCGAATGAAGAAGCAGCTGTCGATTCGGCTAAAAGCGTCCTCCTTTATCAAGTCACATCGGAGATATCCTGGAAGCTGAGCTGATTCTTTTAAATTACCTTTATACTACTCTTCTCTCAGTTGTCGATCGCTACTTTTTGTCCATGCAACCATGTCCAAGCCTTGGATCATCAACGTCTTGACGGATCTCTCGGCGACTGCCGTTTGTCCCAGCCTTCCCCTCCAATGCTCATTGGACCATGCACACGGGAAACATGGTTTCATGTTGAATTCGCAGAGTGGCACCTCTTCCTCAACTTGAGACATACCGTCGACCGCTAAAGGCCTTGGGTGTCTCCACCGGGCCAATGGGGCTCGAGAACGGCCGCAGACCCAATAATCCAGTCACTTCGCTTCCAAAAGTTGTTTTTATCTCAAAACTCGTCGAGCCAATCCGCGGTCCTCGTCTATGATACAACTCTAAACCTGATGTTGCAGCGATTCATGGAACTCCATCAATTCATCGCGAACAAAGAAATACCCAACAGTAAACTGGCTCGATGGGGACCTGTCTTTCTTTTTCGCCCTCTGAAATGTTACACGCAGTATGGGGATTGTCATACATGAACAAGGACTAGCAACTGCATATTGCCTGCTTGGTCAATTGATCCTTTGTCGCACTTGCGACGCTATCAAATGACCCTTTCGTGTGCGCTCCCACGCTACGTGCTCCACTTGATTTTGGCATGAACCGGGTCCCAAAACAATCTACGCCTCTCATCTCATTCTGTGCCCATGCATACTTCCGTAGCGCGGAAAAGAAAGCAACGACGCCTGATTTTGATTTAGATTCTCGGGGTGCTGGAAAACCCTGATTCTTATTACTCATTCCTGCGACGTAGTTTCTTTCTCTATACGCATCTAGCGGCTATTTCCTGCCTTCTCTACATTCTTCTCCTTTTATATTTTCTTCAATAAGGGCTAGAGGCTCTCTGCGTTTTCTTTTCTTTTCGTGACCCCTGTTATTGCATTCGTAAGGTAAGTCTACCAGCATCAGCGCATGGTTTACCCAATGGGGCTAATACCTGTTTTTGCCTGCGCCTTCAGGGGTTTTCTGAAGTGTCAAATGTTCTATCAAGATATCATACGGGTCTTGTTGGTCACAATGACTTGTTGATTTGAAGGCTTTGCCCTCCTTCATTCATTTCTTACACTAGATGTTCCTTTAGTCATGGTACAATGCCCTCTCATATACAACCCTTTAGGAACTATGCCTTTGCTGACTTCGTATCATATTCACCGCAGCAGCGGTATTGAGTGCCATTGCAATTCTTCCATCAGTACATTCCTTTTTTCTCAAACTTGAGCTCAGGGTCCTCAAGTATCATTCGCTTTTTGCGCATTTACAGCGTAGTCATCAGCCACTGCTGCAGGAAACATTTGAAATCGATTTTTCAGAAACAACCGCCAACCTTCTATTCACTCATTAATCTTGTCCTAGACAGACGTGTCGAGCTGGCTTCCAATCATCACAAACAGACAGGAATATACTAACGCCGCCGCATCGGTGATTTCATGATTTAACTAAAACTGTATCATACGGGAACATATCGTGACTGTTGTCAACTCCTGTTCCCTGATCCTCGCAGCACACGCTTCCAACCACAGATTCGCGCCTTAGATCTGGCCCAACTTGCATGATGGAAAGACAAGGATCTGTTCGGCGGGCAAGAGAGATGCTGGAAGCTGGGAGACGTCACGAACCTCAGGCGGATGCAGGAGTGCCACCTCTCAGAAAAGATGTTGCGCATATGACACAATGGCCCTTACCAACCGAGAACTTGCAGACGAATATGGTCGATTCTCACGTAAGACATCTCACTCCCCAGGGCCCTCCGCCTCAGCGGCCCCCACGGCCCGACATGCCATCCCCATCAGTGTATTCAGAGAGAAGCTTTCCAGATGTGGCACCGAGCCCTCTACACATCAAACGACCAGTCCCATCGTTCTCGCAGCCATTGTCACATTCATCGCCTCCCCGGGTTGCTGTTCAACGACCTCCTTCGAGCCCGAGTAGTGCTGCAGCTTCAACCCCTCGCGTGTCTGTAGCAACGGAGGATCTTCTGAGGCATTCCACAGTTTCCTCGGCTGCCTCTATGGCATCGATCCCTGATTTTCCCTTCCCCGCTCAACGTCTGCCGGCCGATCCCTCTCAAAGGAATGTAGCAAACCTCGCCCCTCCTCCGGTAGGCCGTCAGGTTGTTAATCGCGTCTCGTCTGTTTCACCTATTCCAGAGGAGCGATCTGACAGTAAAGGCTCCCATGTATCAAGCAGGGCGATCCCATCATGGACTTCAGCAAAGGCTGAATCAGAGATCTTGGGGACCTACCTTGATGGAGTCTCAGATGATGATGATGGAGAGCCAGATCATGCTGTTAATGGGAACAATTCTACCCTGGTGAGACAGGCAAGCATAGGAAAACGAGGCCAGCCTTCCGTGTGCATGATCCGAAGATCTACTGCTGAGTCGCCTGTACCACCCTCGTTCTCAAAGGAAATTTCGGCCGGAAAGGCAAGGAGAGGCTCGTTTCTGACATCATCATCTGATTCGTCTCACTTTGATTTGGACAAGGCCCCATTTGTATTGGACGTTGGTCAACAACACCCGGAACATGTCAACTCTGAAGCTCTCGCAAAAGAGATTGAAGTTTTCCCGAGGGCCATGCCAACGATGAGCGACAAAAGGCCAGGTGGCCGCAGACCACCTCCCCTGAATATGGGTGCTGTGCGTGACGCAGAGAAGCGAGGTAGTCTTACAAGCTTGCCTGACTTAATTCGGCGTGCGACGAAACTTGCAACAAATCTGGAGCATGGGAGAACGGCAAGCCGGAATGATCTTCTCGGCGGGGGGCCGTCCAGATTCCCATTTGGTAAGCAACCTGAATCTACCAGTAAATCGGTTCAGCAAACTAACTATATGTCCAGGCCACCAACATCGTGGGTCGGGATCCATCAAGGATATTCTTGCCTCGTTTCCCCCACCAGCTGCTACGCCGGAGAACGGTCACTCGTCTTGGCCTTTTTTCTTCAAGCGATCAACATTGCATCAGCTGAATTCTCGAGAATCGGGACCTAGGGAGGTCCAGGAGAAAGGACAAAAACGACCCCGTCGTTGCTGTGGAATGCCCCTTCGTCTTTTCATTATCCTTTGTGTTGTGTTTCTTATCATTGTCCTCATTGCTGTTCTAGTACCTATCTTCGTCGTCGCCGTACCGAAGCATAAGGCAGCTAGTGCCAAGACTGGGTGTGCGAAGACTGCGCCATGTGAGAACGGCGGTGTAAGTGTCTCGAGCGGTGACGTCTGCTCTTGTGTCTGCGCAAATGGCTATACAGGTTCTCGGTGTACAATAGCCGGGGATGCCAGCTGTACCACGACCGAGATAGATGACGACTCTGAGTCCAGGAACGCCACGATGGGGAGCGAAATTCCGCGCTTGTTCGAAGACTCTCAGAATAACTATAGCATTCCGCTAGATCCGCTCACCATTATGGCACTCTTCAGTCGAAATAATGTTTCCTGTACTACAGAGAACACACTTGTCTCGTTTCGAAACGTGTCCAACAACAAAGCCCGACGCTCTCTCCCCGTTGATCTGCCAGCCTCTCCCTTGCCAGAAGACGAAATTGGTGGATCAGTACCTACCACCACCCCAGAAATTGTCCCCACGCGGACCCTCGCTGCTCGAGGCTCTACCTCAACAATGAATGGCATTATATTCGATGGTTCAGAACCAACAGAGGTGCACGGACCACCGACAAGCACAACACCATCAACAACCAAGGAGAGCTCCGTAGGCTCTTCGACCACCACAACCACGCCCACACCAACTGCCACAGTCTCCACGGAGGTTCTGGATTTCTCCCGAATAGCTGTCCTCTACATCTTCGAGAAAACCGGTACGCTTGATGCGGCCATGCTTTCGGAAGAGAAGATTGAAACATACCTTACTGGTCCATATCCGAGCTCCAAGGACAAATACACTATCGATCTCGCCAACTCGGGCGTCAAAGGAAACTATACCTTGAACTTTGAGCGGTTTCAGATCACGTCACCAAGCGGGGATGTTGTGGGTGGAAAGTAGCCCGGTGAACATGGTTGCTCAATATCTTCTTGTAATGTATTTATTTCATCTATATACCAGCCTGGGCCTTTCTTTTTGTGATGCTGAAAGTAGCTGTAACCGGAGCTTCCTTTTTGTTCTGTTTTGATTTTCATGAGTTATATTGCCGTCTTTTGTCGATATCTTTTTGTAAAGTGCATTATTCCCAATATTTTCCCCCTTGCTTTTCTTTGTGATTTTCGCCGGGTGCATGATATCATACCTTGTTTATTTCTGTTGGTCTGAGTTCGAGAAGAGTCGTATACATATATATATATATATATATCCACACTAGTTGCTATGAACAAAACTGAATATTTATAGTTATCTTGCAATCAATTCCAGGTTTATCTTAACTACTACTTCGTCTTTCCTCTTGTACTTTGGTTGACACTTACACGCTGCACACTGCTTCAACTGCTGGGAGTAAGCAAACCTGGCCAACAAAAAAAACAGATGTAGGAGGGAATACCACCGGTAGCTCTGTATTTAGCAGTTGATATATTCACAAGCAGAGGAAAATATTACATAAGACAAAGCGGCGTACGTAAAATGTTCTTTAGTAGCAAGCTGCATTTTTGACGCTACGCAAGCCTGTATGTACCCCCTAAGACTTAGATATCGATAGTTACAATGACATGACATCTGAAGAGGGTGAAGCAGAAAAGTAAATACATTATACGATACTAAACTATACACACCCTGCCTATCATCCCTATATAACCTTTCCAAATAAGCAGGCATATCCCAGCAAATGGAATAGGCCAAGGATCAAGCCATGATCCACAGTACCACGACGCGAGTACCCATCAAGACTCATCTAAAGGATAGCGGCACCAAGAATGAGCCCGGCAGCAGCATAGAGACCCGGGGTCAAGTGAGAAGCTGCACCAGTATGAAGGGGAGGAGAGGTGGGCGACACAGCCGGCGTAGATGATGAGGGAGACACCGCACTCGAGCTAGGAGGAATGACGCTTCGGGAGGATGAGGCGCTCGAGCTAGGTGTAGGGGTGGAAGAAGGGGTCACGACCTCGCTGGACGTCAAGGTGTGAGTGGAGGTGCTTGTGGACGTCAACGTATTGGTCAGAGTGCTGGTAATGGAGATAGTCGATCCGGGGCGAGTGGAAACGCCTCCTGGACCGGTACAGATCTTTCCATTGGGGCAGCAACCCAGTCCGTCGCAATAGGAACCCAAGGGGCAGCCACCGAGGTTATTGGGGCAGCAAGTATAGGAGAGCGGGATGCAGCCATTCCCACACTCTTTTTCACCTTGGTAGGAGCAAGGGAGCTCGACTACTTGACGGGCAACCAGGGCTGGTGTACGGTCTGCCGCGAGGGCCGTGGTTGCCAAGAGGGCAGCTATGGTGAGGAACTTATGCATGCTGTTGAGCGATTGGAAACGACTGGTGGTTCTGAAAGTGGAAATTGTAGCTTCAGCGAGTGACGAGGTTTGTAAAGATAGAAAAGCAGCAACGCCGACTGAAGTAAGGAGAGAGGAGACACCGGCTTATATGTGTATCATGGCTCACTGGGAAAGTGTGCGATACGATGCGCTGTATAGCCTGGGTCATGTCCATGATCAGCAAATACGAGGTAATTAAACACCCCCGCCATTCACACTTGTCTTCATTGCAGGGGCTAATTTCGGGTGGACAACGTACTGGACTCGGCAGGGCATAGGAAGTCTGTATACTTCCCTCACCAGAGGTCTAAACTGGAGCTAATGCACTGAATACGAAGTTGCCGTCTTGGAAGCACGCAGGCGCCTCACTTGATTGGCGTGGTACGCATGAGTGCCCTGATATTCCGGCAGTTTACTTACTGTCTTAAGGGTCAATGTGCGATGATCTTTTTGTGTTATGTCTCCCTAAATTTAGTTGAGTTTCTTACGAACTGGCCCACTGTACATATATGTACGTAGATGGATGCAACCAAGCCATATAACGTTTATCATGCTAAATAAATCTCCCTGAAAGGTAGTTTTACAAACATCCATTCGGTCATGTTAACTTTGGCATATAAGAACTGAGACTTATGAGATGGATATCTACATTTCCGCTTGAGACTGACAAAAGCTCAAGTTGGGATCACCTACGGATCAATTCAAGAATACCTAAAGTGATAAATAGAGACGAGGCCAGTTTTAGGTCTAGACCATGGACTAAAACTCTAAAAGTTACTCGGCGTTATTTCAATCCTCGTTTTTATGGGAGAAATATAACGCTTGAAATGACCTCTATCTCCTTCGCAGAGTTCCCCCGCCCACTTATCAAACATTGAAAAACCGAATAATAAATACCATAACTGGCAATCGTTGGGGACATTTGATTCGGTGCGTTGACCGGCTTGCAAAGAACGGGGCCCTAGGTCAGCTTGGTTTGAACTGAAACGGATCATCCTATAGCAGTCCTCCTGCGTCGGTGGTGGCATATGTCCTTTAACTAGGATTGAGAGGAGGACTTATGTTGAATAGATGGTACTTCTATGTTAAGAAAGATGCTGAAACATACGGAGTATGTACTATTGTTCTCTGACTAAGACACGCACAAGACACCGTTTGTTTTCGAGGGCTTCAATGCCCTCGATAAATAGTACCAAGGTAGGCTACGAAATCTCGCCTTGTTGTCTTGAATCTAAGAATTAAGTTTACCATGTATCCATAAGCAACTTGATCTAATTATTGCAGTCATGCTTCGGGCATATACAAGCATGCCTCTCCCCTAGCTATATCACCATATCGGATGATGAGCCTAATGTCATAGCATTGCCAAAGTTTCGATGACAAGGCGAAGCGTCGTTCTATGCTTCCCGGCACTGTCATACGAATCCTGGCGGACAGGGCTCGGGAATATGGAGATTGGATATACTCCTTTCCAATCCAAGTTGCTCAGCCCTACCAACCTCGTCACTAGTAAAAAATACAGAAACTGGCTTAAATTAAAAAATCTACATTAGGGAATTAGTTACTGGTATTTGAATGGGCTCAAGTGCCCTCGAATCAGTAGCTTTGTGGGTATAACAGTTTTCTCAATTCGTCTTGATATAAAATTGGTATGAATTATACACTCCCTCAGATGAACATTAACACTAGAATGAGTTATGTCTTAGTAAAGAGAATCGGCTGGATGGAACTAACGATTAGCAATCTCAAAGGGTATGTTTGGATAGCAACCCACCTCGGTAACGGTTGGCGTCCCCAGCGATTCGAAGACATGGAGGAGCTTTGGATGTACTTGTTTGAAAGACCCATCAGCGGGTTTATTGCAGACAGCGATAACAAGGGTTGAAGTTGGACAGGTTCCTGCTTTTCAGGCTTCCATGTGGTGGGCGGCAATACTGGTACTTAAGAGACCCCATGTTTGTTTTGATCTCTATCCAGCGACAAAAGCCTGCATATAACCAGTGAAAGAACCTTGGATTAATATAGCCGCCGGCATGTCTCTAAGCCATACTCCGGATTTCTCGGTGGAATCGTTGATCCTATCATGTACATGCTCTAAGCGCTGAGAATGATATTAATAGGTATAGCACATCCGGCGCTTCAATACAAATAGCAAACGTGCTCTGCATCTCCATATGTTACCACAGCCTTTTGGTTTGTAAATGCCACCATTATTTTTCTTTCTTTCTTTTTTCATAGTTGTTTTTCATTCTCAAATGTATACCTCAACTCAGGCACGACGACTGCCGAGCGAACATCGCAGCGAAGCCACCCGCGCGAACAGCACACTACGATCAGTCTCGCCATCGCCATCAGATAGGACTTTAGCAGACAGAAGTCAATCATACTATCATCCACCAGCATCATCAGACAACAAGACAAATACCAAGTCACCGAAGTCTTTGTCTAGCAAGGTTAACGATTATTGGGTCTTAGAGATAGCCTCATGTTGTGGTAGCGCTGGTGCTTTGATGGGAATCATTGTATTCTTGAATGCGTATAATGGCAAGCCTTCTCCAGACTGGCCATACGGAATGACAGTCAATTCAATACTGTCCTGGCTTGTGCAAATATTTACCGCACTTCTGTTGGAACCTATCGCTGCCTGCCTCAGCCAAGCTCGCTGGAATAACTTGAGCAGTGCTGGCTGTCATCTTTCAGATATCAGTTTATATGATTTTGCCAGTAGAGGTGCCTTTGGCTGCATATCACTGATCTGGCATTCCAAATTTAGGTTTGTCATTGCTGCTTATGGTAATAAGGCCATCAATGCCTTCTAACGATTCATATCAATTTAGGACTTCGGCTTGCATGGGCGCGCTTGTTACTATACTGGCAATAGGTACAGGTCCTTTTGTTCAGCAGATGGTGGCCGTCGAAAATCGCCTTGCTCTGAGTGATGAGCCTGCCACTGTACCCCGTTCCCTAGGAATCATTGAGTACCTTGGTAGATCTCCGAGCCTTCCACAAGAGATTCTTGCCGCATTATATGGTGCCATTCTTGGAGGCGCGACAAATAGCAACGGTAACCTGACTCATTTATTGATTGCTCCTGATTGCCCGACCGGAGAATGCGAGATTACTCCTTTCAGGTCTTTGGCTGCTTGTTCGACCTGCACTGATTTAACGGACTCAATCAGCACAAGCTGTATGGACGACTGGTGCCAAGCCAACCGCACTTTCTGCCAGCATTCGCTCCCTGATGGCTTGACGCTCAACGTGAGTGAATACAATGGCCGCTATGGGAACGTGGCAAGCAAAATGTCCTCGCGTATAGGGTACTACAACGCGTCTATAATTGCGAATTTCACCTCAATTTCTGTTGGCCCGGGAACCGACTTAACAAAGGCGACCGCCCAACATTGTCTTGTATACTGGTGTGTCAAAACGTATACAGTGGGCATGCGTAACAACAAGCCATGGGAGAAAGTGGTCGATACCTGGGATGACCTTGCGATTCCCATGTCATTTGGACAAAATTTTACGTTTCATGTCCCTTCCCAAGGTAATTTGACAAGCTCCAAAATTTGGGTTGGCATCCCCACTATTAAGGCATGGATGTACTCAAAACTAAATATAAACCACTCTCTACATTGTAATACAATTGAGACTCCATACGACGAGTTTAGGTACCCCATGATTCGCTACGGTATACCGAAATTCTGTGAGAAGCTCGCCTTAGGAATCACAACTGGGGTACGTCTCTATAATAACACCCCTGCAAGTGGCACAGCATGGAAGATGGAAACCCAAATACATGTCCGATGGGCATGGGTTACTCTCCCAGCTTTGTTGGTCGTTTCAACAGCAGTATTTCTTGGCATGACTGCACTTCGGACAAAAAGTGGTGGGTTTGATGTCTGGAAGTCGTCGCCTACGCCTCTGGTTTGTGCCACACTGGACCAACGGGCCCAGGAATTGGTATATTCAGCAGGAGATCCTACGGGAATGGAGCATTCCACTGGCCGGATAAGGGTGAAACTTCACAAGGAAGGGCTTTATGGTGGTGGCAGGTGGCAACTAGGAATGATATGATTACTACATGTGTATCATAGTCTACTCATCGTTCCCTTGTCTTGTTCAATTGAGATGCGCGATGTTACCATGGTCTGCGTGTGATGTAATTTGCAGCGGCATAAGTAGGCAACGAACGTTCCCCATACGTAGTAATAAACATCCATCCTAAAGTTCGATGCTTAGAATCATCACGCTGTCTGTAGGATGACGTGGTTCTTCTGAAGCTTGGTTGGCTTCCTTGCTTTCAAGACTAATCATCAAGCAATCTAATGAAGTCTGCCATATATTCCCCACTGTACATCATGATCATGCAAGTGACTGTATAATGTAGAATAGCTTTTTTTTTCTCTGTCTAGTCGAATCTTGACTTGGTGATTTGATAGCCATTGGGTTTGGTTGGACGATCTACAAGCGTAGTAAATCGTCGTCAAGTGTATTCTATACTAGATAGTATGCAACGTTATTACCCTATAAATTGAGCATAGTCCATGGTTTTTGCTTACATATCGACGAATCAGGAAGTATCTGTAAGATCGACAGGCGCCATTTGCTAAGGAATTCTCAAGAGTAAAAGGACCCAGGAGTAACAGTGAATTACTGATATTATACGTAGAGAGTTTTATATTAGAAACATATACATAGTAATCATTGGTAGGAGTGCTTCTCAGATCTTAGGGAGGCAACTTGAAAATCACTATAGCATCCATAGAAATTGAAAGTTAGGCTCAAACTAATATAACCCAGTTGGATGTATCTTTATAGTGTATAATCCATCGCAAATGATGATGCTTAATGTGCTTGATGACGGTTCTCGAATCACCCATGTTCTCTTGGTGAGATCGAGACCTTATATGTCTTACACCTCTCCTAGTAACTGAATCACAGAACCTGGGGGCTTGGAGATGAAAATATTGCCAGAGAATTATAATCATCACTGCTTTACGCCTAAGAAGAGAGCCCGAATAATCGCCGTTATGCTCTATGGAGCTAGCGGGGCTTATCATGTCGTTGTTTGTAAGACAAAAGCATACCCAATTACTGGCTTCATGTCTGAGACCATTTGTGAGTATCTAGGAATGAATTTTGAGCGTTATTAGGTGTCTCTGATTTGATTGTTATTCTGGTAAGTGATGGCTCTGGGCTATGTTTTCCACGTTTTCGGGCTCAGTCGATCCGACAAGTTTTCAGACCATCTACATCGCATGCCATCCGCCTTTTGCGCAGCTACAATCTTTATGACACCTAGAAAAATCGTACGCTACTTGGGTTGACTGCACAATGAACATAGTGGGTTCCGTAAAGCCTAACATGGCAATCAAAAGCTGATTGAGTTAAGTATTTAGATAAGTTACGGCTCGGTCCATCAAGCGAATGATGTGAAAAATGAAAATAATGATTAATAGGTTTAACAAAATGCGTCTAGCACATATAGATACGCCCTACGACTGGTGAGATGTCCTTTGATACCCTGAAAACATCTAATGACGCCGCGAATAATGTCCCAATCCGGTACTACGAACAGGACATGGTGCAAGACCTGCCATCCCTTCAGGAATCAGCTTTTGCAACGCTTTATCATGCGCCCTTCGCTTGAATGTAACAGTAACTACGAGACAGAACTCGGAGAAGGCCAACTGAAAATACAGTACACTGCACTTGCCTTCCCGCCAGCCTTCACCAGAGTCTCCCGATAGATGTCAAGTAACCTCCAGTGGACTAAAGCCTAGTATAATGATATCCCTGGGTATTAGGATCTTGGTTACCTTTTCCGGAAATATTTTAAGGCACTTATCGAGCTTCCACTTCTGCCATCCGGGGAATATCCTTGTTGACAAGGTAGCTTTGGCTTCTCAGGACACTGTGTGAAGATCCAATCACCTTACCGTATAGGAAATATAGGGTGCCCGATAGGCCTTGGGTGGTATGGGCTCGTTACCGCATCGAGCTTTTGGGTTGATTTCTATTGTCTCTTACATTAGATAGAAATTTGAAATCGCAGCAAACCTTGGTATGGACGAGTGAATTATTCCTGACGACAGATATCGATGCTCGCCAATTCTTCCGAAATGGTTTTGTAGGTAGTCTACGACTTACGTACAAGAGCTTCATCGCTGTTCTCTTGTACTCTGAGAAGTTCTCGCACTGCGGTTTGGCTCTATCTAAGCCTCAGCAAGCCCCTTTACCAGTTAGTAAAGCCGGTGTTGGCAAAGTAACACTCCTTTTTGTGTTGATCTACCCCCTTAATGCTCAAATATTTGGAGATGGAAGACTTAGGCTTCTGTTTCCTTCGTGGCAATATCTAGCGCATTGCGTAAGCTTTCCATTGCCTTCTCCGCCTGTAGTCCGGACTAGCCATATTGTTTCATTTACCCCGTACACTGACTAGAATGTGACTATAGTTTATCGCACTTTCATTTGCACGATATCCGTTGCCGATCATATATGTATATAGTAAGTCTACCAACCCACGTCTTGTAGCTCGGGCAACCATTAGTCGAAAGCTACTCTGTACACAGCAGATATATCAGTAGCAGTGTTATTACTAATTTTGTGCAATACTACTAGTTTGATACATGCTTTTCTCTCATGTGTTCAACCGGCCATTTGTTATGATGATGGAAGTTGAGTTCTGGAATATGTTAGCGAACTTGGTAGTTAAGTAGTATTTATACTACCATGAAAGGCAGACAATATTAAATGCATCTCCCCATTCCTATTACCGCGAAAGGATTTTTCAAGTCCAATCGAGTCTTGATGGAACAAGTTTCAAAAGGCGTTTGAAAGTATACCATAATATGGGATTCTTGACGATATTGCTGTGGCCTAGGGTTTTACTATAAAGAAAGCGCAGGTTGATCTGAGATGCACCTTTGCTAAGTGTATCCAATTCGTACTAGTATCTATCAAGAGACAATTAGTATAGGAGATGTTTAGAGTCTGGAAATCATATAGACAACATTGTTTAAGTGACGTCACCTTTGTTTACCCCGCTTTTGCGCAGTGTAAACGTATTCATTTTCTTCCAGACGCTTTTGATATCCATCCAACGCCCTTACAGCAGCCTCTCATGATGCCGATCACTCACATTGTTCTCTTCCAGTTCAAGGCGGGCACTAGCCCTGAAATTATTAGAGATGTACGTTAATAGTTCCCCTTTTTAGGTCTGACAGGCCTAAGAGGCCATGGCTGTATGCATATCAGGACAGTGATGTAGATACTGACTGCGACTCCGGTTAGGTTTGCAGTCGGATGTTGGCCCTAAAAGATAACTGCCTTCACCCTTCGTCCCAGAAACCATATATCAGGGCTTCATCTGGTGGCATAGATAATTCTCCTGAAGGCATCCAGGTATGCTACCCATGTATATTCTACAAGTTGCCTACATAGATACACAGGTCCAAGTCACTCGCTGATTTCCTCGGCGAGGATAGCATGGCATGACACATGGCTTTGTTGTTGAGTTTGCGAGTGCTGCAGACCGAAACTACTATTTCAAGGAGGATCCTGTTCATCGAGAATTTACCAGGAGCCTTGGTGGAGTTGTCGAGAAGGCGCAAGTCATTGACTTCGCCCCAGGGGTTTTTTTAAAATAAAGCAACTGAAGCGGAGGATTGCTTGAATTGCTCGACTTGGCATCCGACCTTATGGATATACACTACCATGTAGTTTTAGACTATCATATTGTCAACTTTACTGATTGAGAACTGAAGTTAATGAAAGCTCTTTGGTTTTTTGTGCTTAGTACATATCTACCTGCCTGGCAACTAGCTACCCGTAGTATTAGGGCCGTTCCGTCGTGATATTGATTATAGAGAAATAAAAATCTTAAAATGATACACATACAACAGGAGGGATTCGCTGGTGGTCACCCACCCAACTACTAACCTCCCGGCGTGTGGCTTAAGTACGGCTGAGCGGACGGGAAGCCCTGTTCTCCACACCCTATGGTCGTATGTATTAGATATCTTCAGCAATAGGCATTGAGTACTTAAAAAGAATTACTATCGAAAAGCTAGGATGCTCCACGTTTTGCTTCTCCTCTGCTGTTGTTCATACCGCGTAGCCTGCACAGCGTCCGATTTGGGACACATGATTTGGTGGGGTCACTGAATTAATCTGTCACGATCTCCAGGAATCTCATCGCATTTCGAGGTTATCCGACAGTGTTATCCTGACGCGTCGCACTACACACTCGACATTTGACCCTGTCGTCATTGACAATACCAGGTACCAGGACAAGGGATGGACCATTCATAAGCACAATGAGTCGCTTTCTCACGCCATCCAAGGTTGCCTTGCTGTGTCTGATCTCCATTTACACGGAAGGGGTCATTCCCAATTCCTCTGCTGTCCATGTTCTCTCGTTCTTGGTCGCGTCTTTAAGTCCCCTGGACGCTGACTCAGGCTCCTCCAAAGACTGGAAGGCACAATACTCAGCATCCATAACTGACCTCGAAGGAGCTTTGTCTACGCATTCATCTTCAATCCCTGGACGCTCAATTTGGGACTTGTTCCTCAAAAGAGTTTGGTCTATTGATTCATGTGATGCACTGGAAGTATTCTTCTCTAATGTGTTAGATCTGTTGGTCAAATCTCGGGAGGAGCAGATCCGCGATAGGGATAACGGCCTGGCCCCGGAGCTGGGATGTATGCGCCTCTCCCGGTGCTCTCCGCTGGGTGCATTTGTGAGGCGAGCACAGCTGGAGTTTACAAGACTACAGTTCCATGACTCGATCAAGCTCTGGAAGGGCTTTGTCAAGTATCGCCTCCCCACATACCACGCTTGGGCAAGACGGAACCCGTTTGGTGAACAGGCCATGGTTGATATGAATTTACTCGAGCTTGGTTTGGACACTGATAGTCAACTTGCTCAAGTGGCGTATGGTAATATTGAGGACGACTTGGAGGAGGATAACCATGTCAGTACGAAAGACGTAGAGCGTTTGCTGGAATTTCAAATTGGCGAGTTGCAGAGTATGCGAGTCCTCCTTGTCAATGATAGCCGGCACTAACGATTCCAGGAATGGGAGGAAGAGTGCCAGATGGCATGAAGGCATCCCTGGAACGTTTTGTTACATCTGGAGTGACACTGCCCAATTTAATACACTACTTAAGGTGAGAACTATTTCATGCTTAACGGTCATGAATACTAATTCCCTAGATTCTTGGACGCTTGGAGGGCCGGTGATTACCCATCATCCTTTGACAACCTCCACCGTTACTTCGATTATACGATGCACAGTAGAGACCGGAGCTCATATCAGTACGCGTTGCTAAATCTTGCTATCCTTCAAGCAGACTTTGGTTGTTATGGAGAAGCTGTATCCGCCATGCAAGAGGCAGTCTCGATTGCCCGAGAATCTCACGATATGAACTGCTTGAACTTTTGCATGAGCTGGCTATACCACTTTGGCAAAGCATTCCCAGAGCAGATGAAGGACGTTCAAAACACGGGCATGCTTGGAAATGAGAAAGAAGGACTGGCATTCCTCAAGGCGAAAGCAAAGGAGACAGAAATGTGGAGTCTCTTGAGTACAACGCTACTGAGTGAAGCTAAACTCGAACTGCAAAATGTATGCCCTTTCTCTTTCCTATCTCTGTTAACTCCTCTGACAAGTCTTAGGGTGACAGTCTTGCCTCTTCCATTGAAAACATAATCCGGGCATCGCACCTCAATGTAGCAAAGAACCTTATAAATTCAACCGGGCCACAGTTACTATTACAGACCGCACTTTATTCTAGGATCGGTATTTCTGCTTCTGAGTTGAATGTATACTTCTTGCTAATGGTCAGCAGGTATCGCACACCTGGCATGGTTGAGCAGTGAAACTTTCCAGGAGTGTTACACAAGTAAAGCGCCGTTTGAAGACTATCTGAAGAGTAGCTTCCGTAGCTCACAGTTGGTAGGTTAGATATCACCTACATTCGTGACTGTCGTTGACCATCCAAAGCTTGCACAACAAGGCCGTTTCAAAGAGGCCTTGGTTCGTATGAATCGCATAGGGCCTGACAAACTACGCTCCCTGAAAGCAAACCAATACTGGACATTCTTCTCTGGAGTTTTGCAGCTGAAACGACAAATATATCGGTATGTTGCTCGATTTGAAGATTGTACTTCGCACCCTAACATCCCTCAGCAATGATAAAACGGCAACAGAGTATCTCCTCTCGCAACTCCAAGCAATACAACTGCCGGATAATGACATAGCAGCTCTGTTGGGTTTTCTCCACGTTGAGTACTTAATCCGACAGGGCAACTACACCCGCGCATTGGAGATTGTCGAACGCACAGCCCAAACTATCCACCGAGACAACTTCGACATCCACTGCCAAGTCAAGCTCTTATGTCTTAAGGCTTGTATACTCGAGAAGACCTCCCAGCCCCAGCGGGGGTTCTCTCTGGCAATGAGAGCAGCCAACATTGCCTACCGATCGAGACTTCTCCCTGGCCTTTGGGAAGCCATTTGCGTTCTGTCAGGAGTCCTTCTCAGCCTGAGGGAATTTGAGGCGGTCGTGGCAATGGTGGAGAGTATAATGCCTCAAATACTTGAATCCAGCGACTCTGCCCTGGCAGCCCGCGCATACTCTCTTCTAGTGGATGCAAATATGGGCATTGCGGGAAAGGTCCGGAGCCAGGGAGCGGGACAAAACGTAGAGTACATGAACCGGGCCTTGGAATACCTAGATTGCGCTTACGACCAATACGAAAAGATTGGGGATATCAAAGGGCAGTGCGAGATGATGGCAAAAAAGGCTACAGTGATGCACTTGACCGGTGATTTGGTCCTTGCGAATGACTATGCAGCAAAGTACCTGGATTTGCAGCGGCTCGGTAGTACTGAAAGGTGATGAGGTCCTAGTTCGGAGGGCTTAAGTTTACTTTCCAGGCGACCTGAAAAGCCAAATGATACACATCTTCGATTTCTAACAAGAAAGACTAAGTCAACACCTGCACTATGGTAAAACTCTTCATTTGTCAACAGATCCCACCACTCCCCGTTCAATCATCTGCTCACTGCAGTAAATATACACTTCTTTCCTCGCTATAGGTTCCGAGAACCGCCGATTGAAGGCTGTAACGCCGTCCGTCAAAGGTTTAGGTAGCCTTATCCTTGTTGTGGTAGTTGACGCTGTCGTTCCAGCTATTTACTTGTTAGCGCATGTTCATAGACATAGTTTTACCTGCAACGATAAAGTTCATCAAGAATTTGATACTCGATGTTGTTCGCTACGGTAAAAAGTGGATGAGAGGCATTCGAAACTTACAAGATGGTCTATATGGGGAAATATGAGTTAGCAGATTGATTTGGATGAAACGGAAGGAGCTTACCTTGTCACCATCTCCCCAGGGGAAGTTCTTCACACGGATATTCTGGTATGGGTATTCCACACGCTCCTCAAGGGGAGGCATGTGCTCCCAGTGCTCCCAGTGCTCTTCCCAGAGGTTGTAAGCATTGAGGGAGCCAAGGATGAGGCAAGGAATAACGGCACTAGTATGGTTAGTATACATTGGTCTGCAACCCGATAAGGACTTAAACGATCCGGCAATACGCACTAGATGGAGAGCTTGCGCCAGAGATCTAGAGACGCATTGTGTCAGTATCATGCAAATTCTCCCCACAGATATTCAGTCAAGCTTAATAGCGAGCCAATTGGGTGTACGCACCACTGGTAGAAGCAGCGTGGTGCTTGACAGCCGCTCTCTCACGGTTGAATTCGTTGTCGACCATCCAGGGAAGCTTGGAGTCAGTGCTGTTGAACCGGCGCTGAATGGTGGAGCGAACCGGAGCGGAACGCTGCTGCTGCGCAGAGCGCTGAGCCAGACGAAGAATGTTGCGTTGAGGGAACATGGTGGTTGCGGCCTGACAGGTCGAAGGTGGAACGTCGTCTGCGTTTGAACAGACGGTGGGATTATACGGACGTCGGGCCTTCCGGTTGACGAGGTTTAGCGGCCCCGTGATTCGCTGTCGTTGTTAGTCAGCACCGCGTGATGTCACCCCAGGATTGATCACGTGTCACTCGGGTATGATGCCGAATATATCCCATACTAGTACTGGACGTCGTACATGTTAGTGCGACACAGTCCTTGCCTTGTCTCCATGCTTCAATTGGACTCCTATTGATGGTGCTTACTGTTCTCGCTTCCTCCTGGAGTACACGTTGATTATGTTGATTCTAGACGACAACGGTCAGAATGGGGTTTCGCATTACTACGTGGAACGGTAAGCTTAACCTAAGTATGAAAGAGCGCTATGTTCAAGAGACTGATTATCTTGAACAGTCAATGGAATCCGGTATCATTTAGTATTCCCCTTATACATACTACCTGACTCCGTACTGAGTCTTCCGTAGAAATCCGTTTGCCTATGAGCCATGGAGAGGCAAGCGGACCTTCGAGGTATACATCCCCCGCATGTAATGACTCAGATGCGTAGGCTGAGATGCAAAAGGCCATGTTTGAGATCTTAGAGGCCGATATTGTTGTTTTTCAGGAAACGAAAATTCAGCGAAAAGATCTTCGAGATGACATGGTCCTGGTGCCTGGATGGGACTGCCACTTCAGTCTACCTAGATTCAAAAAGGGTCCGTCCCTCTCAGGTCACACACAGCCACTTACTGAATTCTTATACTCTGCAGGTTATTCTGGCGTGGCTATATACACCCGTAATGCGACATGTGCCCCAGTCCGCGCGGAAGAGGGCCTTACTGGTGTACTTTGCCCGCCAAATTCGTCGGTCCCATTCAGAGATCTTCCTCATGACCAGCAGATTGGTGGTTACCCAACCATAGAGCAACTATCAATGCTCGAGTTGGATGCAGCTACACTAGATTCAGAAGGCCGTTGTGTCATCCTCGAATTTCCAGCATTTGTTCTGCTTGGGTTATATTGTCCTGCTAATCGAGATGAAAGCCGTGACAATTTTCGCCAAGGTTTTCTTGACCTAATGGATGCCCGAATCCGAAATCTCGTCGCCATGGGGAAACGAGTTTTCGTTACTGGCGACCTCAATATCTCAAGAGGTGAAATCGATGCAGCACATGTGTCCGAGGCCATTCGTAAAGGCACCACAACAGAAGATGATTTTATATCCGCACCAGCCCGGCGCTTGTTCAATCAACTGTTGTATAGTGGAAAGGTTATCGGGGAGCGAGATGAAGGGAGGGAGCAGCCTGCTCTCTTTGATATTTGCAGGTCCTTCCATCCGAATCGCAGGGGCATGTATACTTGTTGGGAGCAGAAGATCAACGCGCGGCCTGGCAACTATGGCTCAAGAATAGACTATGTCTTGTGCAGCTTGAATATGCAAGATTGGCTCTGTGATTCAGATATACAGGAGGGGCTCATGGTAAGTTGTCGTTGTAGACTGCTGGGAATGCCAGGGCTGACCAAGGCACAGGGGTCGGATCACTGTCCGGTATATGCCATGTTCAAAAGCTCCGTGTGTTTAAACGGACAACAGGTTAACATGCTTGATATCATGAATCCACCCGGGATGTTCAACAATGGTGTACGGCGACAGGAGTACACGACAAAACTTCTCTTGCCTACATCAGGACGCTTAATACCAGAGTTCGACAAGCGAAGAAGTATCAAGGATATGTTTTCGCGAAAACCAAATAATTTCTCGCAGAAACCACCCACCACTTCAGCGTCAACCACATGTGCATCAACCCGGGAGCAAGTGTATGGAATTGATGCGGTAGAGAATTCTTCTCTTGGAGCTAGCAAACCCTCGCCCCCTATCGCCGACAGCAGCCCTACATGTAAAGGCACCGTACGTAAACGGTCCGGGAAAAGCGACCTCCCAACCTCAGTCAAGCGTTCGAGATCTTTTACTTCTCAGACTGCAGCAACCTCCGTTACTGCACAGAGAACTCTGAAGGGGTTCTTTAAGCCAAAAGGTGCTGTTAGTAGTCAAATAAGTGAAACAGAAACTCCGGATACGCCTGTGCAAGCTACTGAGTGTTCATCCGGGCCCCTTCCGGTGTCTTCGACTATATCGCGGCCTGGGGAACAGAAGGATCAACAAAGCATCCGCAGCGTTCCAGCTGCTTCAACGAGCAACGTCAACTCATCTAGACCAGCGGCATCATCTGCAAGCCAAGATAGCGAAACAGTCATTGACCCTATTGTCAGCAAGGAAGACTGGTCGAAACTTTTTGCAAAGAAACCAGTGCCAATGTGTGAAGGGCACCAAGAACCGTGTATTAGTTTGTCAACAAAAAAGCCCGGCATTAACTGTGGTCGGTCCTTTTGGATCTGCCCACGACCCTTGGGGCCCAGTGGGAATAAAGAAAAGGGAACGCAGTGGCGATGTGCAACTTTTATCTGGGCTAGTGACTGGAATCCCTGATATGGAGCCCGTTGAGTTTACATGGAGTATAATCATTTTCGGGAGATGATACCCCTTTGTACCATTGCTTATACAATACCCACTGGCATAGTTTCACTATAAGAAAGAATTGACTGCTTCCAACAACTGTGCAGTCAAGTATAATGCTATCTGGTCACGTTCCTGTTACTAGCTAATAAAAACGGGTTCATAATATGCACAAACAAAGATATTCCACTGACTCCGGACGAAGGAGACCTAAGTGGTTCAGGCTTCTAAATTGGTGAGGAGCAGTGTAGCTTGATGTATGGTGCAGGGCTGAGTAGCTCATTGTTTCTTCATAATCTGGTATATTTTATTCCCGGCTTGAGGGATCTAGGATCAGTTCGGTCGTGTTCTATTTTCATATCATCTTACTACAGAGCCAGCTTACCAACCGCTGGCCGCTCGCATAAACAGCATAATCAATTGGTGTCACATAAATTAGGGGGGGAAAGACAGAATAGTTTTGGAATACACTAGCTCAATGGGAGGTAGGATTTGGATATGAGGGGTTGCAATAGGCAATGAAGAATACGCAAGTATATGGTTAAATTAACCGAACCTGCATAAAGAAAAGCAAAGAACGAGGTAGTCGAAGATTAAGAATGTCAAATGAAAAGAATGGATAAAAGGAAATACTCACAGCCTGAGCAAAAATAAAAAGGGATTTTGCGGCGATATCCAGCAACGCGATCATAGAAACCGAGTGACCCTACCTTAGGTTGCTGGTGAAATTAGTTCCCTGAAATTGGAGCTACTCCAGTCTTCCAATGTCGTGGATGCACTCACGGGAGCATAAATCTGAAGGTGCTTTAGTCAACCTTGAGATCTAAATCGCCAAAGAAGTGATTAAAGTATAGCAACGTAACAAAGCCAAGTAATATGATTGTGTACCCATCAACCCAAACGTCTATCATCCTTATTCTAAGGTACACCGGTACAGTGGTGGCATTTGACGCATATTTCGCGGCCATAAGAATCTCAGTCGCTTGCTCGGGTTAGAGCACTGGCTTTCTGGATATTGAAGCTTAGTTATGGATAACTATGAGTTTTTGGATGGGTGTTCAAATGACTAGCTGCATATCTGTTTTGAAATCCTAAAACCAGCCTGCAGAGCCACACTTTGATCTCTCCAGACAAGGTCTTTGGATGTTTTCCCAAAACTGTTGCTGATGTCATTTTTGTGTTGAATTTCGGAGAACACAAGCGAAAACCTCCAGTGATTTTTGTAGGGCATTAGAGTATGTGCTATGTGTAATATTCTGTATGTACTGCATGCAAAGTAGCATTTATGGCCTATGAATGTACAATAAGATTAGAATATTTAGGCTTGAGTTATATATCGTCTGCTTGCTTGTATACAGTATTTTGGCATCAAATTATCTAGTCCGGAGAATCAATTCAAGTAGTAGCGCTTCCAAAGTAGACAATTGTTCTATCCGCTTGGTTTGGGCAGGCTTCTTAAAGTGGCAAAAGTCAACACAAGCCATTAGTGAGTGAATGTACCATCGAGGTCTCAGTTAACTGAGCCGTAAGGTATTTCTTTGTTTGCCCAGCCCCCAAACTCTCTAAGCCTGCCTTTGTTGAAGACTAACACAGAGTATTTCTTGTCTTTCACCCTATTCCTCTTCTCCTCTTTCTATTCTTCAGTTCTATACCATCAAAATTTCGAAAGCCCGAGCCCCTTCTTCTACGTCCAGATTCTCCTCCATTATTTTACACCGTTCCCAGTTGATAAGGTACCACTTCATTGTCTGAATTCGATTTCAAGCTTTCAGGGTTTCCGCCAGGATGGAAGCCACGATGTCTCCCCTCCAGCGTGCGTTCAACGCATTTTTGATGACCATGCCACCCGAGCAGTTGGAGGAGCTGCTCAAGTACCTCCAGGACGCGAAAGCTCAGGGAAATCCTCAATCTTCATATCCGAACGAAAATCTTCAATCGTGCTTAGAGTTCAAGGCCGACAAAAATCATGGATCTACCACCCCTGCGAGTGCTAACTCACGGTCCTCAACTTCGCGGGGGAAACGTGCCTCGGATGCGAAACGAAGGCCGCTCAATAGTTTCATTGCCTTTAGGAGTGAGTGTCCTTGTATCGTAATCGGGCAGACTCCACATTCTAACAAATACTAGGCTATTACTCCGTCATGTTCCCTGACCTCACTCAGAAGGCAAAGTCGGGCATTCTTCGCTTCCTGTGGCAGAACGACCCATTCAAAGCCAAATGGGCAATCCTTGCCAAAGCCTACTCCATCATTCGCGATGACCACGATAGCGATGTTTCTCTGGAATCTTTTCTTGGTTTGAATGCGCAATTCATTGGTATAATTGGATCAAGTCGTTATCTCGAAGTTATGGGCTGGCAACTGGATGTCGACGATCAGCAACAATATACTATAGCTAGGGTTAAAGCGACGACTGCAAATGAAGCTGATATTTCGACAAACTATTCTGTTAATGATATAGTTAAACATTGCTACACCTGTGGCTATGTTTCCGAGAAAAATCGGAAGAGCAAGGCAAGCAATAGCAACAATGCCCCGGTTATGGCTTTTGCTGCCCAGCCGACTTTGGTTGTCCACAAGAACGACAGCATTCGGATCTCTGGCAACCATACTATTGTAACCGATGTTTACAAGACAAATCCGGCTATGGAAT